AGCAGCTAGAATTATTCTTGAACTTCCTTATGATACCCCATCTAATACAATGTTTAAAAAGTTATCATGGCTTCGATTTACTGATCGTGTAATTTACCACAAGGCCTTATATGTTCATAAATGTTTATATGGATCTGTCCCAGAATATTTGTCTTAACAAAATCTCCTATGTTACAAATAAAAATGGAATGCAACTTAGATCAAATACTACCCAATTACTAAATATACCAAAGGCAAGAACAAACACATTTAGAAGATCTTTTTCATATTCTGGCCCAACTTTATGGAATAAACTACCAGAAGCACTAAGACACATGTCAAACATAAATACTTTTAAAAAAAACTGCTTTAAATTTTTACTTGAAAATCCAGGAATTATTTAAATGATTATGTATCAATTTTGATTATGTTTTCTCATGTTTATCTTTGTTATGAAGAAATTGTGTGATGCATTGTGAGTGGAGTGTGAGGGCCTCAAGGGAGAATAGTGTTTGTACTAATTGAGCATACCCTCTTGAAATAAAGATTATTATTATTATAAAGGGAAGGCTGGGATTGAGTTTGGGGGTGATGAATCATAAGGGGGTTCAAAAAATTTGGGGGAGGGATTTTTTTTTTCTTAAAATTTTCCATTTTAATTTGGTTATTTCTGATTTATATATAAAAGCAAATAATAATATGGTTTGAATAGGTAAATTAAAATTTTTTTGGTTCTTAGACCACATTCATTCTGTGTCAGAAACCTATGCTGTGTCAAATATTTAATCACAATCCAAATTCAGTGCTGTATCAAGCTTGAATGTTGTGTCCATACTTGCCCCAACTGTTTAGGGTTCGACCTCTGCGGTCGTATCAAGCTGCGCCCAGCGGAGCATTTTATTGGAAATTACTGTGGATTCATTTATTTTCATGGTTACAAATTTAATCTTTTTTTGCAGATATTTGATTGTATGGTTTTGCCAAAGTATCAATGCAAGCCTTAAGAATATTTGTACATTGTTGAACTTTAAAATATGTGGTTAATTATGTCCACAAAGTTTACTAAACATGGAATCCCACAAATACTAATGAATCAGCAGTGGTTGATACTGTAAACCAACTTATTTTCGCAGATACTTTATTTCGCGTTTAGCCCTTATTAGCCCATTTCACGGGGATTTAATTTCGTTATTTTCAAATTTACTTGATGTAGTTAAATAAGGAAACTTCCAAGTTTTACATATTCGCGATGATTTATATTCGCGTTATTTTTCTACTCACAAAAGTCGCGAAAATTAGTTGGTTTATGGTATTTTTCTCATGTTGAGCCTTCTAGCAGGCTTCAGGGACATTTGTATTCATGATTTTCTATGTTTGTTGATGTATTTATGATATTTGTAAGTGAAGTTCTGAGTATGACATATTTGCAATAACTAAAAAAAAAATTCTATTTGTGAAATTTATGTTATTAGATAGATAACTCACAAAAATTGTGTAGAAGGATATACTAGGATAACACTGAATGTGTTAGATGTTTTTTGTACTAGGTTTTTATACGACCGCAAAAATTAAAAATTTTTTGGTCGTATATTGGTATGACGTTGGCGTCGTCGTCGTCGTCCGGCGTCGTCCGAAGACACATTGGTTTTTGCACTCTAACTTTAGTTTAAATGAATGGATCTCCATGAAATTTTACCATAAGGTTCAATACCACGAAAGGAAGGTTGGGATTGATTTTGGGGGTTATGGTACCAACAGTTAAGGAATTAGGGGCCAAAAATAAGCATTTTTGTAACTTCCAGACAATAACTTGTGTGTAAGTGTATGGATCTCTCTGACATTGTACCACAAGGTTCCTTATCACAAAGGGAAGGCTGTAATTGATTTTGGGGGTAATTGCCTCAAAATTTTAGGAATTAGGGGCCAAAAAAGGGGCAAAAAACAAGCATTTTTCTAGTTTCATGACAATAACTTGTGTGTAAGTGTTTGGATATTTCTGAAATTGTACTACAAGGTTCCATATCACAAAGGGAAAGCTGGAATTGAGTTTGGGGGTAATTGCCCAAAACGTCTAGGAATTGGGGGCCAAAAAGGGGCCAAAAATAAGCATTTTTCTAGTTTCCAGACAATAACTTGTGTTCAAGTGTATGGATCTCTCTGAAATTGTACTGCAAGGTACCATACCACAAAGGGAAGGCTGGGATTGAGTTTGGGGGTGATGAATCATAAGGGGGTTCAAAAAATTTGGGGGGGGGATTTTTTTTTTCTTTTTTTTTCTTTTTTTCCTTTTTTTTTTTCTTTTAAAATTTTCCATTTTAAGTTGGTTATTTCTGATTAATATTTAAAAGCAAATAATAATGATATGGTAGGAGATACACACCAAACAGGATGTGTAAATTATTATATAATAAGTATTGTGCAATAGCAAGAAATTTTCAATTGCACAGTATTGCACAATAGCAAGAAATCTTCAATTGCACAGTATTGCGCAATAACAAGAAATCTTCAATTGCACAGTATTGCGCAATAGCAAGAAATATCCAATAGCACAATATTGCGCAATAGCAAGAAATTGTCAATTGTACAGTATTGCGCAATAGCAAGAAATATTCAATTGCACAGTATTGTGCAAAAGAAGATACTTCGTATAAATTGCTTATTTCTTGATCAATTTCAATGGGGTTTTATTCTTGAATTCTTGGGGTTCTTTAATATGCTGAATCTAATCGTGTATTAAGTTTTTGGATTTTGGGCCCCGTTTTTAAATTGGTCCACATTGAGGTCCAAAGGGTCCAAAATTTAACTTTGTTTGATTTCATCAAAAATTGAATTATTGGGGTTCTTTGATATGCCGAATCTAACCGTGTATTTAGATTCTTAATTTTTGGTTCCGTTTTCAAATTGGTCTACATTAAGGTCCAAAGGGTCCAAAATTAAACTTAGTTTGATTTTAACAAAAATTTAATTTTTAGGGTTCTTTGATATGCTGAATCTAAACATGTATTTAGATTTTTGATTATGGGCCCAGTTTTCAAGTTGGTCCAAATCGGGGTCCAAAATTAAACTTTGTTTGATTTCAACAAAAATTGAATATATGGGGTTCTTTGATATGCTGAATCTAACCATGCATTTAGATTTTTGATTTTTGGTCCCCGTTATCAACTTTGTCCACATTGAGGTCATAAGGGTCCAAAATTAAACTTTGTTTGATTTCATCAAAAATTGAATTCTTGGGGTTCTTTGATATGCTGAATCTAACCATGTATTTAGATTTTGGATATTGGACCATAATAGGTGAATGTCCAATTTAAAATTTTTAAGTTCTTAGACCACATTCATTCTGTGTCAGAAACCTATGCTGTGTCAAATATTTAATCACAATCCAAATTCAGAGCTGTATCAAGCTTGAATATTGTGTCCATACTTGCCCCAACTGTTCAGGGTTCGACCTCTGCGGTCGTATCAAGCTGCGCCCTGCGGAGCATTTTATTTTGTTAGTAAAGGGAGATTTCTCACTGTGAAATTAAAACAATTTGTAACACAGATTATCTCCTTTTTTATGATTTTGTGATTAGTTTTTCAAGGTATAGGTTACAATAAACAATTAGATTTTATGGACACAGCCATTTTATGAACATAACATGGTATTCAGAATTAAGAGTATGGCTAATCCTGATTGGTCGATATGTGCGCCTGTTATTTTTTATCATTAGAGACTGATTCGTGCACTCTGCATTATACCAAAGGCCAAATAAATTATTTTCCTTAGCCCTAACGGAACTGAGATGTCTTTTCAATGCTAGGATGAGACACATGTTTTTAAGTGCAAAATTGATACTCTTGGGAGATAAGTACAAGTTACGTTAAGAAAAGCAACAGGAACCTATATTTTTTGGACCAAAAATACTGTCAGAATAATTTTTCTTTAATTCTAGCAAGGTTTCGTTAAAAAAATCAACTTTCTAAAGTCAGTATCTCGAAAAAGGTTATCATTTTCGCCTATGGGGAAATTAATTGTTTATTAGAATCTTTACTGAATTTCAGTTGTCAAAAAATAATTTGACTTCAGTTTCCAAAAAAATGGATATTGTCAACAAATTTGGGGAACATTTATTTTCCTGCAGTAATTCTTTGGAATGTATTATGGTTTCAAATAATTATTTACCATCATGTGGAGTGGTGCATATTTTTTTGTATGAGTTAAAAATACATTATTAAGAGTTATGAACTAATATACATGTAATTATCAATTATGGACTTTTGATTAGGTCAATATGTTATATATGGACCTGTTCAGATTATATGGACAGAGGACGAATATGACATATTGACTTAGTGAAAGTCCTTCATTTATGTATTACATATATATAATAGTGTATTATGAAAATGGACTTCAATGTTCTCTGTGTGTATTTTACATTGTATTTTGCAAGATTTTTAATATTGACCGTATATAAATAGAAACATTACGTCCATATGCTAAAAAAAAGAAACAAGGCTTCAGGGACATGGAATACCCTTTGAATCACGTGATCATAATAACCAATGAAAAAAGGAGAATGCTACACCATATGTAATATCAATTGATATAGTCTTATGGTAGAACACTCTCCTCAAGTATGGTAGGTAGTGTGTTTGATCCCTGGCCAGGACAAACCAAATACTTTTTTAAAATTTTCATTTGCTGTTTCTCCACTAAGCACAAGTCATTAAGAAGTAAGAGCAAAGACTGGTCAGCTCAGAAGCGTATGATATGTCCAGCTAAGGTGACATGTCTTCCTGGAGACTGTTACATTTTGAACTAGCATGTTAAAAACTCTGCTCATAATGTCAGTCCAGTACTAAGCAGGGTTTATATTCATATCCCATTGATTAACATTTTCTTGTCCTGAATATGCATTTAATTTGTTGCTAGACTTAAACAGCCATCCATCATCATCATTGTTATATTGAAAACAAATGTGTCTCTACATGCTACACAGCTAATGTTAGTGATATATATTTTGTGTAATATTTTTTAGGTCTTGCCCATGTTAACATGGATGGTATGTTCTTGATAAGAGACAGTACCAGTTCAACACAAGACTATGTAGTTTCTGTCACACATAAAGGCAAAGTCTATCATTTCCAGATCAAAGAAATCTACAAAGGACATTACCAGATTGACGAAGGACCAATAGTTCATGGTAAGAGTCTTCTGTTAAAGGTCTATAAAGCACCAATAGTTCATGGCAAGAGTCTTCTGTTAAAGGTCTATAAAGCACCAACAGTTCATGGTAAGAGTCTTCTGTTAAAGGTTTATAAAGCACCAATAGTTCATGGTAAGAGTCACCTGTTAAAGGTCTAAAAAGCACCAATAGTTCATGGTAAGAGTCTTCTGTTAAAGGTCTATAAAGCACCAACAGTTCATGGTAAGAGTCTTCTGTTAAAGGTTTATAAAGCACCAATAGTTCATGGTAAGAGTCTTCTGTTAAAGGTCTATAAAGCACCAACAGTTCATGGTAAGAGTCTTTTGTTAAAGGTCTATGAAGCACCAATAGTTCATGGCAAGAGTCTTCTGTTAAAGGTCTATAAAGCACCAATAGTTCATGGCAAGAGTCTTCTGTTAAAGGTCTATAAAGCACCAATAGTTCATGGTAAGAGTCTTCTGTTAAAGGTCTATAAAGCACCAATAGTTCACACGGTAAGAGTTTTCTGTTAAAGGTCTATAAAGAACCAATAGTTCATTGCAAGAATCTTCTGTTAAAGGTCTATAAAGCACCAATAGTTCATGGCAAGAGTCTTCTGTTAAAGGTCTATAAAGCACCAATAGTTCACACGGTAAGAGTTTTTTGTTAAAGGTCTATAAAGCACCAATAGTTCATTGTAAGAGTCTTCTGTTAAAGGTCTATAAAGCACCAATAGTTCACACGGTAAAAGTTTTCTGTTAAAGGTCTATAAAGCACCAATAGTTCATGGTAAGAGTCTTCTGTTAAAGGTCTATAAAGCACCAATAGTGCATGGCAAGAGTCTTCTGTTAAAGGTCTATAAAGCACCAATAGTTTAAGGATTTTCTTTCAGGATTGACAGAGGAAAGATGGACCATTAATTCAAGGTTAATCATGGATCATTTATTCAAGTTTGATAATGGATCGTTAATTCAAGATTTATCATGGACCATTAATTCATGTTTGATAATGGACCATTAATTCAAGGTTAAGCAGTGACTATTAATTCATGGTTGTTAATAAGACTATTAATTTAATGTTTATCATGGACCATTAATTCATGGTTGACTATGGACCATTATTTCATGGATTGTCAAAGACTATTTATTCAAGGTTTATCATGGACCATTAATTCATGGTTGATAATGGACCATTAATTCAAGGTTTATCATGGACCATAAATTAATGGTTGACTGGACCATTAATTCATGGTTGACTTATGGACCATTAATTCATGGTGGATCATGGCCCATTAATTCATGGTGGACCATGGACCATTAATTCATGGTTGATAATGGACCATTAATTTATGGTGCATCATGGACCATTAATTCATGGTTGACTTATGGACCATTAATTCATGTTTGGTTATGGACCATTAATTCATGGTTGATAATGAACCATTAATTCATGGTTGAATATGGACCATTAATTCATGGTTGGTCATGGACCATCAATTCATGGTTGATCAAAGACTATTAATTCATGGTTGATCATGGACTTTTTTTCCTGATTGATCATTGACCATTTCTTCACAGTAAAGATCTTCTCTTAAAGTTTGAATAAAGGACCAATAGTTAATGGGAAGAATTTCCAAAACTCAGGAAATTAAGTAAGAAAGTAATATTAAATGTCGAGGATAATTGGAGTAAGTGTTCTTCTCTTGATCAATGCTTCATGAATATCTAGATTTTGAGTCATTAAGCTGAAAACCACTTACATGAAACACACAAAGAAAATACCTGTAAATTGCATAATTATCAAAATACCTGTAAATTGTAAAATTATCAAAATATCTGTAAATTGTACAATTATCAAAGCTCATAAGGCACAGAGAAGTGCGCAGTCTTTTTTTTAACATGAAAATTATTTGTGATGTACAATGTTTGCCAGTGAATGCAATTTTATTAACTAACTAATGAATTTGTGTGCTTTTCAGGTCTTGACAAATTGGTTACTCATTATCAAACATCATCCAATGGATTAATTACACAACTAACACAACATTGTTGTGCAGAAATACCACCAAATAAGGCAAGACAGCTAGGTCAGACAAATGTTTTACACAGGGCTGTTGTAGAGGGTAAGAAAATATTTAAATCGTGTAAATTGAATTTGATTTGTTAAGGTAGATAATAATAATAAATTCTTTATTTTCAGAAGGTTACACAGTTAACAAAACAGTTAATCTGCCCCGTGACCTTCTAATCTACATATAAGAATACACAATTTTTTTTGTAATGTTAATTTATCTCTTATTATGAGTAATAGGATAACTATATTTAGTATGTGTGTACCTTGCAAGGTCCTCGTGCCTGTCAGACAGTTTTCATCTGACCTCGACCTCATTTCATGGATCAATGAACAAGATTAAGTTTTCATGGTCAAGTCCATATATCATACAGTCGAACCTCGTTGTGTGGAACTCGGTTGTGTCGAAAACTCGGATGAGTCGAAGTAATTTCTCGGTCCTGGTGAAATTCCCGTTTGATCAATGCATAATTACCTCTGATGAGTCGAACTCGGTTGATTCGAATACTCGGTTAAGTCGAGTAAATTTTATAGTCCCGTCGAAGTAAAATTAATGTAAATTGACCCCGATGTCTCGACGTTCGAAAGTAAGAATTTTCGAAAGATGCAGACCTAATGATAAAAATTCAAATCGGATGTATTGCTTATGTAACCTAATCATTTTCAAAAGAGATTAAAGCTGAGTAAACATACTTGTTTGTATAACAGTTAAAATGACATGTTTATAGTGACCGATAATTAACACCTTTGTTGATCGTTCAAGCGGAATGTTAGTGTGTTGATCATTTTTCACCCGAGATAAAAACGAAACGAATTTAAATGACCCAAGCCGAGATTAAATGAATCTTTAGATTTAAAACTCATTAATTACAATAAATAAAAGGATTAGGACAATTATAATAAATTCATGATAATTTAATGTAAAGTAGACGACCTCATCAGATACCATTCAGAACTTATTTCGTACCGCGAGTGATTTCATAATTTATAATATTACATAATATTTGTGTAGATTATTGGTTTTATTTGTGCATGATTTGTATCTGTACTTTTGTGTTTAATTATTACGAAGGACCAAAAATAGAGATTGAATACACAATCATAAAGTGTCATATCGAAAAAGGCACACTGTTCATTGTATCTAGTTTACACAAATCTCATACCGTATTTCATGCATTCAAAATTTATGACGACACACTTGACCTTGGATGAGTGGAACCTTGGATGAGTCGAATACTTTGGTCCGGTCCCTTCGACTTCGACACAACGAGGTTCGACTGTATACTATATGCAATCTAGGTCAACTATATTTAATGCATGGATTGATTGTAAGGTGTACATGTCTGCCTGGCATGGTTGATCTGACCTTGACCTCATTTTCATGGTTCATTGGTCAATGTTAAGTCTTCCTGGTTAAGTATGTTTCATAGAAACTATAAGCAATAGGTCAACTATATTTGGTGTATGGAATGATTGTAAGGTATACATGTATTTCCGGTTTGGTTTATCTGGCCTTGAACTCATTTTCTTGGATCATGTTAAGTTTATGTGATACTTGTATTTATATTTAGGACTATCAGCTTAAAATCAATGGTCAGTAAAGTAGGCGAGACATTTCAGCGTGTGCACTCTTGTTATATTATGAACGACGTCTATTATATGTTCATCATCAAATTTGATACTTAATTCTGTTTCAAAAACATTTTGTCTATTAGAACGAATTAAGATGACCTTAGGCTTAACTCTATTCAATATCATATCATTATCATTACACCAATTCATAACATTACAAAAATCTACATTCATAAATACATTTAAATCTGTTACTGATGGAGATGACTTATATAATGTTGAATCATCAGCGTAAAGTTCAGAAGAAACATTTTCAAGCACAAGAGATAAATCATTGATAAATATTATAAAAAGTAAAGGTCCTAGTATGGAACCCTGTGGAACTCCCGACTAAACTTCTCTGAAATGAGATTCAATATCATTGATCATTACCTTTTGAAATCTTCCTGATAAATAAGATTTGGATCAATCAATAGCATGAAATTGATAATCAATGGATTTTTAATTTTCAAGACAGAGTTAAATATATATACTGGTATTGAAAATACATATTGGTCACCATTCTAATTCATCAAGATATATAGAGGTCTTCTGTCAACACAAAATTCTTCAAGGATGATAGTTAGATAGTGGTATTGTTATATTTCTATTTTGTTCTATTTTGGTTTTGGGACATCTATATTTCTTCATGATCATATTTTATTTGTTTTATGCCCTGCCTAGAAGGTTATAGTTTGGGTTTTAGCTTCATGTAGGTTATAGCTTGGGTTTAAGCTTCATGTAGGTTATAGCTTGGGTTTAAGCTTCATGTAGGTTAAAGTTTGGGTTTAAGCCTAATGTAGGTTATAGTTTGGGTTTAAGCTTCATGTAGGTTATAGCTTGGGTTTAAGCCTCATGTAGGTTATAGTTTGGGTTTAAGCTTCATGTAGGTTATAGTTTGGGTTTAAGCCTCATGTAGGTCATAGCTTGGGTTTAAGCTTCATGTAGGTTATAGATTGGGTTTTAGGTGGTCTACCATTAAGTTTTGTTCTCACATCAACTTGAGATGTAGTACACATGATCATAAAAAATATGGTTTTGAATTACTATCCTACGGTGGCGGCGTAAACTCTTTGTATAAAGCTTTATATTTCAGAAGGTAGAAGACCTGGATGCTTCATACCCTGTATGCAGATATCTTATGTGACGAAGCTTCTGTCTGTCATATGTCCCTTGTCCTTGACCTCATTTTCATCGTTCTGCAACTGCTTGAAAAAAAATCATAATATTTTTGTCATGTGAATTTCTCACTTGTTATGAGTATTAGGATAATTATATTTGGTATATGGGTTCCTTGCAACGTCTACATGTCCGTCAGAAAGGTTTTACCTGACCTCAACCTCATTTCATGGAACAGTGATCAAGGTTAAAGTTATGGATGAGGTCCGTTTCTCAGATTCTATAAGCAGTACATCAACTATGTGGTGTATGAAATGATTGTAAGAGGTACATGTCAGTCTGGCAGGTTTTATCTGAACTTTACCTCATTTTATGGTTCATTGGTCAATGTTAAGTTTTTTGTGTTTGGTCTTTTTTTCAAATACTATAAGCAATAGGTCAGCTATATATAGTGTATGGAATGATTGTAAGGCATACACGTCTGTCTAGCCGGTATCATCTGACCTTGACCTCATTTTCATGGTTCATTGGTCAGTGTTAAGTTTTTGTGTTTTGGTCTGTTTTTCAATGACCATAAGCAATAGGTCAACTAAATTTGGTGTATGGAATAATTGTAAGGTGTACATGTCTGTCTGACAGGATTTATCACATTGTCATGGATCTTTTAATATGTTAAGTTTATGTGATACTTGTAGTAAAACCTTTATCTTTAAGACTTCAACATAAAATCAATGGTCAGTAAAGTAGGCGACACATTTCAGCATGTGCACTCTTGTTATTTTAGCATTATGAAATGTGTTGATTTATTTACAACTTATCAACAAAACTTTCCTTTTTATAACATTTTCACCTATATTATACATATTGTTTCTTATATTTCTCAGCAATGATCATGTTATGTTTATATCTTGTAGGACTACCAGAAATTGTTAGAAAAATTTTGAATCATAGATTATGTCCTGACGTAAATGCTAAAACATCATGGGGTAAGTGTTAATAAAATATCATAAGGGTAAGTGTTAATAAAACACATGGGCTAAGTGTTTGAATAATCATGGGTAAGTCACCGTAAGTGTTGCAACATCATGGAGTGATTGTTAAAACATGATACGGTATGTGTTAATAAAGCATCATGGGCTAAGTGTCAAAACATCATGAAGTAAATGTTATTAAACATCATGGACTTAGTGTTAAAACTTCATAGGGTAAGTGTTACAACATCATGGGGTAAGTGTTAAAACATCATGGGGTTAGTGTTAAAGCATCATGGGATAGGCGTTAACACAGTATGGGGTAAATGTGACAACATCATAGGTAAATGTGACAACATCATGAGGTAAGTGTTACCACATCATGGGGTAAGTGTTAACACATCAAGGGGTAAGTGTTAACACATCATGGGGTAAGTGTTACAACATCATGAGGTAAGTGTGACAACATCATAGGGTAAGTGTGACAACATCATGGGGTAAGTGTGACAACATCATAGGGTAAGTGTGACAACATTATGAGGTAAGTGTTACACCATCATGATGTAAGTGTGACAACATCATGGGGTAAGTGTGACAACATCATGGGGTAAGTGTGACAACATCATGGAGTAAATGTTGTTAAAACATCATGTTTCCTTTTGTTAATATTCCTTTTTTTACAGGGATTTTTCTTTGACATTTTCTAACAGGTTGTATATATTTTCCAACTCGTACTTAATGCCTGTGTCTCTTGTGATATTTTAGATTTCCTTAAGCTTAATCTTCGTATATTAACTGGTAAATATTGAAGTAAGGGATTTCTTCACCACAAATTGATCATTACCTTAACTTAAATTCTTTCATAGATATAAATATTTGGTTTGGAAGTTTGGCTGTACCTTAGGAACCTTTTAAGAAATGGGATATCACATCCTCTTTTTTATACGCCCGTTTACGGGACGTATTATGGTATACTGTTGACCGTCTGTCCGTCCGTCTGTCGTCAACATGTTGGACATTAACTCAAAAAAGCTTTAACCAATATGCATGAAACTTTGGTGAATTGTTTATATCTATTGACGTGAGCTGCCTTTCGTTTTTTATAAATTTCAGATTTACCGTTTCTGAGTTTTGGGGTTTTATTCATTAAAAAAGGGGTGATTTTCCAGTTTTCAGACAATAGCTCAAGAATGCTTTCACCAACTTGCAAGAAATTTTAGTGAATTGTTTATATCTATTGACATGAGCTCCCCTTCGATTTTTATAAATTTTACATTTTACATTTCCGAGTTACAGGGTTTTATTCATTAAAAAAGGGTGATTTTCCTGTTTTCAGACAATAACTAAAAATGCTTTCAGCAGTTCTCATGAAACTTTGGTGAATTGTTTATATCTGTTGATGTAAGCTCCCTTTAGAATTTTATAAATTTTAGATTTTACATTTCTGAGTTATGGGGTTTTATTCATTAAAAAAGGGGGGATTTTCCAGTTTTTGGACAATAACTCAAAAATACTTTCAGCAGTTCTCATGAAACTTTGGTAAATCATTTATAGCTATTGATGTAATCTCCCTATTGATTTTCATAAATTTTAGATATGACATATAGAAGAAATTGAACTTTATTTGTTTATAGTCTGACAACAGATTTACTAAGTATTGCGCAACAGCACAGTGTATTGCACAACAGCAAGAAATCTTTAATTGAATATAAATTCAATTCATATAACCAATTTCAAGTTCTTTGACTACATTTATTCAGAAACCTATAATATGTCAAATATTTAATTACAATCCAAATTCAGACCTGTATCAAGCTTGAATATTGTGTCCATTTTTGCCCCAACTGTTCAGGGTTGGACCTCTGCGGGCGTATCCAGCTGCGCTCAGCGAAGCAGTTTATTTACGGTGATGTTGTCTATAGAGTCTTTAAACTTAGATATCATCTGTGTAAACTTATTGATCCTTTGAATAAACATATTCTTAAAGGTTGTCAATTTAGCACTTTAGTAAGATCTTTGATATACCGGTATGTCTCACAGTATTCAAGTATTTATACATCCTTGGCTTCATATTTGGTGTTTTAGCGTTCCTTATGTAGGTAAATGCAGAAAAGCTCTTCAAACACACAAAATTTACAAATTTTTATTTTCATTGAATAATGTGTTTATTGGTACCATTGAGTTTGTTTTTTTATTAATTAAAACAAAACTAAATAAATATTTTTATACAGTTATGAACAATTACGATCCTACATCCAGTCAATACTTATATTTTGGCATATCACAAGGTCATGCTTTCTCAGACTGTTTATGACGTCTTTACACTAAATCCATTGGATATGTACTGATTATTACTTTTGTCTTGAAAAACATGATTTATTCAGTAGTCCAAATTGGCTTTGAACTAGCTTTCAGTAACTGTGAATACATTTAGAATATTGGTACTTTGTGTTTTGTCTTTTGTTTAGGTTTTTTGTGTGCTTTGTGGTGATCTGATGAGTGATTATTTTCTGTTTTCTTATGAGGGTTTAAACAGTGTCCTAGTTTTTCAAGTCCTTCACAGATTCAAGGAAAGTATATTGACATAAAAGAATTCTGATGTTCTTTTTCCATAGGGTCTACTTGTCTCCATGACGCAGCAAACTATGGCTATGAAGACATTGTGAAAATGTTGATTGAAAAAGAGGCTGATGTTGAGATGATTGACAAAGCTGGATTTACAGCATTACATGTAAGGTTATCCAAGGCCATTAATATATACTGTTTTGAAAAACCTTCTTTGGTAGTTTTGCACTTACAATAGCTCTTTTGATATTTTTTCACAAATGCTGAATGTTTTGTGATTAAAATGAAAAAAACTAATTGACATACACAAGATTCATATACACATTTACAGCCATTGCAAGTGGAGCCTAAAATTGTACAATGCTCAAAGACCATGAGAGAGCAGTATACCCAAACTAATAATCAAGAAAACTTGTTTGCAAGGGAGATAATCCTACAAGATTTATATGCAAAAACAGATTGTTAAACCATGGAAGTAAAATGAAAAATATAATACTTCCATGGTTAAACTTACCAAAGACATTTTTGAAGCTTTATTCTCTCCTTAATAACATTTATTATCCTCTTTTTAGCTTTTTCTGGCACCTGTTGCACATTTTTATTTTAAAAAGATAATTTTTTTTAAACATGAATAAATGCAGCAATTAAACAGCACAATAAAATCAGAATGGACAACTGAAGTATAAATGTACAACAAAAGACAAGTTTGCGAAAAATGTTTTACAGATAATTCCAAAAATATGCCATCATGCACACCAAACAATATATATACAACTGAAGAAATTCACTGACAAGTTTACTGAATTGTGACAGGCACATAAATATATGGCAGTAGTTTTTAAATTCTCAAACCTTCCTGTTTTAGTCTAAATTCCTAGAATAACAAAAGTTGCAAGGAAGAAATAATCAGTTAAGAAAAAGAACTCAAGTATAAAATATGTATATTATATTATATAAACCAAACAAAACGATACTTCATTAAAGAATGCTCGAACAGTGACTGAAAAACAATTACTTAATCTGTTGATATCATTCCTTCTTCAACATCAATATCAGCCACTGTACATCTGAGTAGGTTTCATATGCAATTTTCATGAACAATACAAGAAAAATAATGTTGTGCGATGCTCAATTTTTTAAACTGAATTTCATTCAGATAAGGGTATAAATGAAACATTTAAGTACTTTGTAAAAAATAAAAAATTTTAGCTTAAAGAAGAGATTTGAAGGACAATTAATTGTTAAACTAAATTGCTTCCTAAATGATAGTGCCTTAAAAACGTAAATATATTCATAAAATCACTAGGAAAATATTAATACATGTATAGGTTTTCTTTAATTTTTTTTTTTAAACTTATTTTTTTATATAGTTAATAAATTCAAGATTTGATAAATAACTATTTCTCCAGCATTAAATTTCCCAATGCATCCTGTTCAATAATAGTATGTTTTTTATTTATTCAGAGAGCATGTGTAGCAAAAAGACCAAATATAGTAAAGCTGTTGATAGAGGATGGAAAATCGGATGTACAACTCAGATGTCCAAAAACTGGTTGGGTAGCATTACATGTTGCTGCATACAAAGGCCACAAACATTGTATCCAGGTACATAATCTATTTAATATCAATTAGATATCACTGCAAGGTGGTAAAAAGGTGTGTTTTTTGGGGGGATTGTCTGATAAACCCTTATATTTATAATTATCTATGACTCCTTGCCCTGCCCATCAATCAGGGATAAGCTAATAATAATCAGCTTGTCAGTCTGTCAATCAATTTGTGTGTGTATCTGTCTATCATTTCAAACCCCTTGTAGACTGGTAATTAAACTTGGTATGATTATCCACCACTTCTAGAAGGTATGTAATGGGTACAAGAAAGGATACCGTACAGTGAAAGGCATGGTCGAAAACTTACTTCAAATAAGTCACCCCTGTGCATTCATACAAAAATAGTTTCCCCTTCCTTTACATTCAAACACATTGGAGTTTGGTAATGGTAATAAAACTTGGCATGATCATTCACCACTAACTAGAAGGTGTGATGTGTACAAAGAAGAAATCTGTACAGTGAATGTCATGGTCAAAAGCTATATTTAAACTGAATAACACTGATAACTTATAATTTGCATCATAATTTACTTATTTACTCGAGTTGGGGCCCTGTGTGGTGGCTTTTGTCTCTATCCTTTAGTTTAAATTCAATAAAATATTATTTTCAACACTCTGTGATAACCTAAAATCACAGAAACACTGTTTATATAATATATGTTGTACATTACAGGACCAAGTGAGTTTGTATAGGACATGACATTAAGTTATAAACCTATTTGCATTAACTTCTGTTGAATTGGCATGACAAAATTTTACCATTGAGCAAATTATACAGTTTGGGAATAAATTTATAACTAGTGCATGTAATTAACATAAATGATAAGAGAACACACGATGCTTTTTCATTCATGATATTGTTTAACAAATGCAATATATATTTAATTTTTTTATATATTACAAACAAAAAAGTTTCATTATTTGCATAGGACTGTGTAAAATATAAAATTTGTTTTTAAAAATTGATTTGAATTACCATAATACCACTTCCTCAATTTTTGTGATAAAATTGTGAGAAATTTGCATTGAAGTTGAGTAAGTTATCCTTTGTAAAATGTAAAACAAAGAATATCACCATGTTCTGTTGTAGGAATTACTCAACCATCATGCACCATTATTTCCCAGAGCAGAGGATGGATCTACACCTTATGAATTAGCAAAAAGATATAACAGAGTTGATTGTTTACAAATATTAAGTATGTGTTAATTAAACCATTTCTTATCAAATCTTAAAAGTTGCAGTGTCGATTTTTGTTTATTAAACAGTGATGACATGTCTGTGCACATATATCTTCCCATAACTCATACAAAAACACAAAAATTTAAGCATTTCAATATCCTATTATCCTATTAATAATCAAATCAAAGAAAACACAATAATTACAAATTGAATAAATATTTGTTTGACAATAACAGCTGTATGCTGTGTTTACACAAACTGGGATAACATGGAGTAAATCACTTCTGTGAAACATTAGTTGCTTACACACTTATTTTTGAGTTGTCATTTGCTTTATTTTGGGGTGTATGTAAAGAACCATACTTGTCAAGAAATTAAAAAAAATATTGTATACTTTTTGTCATACTGGGGCCTTTTATAGCTTACTATATCCTATGGGTTTTTGTTGAGCCTGTCGCAGAAAGCTTGACATAGGGATAGTGATCCAGCGGCGTCGTTAACTAACTTCTTAAAAGCTTCATATTTCAGAAGGTAGAAGACCTGGATGCTTCATACTTTATATATAGATGTCTTATGGTATGAAGTTTCCGTCTGTCATATGTCCATTGTCCTTGACCTCATTTTCATGGTTCAGTGACTACTTGAAAAAAAAGTTAAGATTTTTTGTAATGTTAATTTCTCTCTTATTATGAGTAATAGGATAACTATATTTGGTATGTGTGTACCTTGCAAGGTCCTCATGCATGTCAGACAGTTTTCACTTGACCTCGACCTCATTTCATGGATCAGTGAACAAGGTTAAGTTTTCGTGGTCAAGTCCATATCTCAGATACTATAAGCAATAGGTCTACTAAATTGGGTGTATGTAATGATTGTAAGGTGTACATGTCCAACTGGCAGGTGTCATCTGACCTTGACCTCATTTTCATGGTTCAGTGGTGTTAAGTTTTTGTGTTTTGGTCTGTTTTTCTAATACTGTATGCAATAGGTCAACTATATTTGGTGTATGGAAATATTTTATGATGAACATGTCAGTCCGACAGGTTTTATTTGATCTTGACCTCATTTTCATGGTTCTTTGCTCAATGTTAAGTTTTTGTGTTTTGGTCTGTTTTTCTAATACTGTATGCAGTAGGTCTACTATATTTGGTGTATGGAAATATTTTACGATATACATTTCAGTTTGGCAGGTTTTATTTGACCTTGACCTCATTTTCACAGTTCATTGCTCAATGTTAAGTTTTTGTGTTTTGGTCTGTTTTTCTAATACTGTTTGCAGAGGTCAACTATATTTGGTGTATGGGAATATTTTACAATGTACATGTCAGTCTGGCAGGTTCTATTTGACCTTGACCTCATTTTCACGGTTCATTGCTCAATGTTAAGTTTTTGTGTTTTGGTCTGTTTTTCTTGAACTTTAATCAATGACTTACTTGACTTAATCCTCTTCATTCCTTGTGGAACATAGGGCTGCCACAGTCGCTTTCCACCTTACTCTATTTTGGGCTATTCTTTTTGCTTCGTTCCAGGTATATCCAATCTCTTCCAGCTCCTTGCGCCTTGATCTTCTCCAGCTGTGAAATGGTCTCCCCGGTCTCCGATGTCCTTGGGGGTTCCATTCTAATGCTTGTCTAGTGATGGTACCTACAGGTTTCCTCAAAGTGTGCCCAATCCATTGCCATGTCCTTCTCTTTAGCTGTTTAATTGCGGGTTCCTGGTTGGTCCTTTCCCATAAGCATTTGTTACTTATTGTTTCTGGCCACCAAAATTTACAAATTTGGCATAGGCATTTGTTGATAAAAACCTGGATTTGATGTTGTACCCCTGCTGTAAGTCTCCAGGTTTCTGCTCCATAAAAAAGGACTGATTTTACATTGGTGTTGAAAATTCGAATTTTTATGTTTTCTGTAAATGCTGTTGATTTCCAAACTGGCTTCAGCATAGCAAAGGCTTGTCGAGCTTTACTTATTCTTGTCCTAATGTCTGCATCTGTCCCACCCGTTCTATCCATGATGCTTCCTAAATAAGTAAATTGGTCTACTTCTTCAAGATCTTCTCCTTCAATTGAAACTGTTCCTCCTTTTCTGGTCTTTACTTTCATAATTTTTGTCTTCTTAATGTTGATTTTTAGGCCTAGTTTTTTTCCTGTTTCATGGAGTTTGGTGGTTTTGTCTCTCATGTCTTTCAAAAGGTGAGATAACAGAGCCAGGTCATCTGCAAAATCTAGGTCTTCTAGCCTTTGTGCGAAGTTCCACTGTATACCTCTTGGTGTAGTATCTAGTGCTTGCTTAGTTACCCAGTCTATAGCTATCAAGAATAGTTTAGGGGAGAGTAGGCAGCCTTGTTTCACACCAGTATTTACATGTAAAGGGTTGGTGAATGATGATTCATGTATCACCTGTACTGTGAAATCCTCGTACAATGCCTTGATCATGTTCACAATTTTTGTTGGTATACCATAATGCCTTAGCAGTTGCCACATCCCTTCTCTGTTGACACTATCGAATGCCCTTTCAAAATCGACGAAGTTGATGTAGAGGGATGATTGCCATTCTACTGATTGTTCAATGATGGTACGTAGTGTTGCTATTTGGTCAGTGCAGCTTCTGTTTGATCTGAAACCTGCTTGTTCATCTCTTAGTACCTGATCAATTGCATCTTTAATTCGGCTGAGTATAATTTTGCACAGTATTTTACTAGCTACTGATAGAAGTGTTATGCATCTCCAATTTTCACATAGGCCTAAATCTCCTTTCTTTGGCAGCTTCACTAACAAACCCTTTAACCATTCCGTTGGTATCTTTTCTTCCTGCCAGATTTTATTCAGGAGTTTGTACATATATTCTATTATTTCATTGCCTCCAGATTTGAAAGCTTCAGGTGGTATTCCATCTATGCCTGCGGATTTTCCATTTTTAAGTGATTTGATGGCCTTTTTCACTTCATATTTCTTGATATTATCTATTTTTATGTTCAAATCTTCCCCAGCTGGCTCTACTCTTACTGGTTGGTCTGGTTCTGGTCTATTTAGAACATTGACAAAGTATTCATTCCATCTTTCCATCTGTTCGTTAAGATTGGTTAGGACTTTTCCATCTTTATCCTTTACTGGTTTAGATTTAGCTGTTTTACGTCTACTAAGAGTTTTGGTGATATTGTACAAGGTTTTGATGTCACCCTTATATGCAGCAAATTCTGCTTCAGTTGCAAGGTCATTTACATATTCTCTCTTGTCTTTCCTACAACATTTTTTCACTTCTTTGTTGATGAACTGGTGTTTGTTTTGTGCTTCTTGTTTCTGATCCCTTGTTCTTGCATTTTTTACCTTTTCCTTCATTTTCCTTCTCTCTTCTACTTTATCCCATGTTCCATGTGACATCCAATCTTTCTTTTTGTTAGTTTGTCTTCCAAGTACATCTTCACACACTTCCTTGATGATGTCTCTTCCCACTTCCCATTCATTATTTATGTCCAGGTCTGGCCCATCTTTAAGTACTTCAAATCTGTTTCTGAGCTCGATTTGGAATTGATCTTTGAGATGTAGGTCTTTGAGCTTCTCCACATAATCAATAGGTCAACTATATTTGGTGTATGGAATGATTGTAAGGTATATATGTCTGTCTGCCAGGTATCATCTGACCTTCACCTCATTTTCATGGTTGATTGGTCAATATTCAGTTTTCCTGGTTAACTTTGTTTCTTAGATACCTTAAGCAATAGGTCAACTATATTTGTTGCATGGAATGATTTTAAGGTGTACACGTCTGTCTAGCAGGGTTCATCTGACCTTGACTTCATTTTCATGGTTCATTGGTCAGTATAGAATTTCCATGGTTTGGTCTGTTTCTTTTATACTATAAGCAATAGGTCATCTGTATTCTGTGTATGGAATGATTGAATTAAAGGTGTACATGTATTTCCGGCTTGGTTTATCTGACCATGACCTCATTTTCTTGGATCATAAATGTTTTAAAATGTGATACTTGTAGTAAAACTTTATATGTAGGACTCAAAATCAATGGTCAGTACAGTAGGCGAGACATTTCAGGATGTGCACTCTTGTCATCATTGTTAAAGGTCATACATTGACCCATAATTGTTCACATCAATTTTTTGAAATCATGTTAAGCTACAAAACTTTTTCAAACATTTTGCTTTTCAAGTATTTATATGATTCTAGTGACTCGTCTTTTTCAGATTTTCCAGACAACAGGTCAACTAGAACAAGAAAAGACTTATGGTTTCATTCTCATATTGACCGGAAGGTAAACCATTCAGTGTTTTTAATGTAAATTGATGTCCCATTGTTAGATGGTCACAAACAGACCTCATAACATTTGTCTTTAACCTGGAGAATGATCTTTAAATCTCTCCCAAAAATTAATCACATATATTAATGGCCTTCATAAAAAGTTAATATCCCAAATTATATTGAGAAAAAGTTATTTTCCTTGGATCTACAGGACCGAGGGTAAATGACCTTTTCAAGATTTCTTAATTTTCATGAAATTATCCATGTCTTCATCATATGTGCAACTGAATCTTGTGGCTGAGCTATTTTCACCAAACATCACTAGTTATTTTTTTGCATGCAAGAGCACATAAATTCAAAAAGGTTATTTTTAATATGTGCACATTTCCAAAAAGTTATTTTGCCTACAGGTAGTTTCTCTTGGAAAAAAGTTTTCTTTTTCTTTTTTTTTTAAATGCACATTCCAAAACAGTTATTTTCCATCATATAGTCTCCCTTTGGACAAGGGGGTTATTTTTTACAAGGTGTACATCTCCAAACAATTATTTTGCTGTATGCATTTCCCTACGTCAAAAAGGGGTTAGTTTTGTGATTCTTTTATGATAATAATTATTGCAAAAGAAATAAAACTTTTCCACAGAATCAATTGTAGTTTACCTGTCGATTTCAACTTTTGTCAGTTCACTTGTCCCATTGAATAAATTAAATAGCTATTGTTCTCTGTGGAGCTTATTCACTTGGACCTTAGTGGATGAAAATACATGTTTCAACTCACAAGACTGCATGTGATATTGTATTTATTCAATATCAATAATATAGTTTCAATCTTCAGTTTAAACACTTATTTAAATATTAGAAGTTGATTTCTGACAAAATTTTCAGGAATGTTCCTATTGAAATTTGTGTGTGTGTGTGTTGACAAGTAAAAACTGGAAAATGACAATGTTTTAATTAGGACCTCCTAAATTTATTCTATGAGTAAACAAACATGAAAAAAACAGCAAATTTCAATAGGAACAATGCTAAAAATGTTGTCAGTAATCAACTCTTTATGATTTAATCAGTGTTTATATTGAACAGATCGAAAATATATTATTGATATTGAATAAATATAACATCACATGCAGTTTTGTGAGTTAATACATGTATTTCCATCTACTTTTTTTAAAACAGATAATTATTATACCCCCGCTTTAAAAAAGGGGGTATACTGTTTTACCTCTGTCTGTCCTTCCGTCAGTCCATCCGTCCATCCCATGAATATTTTCTTCGCATTTTTCTCAGGAACTGCTTGACAAGGATTTCTGAAATTTTGTTTCAGGGTTTATATAAGTAAGTTACACCGTGTGATGTGTTTTCAGATTCATCAATCAACAACTTCCTGTTTACCGAATACTTGTATTATTTTACACATGATAGCCAAGTTGAAAATTTTCGTCACATTTTTCTCATGAACTACTTGACAAGGATTTCTGAAATTTGGTTTCAGGGTTTATATAAGTCAGCTATACCGTGTGATGCGTTTTCAGATTCATCACTCAACAACTTCCTGTTTACCAAAATATTTCGGCGGGGGTATCATCAGTGAGCAGTAGCTCACAGTTTTACTTGTTTTTAGCTCACCTGGCCCAAAGGGCCAAGTGAGCTTTTCTCATCACTTGGCGTCCGTCGTCCTGCGTCCGTCGTCCGTAAACTTTTACAAAAATCTTCTCCTCTGAAACTACTGGGCCAAATTTGACCAAACTTGTCCACAATCATCAATAGGGTATCTAGTTTAAAAAATGTGTCCGGTGACCCGGCCAACTAACCAAGATGGCCGCCATGGCTAAAAATAGAACATAGGGGTAAAATGTAGATTTTGGCTTATATCTCTGAAACCAAAGCATTTAGAGCAAATCTGACATGGGGTAAAATTGTTTATCAGGTCAAGATCTATCTGCTCTGAAATTTTCAGATGAATCTGAAAACCCGTTGTTGGGTTGCTGCCCCTGAATTGGTAATTTTAAGGAAATTTTGCCGTTTTTGGTTATTGTCTTGAATATTATTATAGAAAGAGATAAACTGTGAACAGCAATAATGTTCAGCAAAGTAAGATCTACAAATAAGTCAACATGACCAAAATGGTCAGTTGACCCCTTAAGGAGTTATTGCCCTTTATAGTCAATTTTTAAGCATTTTTCGTAAATTTTTGTAATCTTTTACAAAAATCTTCTCCTCTGAAACTACTAAGACAATTTTAACCAAACTTGTCCACAATCATCATTAGGGTATCTAGTTTAAAAAATGTGTCCGATGACCCGCCCGCGAACCAAGATGGCCGACATGGCTAAAAAATAGTTCATAGGGTAAAATGCAGTTTTTGGCTCATATCTCTGAAACCAAAGCATTTAGAGCAAATCTGACAAAAATAAATATGTTCATTAGGTCAAGATCTATCTGCCCTGAAATTTTCAGACCAATCAGGCAACACGTTGTTGGGTTGATGCCCCTGAATTGGTAATTTTAGGAAAATTTTGCAGCTTTTGGTTATTATCTTGAATATTATTATAGATAGAGATAAACTGTAAACAGCAATAATGTACAGCAAAGTAAGATCTACAAATAAGTCAACATGACCAAAATTGTCAATTGACCACTTAAGGAGTTATTGCCCTTTATAGTCAATTTTTTATAATTTTCATAAATTTTTGTAAATTTTTACAAAATATTTTCCACTGTAACTACTGGGCCAAGATCATTATAGATAGAGATAATTGTAAGCAGCAAGAATGTTCAGTAAAGTAAGATCTACAAACACATCACCATCAACAAAACACAATTTTGTCATGAATCCATCTGTGTCCTATGTTTAATATGCACATACTGACCAAGGTGAGCGACACAGGCTCTTTAGAGCCTCTAGTTTTTCTTCAGGTAAATTAATCCTGAATTTTTAATAGGAGAAATTTAGTAACGGTCCCAGTGAATAAAATCCACTGTGAACAATACCAATTGTCCAAAAATTTAAATCGACACAGGTAAAGCTAATCAAACTGGGGAAATGTTTTATTTCTTTCACAATAATACAAAATTATAGAAATTCTTATAACAAAAACGCTTAAGTATGACTAATTGTTCAAGCAGTACTGATTATTTCAATTATATTACCATTACAATGACACCAATTTTGAAATGAAATAATAACATAACAATTACATTACCAATTTCGTTAATCACATTTCAATTACTTATGTGCTTAAAACAATTATTCATGTAGGATAAAAAATCATTAACCAGCTAGTATTAGGCTTTTTTATATGCACTAGTAAAAGTTTTAAAATTTAAATGTTCTTTGTAACATTTAATTATCAATAGGGCATTTGTTAACTTGAGTTTGGCTCACATCAGATTTATTGTATGTTTTTTCTTGTTATTTGATTAATCTTGACTCTAAAATCCTGATTTCTTTTTTTTTTCTTTATTTAAAAAATCTTCCAAAACTCATCAAGGTCTGTGGTTTTCTTGGGGCATTCCGGTTTCCTCCACCAATAAAAACTAACCGCCATGAAATAGCACAGTAATGTTGAAAGTGTCTTTAAACACCAATCAATCAATCAATCAATCCAAATCTCATCTCTACCTTTTAAAGTTCCTACAACATGGTGCAGTGGGATGAATGTTCTAGCTTTCATATCCATCCCTATGTCTAGCAATTTATTAATAATATGTACTCAGATATTCAAGTTACAAAATGATGTGTATGTGTATGACCATACTTGTCAAGAAAACTATTTTATTAAAAATTGCGTAAGTTATGCATGGTGTATGAATCCATCTGTTCTAAAAATATGTTCAAGTTCAACTACAATAATGAGCAAAGGTAGATAACTCCAATTTAAAATATTGCCTAAATGTGTTCCATTCGGCTTAATACAATTCCATTTTTAATTTTAAGTTCACATTAAAAATGACCCTTCAGGGCTCACAAGCACTTTCAATTCTTTTACAGACAGCTTGCAGTGAATCACTATCAATTTTTATTCTTATTCTTTAAAAGGGCTTAATCTGTCAAATTCATGTTCACCGATTTGACTCAAATTCTCATATTTGATTTATAGCATACTAAAACATATATCCAAATTACAAAAAGTCTAAAAAAAAACAATTAACAATGCATTGACTCTATAATATGAATCAGCATTTCATGTGTTTTTTATTCTCGGCACCATCTAATTAACTCAAGATGACCTCTAAAGACTGCCGACGGTCTTATAACCTGATATAAACATAAATATAAACAGATAGCGAGCACATGCAATTAGATTTTTCTAAGTCTGTTTGAATTCATTTTATAGATTAACAGAATATGGTGATTATTGTTTTTACCTGTATAAGACAGACTATGGATTGAATCAGTCAATCAAGTGGTTCAACCTTGTTTCACTTTCAATGTTGACTTTCTTTTCCTTTTAATAGTTGAACAGGCCCAGTACATGTGTAACCAATCTCCAGCTAAGGGGTTAAATTGAAGGTCACATAAATACAGATTCACATGAGGTTGAATTATTTGATTTGCAAGTCAATAATACATCATCAATGTTTTTGAGCTTATTTTGACAAATTCACCTTCAATTATTATTATCATGCTTGTTTATTTTAATGAAGGGAATGGTTATCAATAATATTTTTATTTTATTTCAGACTGCTACAATGTTATTAGAAGCTCATCAAAGCAAAGAAGGACTTTTTTTAGTTCGGAAAAACAAGAAAGATGTTAACTATCATGTGATCACAGTTTGTCATAAACATCATGTATTTAATTATGAAGTCAAGGTTAAGGTAATTATTTTGTTAAAGGATAGTTGGTTCATATTTATGATATCACTACTGGTCATAGAGTAGTTCTCACTGGGTAACAAATTAAAACATACTCTTATATTTTCAATTATTTCAAATAAGATGTAGAAAAAGTCTTCTTTAAATATAAAGAATTGGAGATTGACCTGTCATTTGTTGTTTTCATTTGTATGCTCCTTTCGCGAAGGGTCATTAAGGTTTACCCTTGTATGCCCGTACATATGTAGGTCCAGAAATTGGTTTCTGCTTTTCTCACTTTAGTTTACCTCAACCATATGTTATGAAATGTACAAACAATGCTTATTACCACTAAACACAGATCTATTTCGAATTTGGGTGGCATCACGTTCACCATTCACGAGTTATGTCACTTTATAAATGGAAAAATTGCTGAATTTGCCATTTCCACACTCTTACTTTACTTTTTATTCCCCCACCGTAGCGGAGGGGGCATTACGTTTTACCCTTGTCCGTCTGTACATATGTATGTCCCAAAATTGGTTTCCGTTCTCTAACTTTAGTTTGCCTCAACCAAATGTTATGAAACTTATACACAGTGCTTATTACCACAAAACACAGATCAAGTTTCAATTTCGGTGGCATCACTTTTACCGTTCTAGAGTTATGAACTTTACAAAAGGAAAAGTTTCCGTTCTCTAACTTTAGTTTGCCTTAACCAAATATTATTAAACTTATACACAATGCTTATTACCACAAAACACAGATCAAGTTTCAATTTTGGTGGCGTTATGCCCCTTTACAAATGGAAAAATGTCCGTTTTTTATGCCCCTGCCGTTGCGGAGGGGGCATTAAGTTTTACCCTTGTGTGTCTGTACGTCCGTCCGTCTGTTCGTCTGTACGTCCCAAAGTTGGTTTCCATTCTCTAACTTTAGTTTGCCTCAACCAAATGTTATGAAACTTATACACAATGTTTATTACTATAAAATACAGATCAAATTTGAAATTGGGTGGCGTCACTTTTACCGTTCTTGAGTTATGCCCCTTTCTAAACAGAAAAATTGCTGAATTTTTTCGTTTCTGTTCTTTAACTTAAGTTTGCCTCTACGAAATGTTATGAAACTTATACACAATGCTTATTTCCATAAAATACAACCAAGTTTGAATTTTGGTGGTATCACTTTTACCGTTCTTGAGTTATGCCTATTTACAAATGGAAAATTTGCTGAATTTTTCATTTCTGTTCTCTAACTTAAGTTAGCCACAACCAAATGTTATGAGACTTATACACAATACTTATTACCACAAAATACAGATCAAGTACAAATTTGGGTAACATCCTTTTTACTTTTCTTCAGTTATGTCCCTTTATAACTTCATTATAATATGCAAGCGGGGGCATCATCTGTGTCCCATGGACACATTCCCCATTTATTTTTTTTGTTTCCGTTTAAAACACATTTAAAAAAAAAAAATATTTTAAAGGCATTTATGGTTGGATTTTTACAAATAAGGTATTGAAAGATGCAGAATTTTCTAAAAAATATTTGTCATGTACATACGTCTCAAAATTGGTTTCCGTTCTCTAACTTTAGTTTGCCTCAACCAAATGTCATGAAACTTATACACAATGCTTATTATCACAAAACACAGATCATGTTTGAATTTTGGTGGGGTCACTTTTACCGTTTTAGAGTTATGCCACTTTACAAATGGAAAAATTCCTGAATTATTTGTTTCTGTTCTCTAACTTTAGTTTACCTCAATCAAATGTTATGAAACCTATGCACAATACTTATTACCACAAAACTCAGATCAAGTACAAATTTGGGTAGCATCACTTTTACAGTTCTTGAGTTATATCCCTTTATAGTGTTATATGCAAGGGAGGGCATCATCTGTGTCCCATTGACACATTCCCCATTTATTTAGTTTTACTTTAGCACTCGAACCCCTGAGTAATCTAAGGACTACATACAGAAACAAATGTCATAAAATTTCAAAGAAAACAAAACGTCAATAGGTTTGATTTGTACATTGATTCTTTCATATTTACAAGCGGGGGCATCTGTGTCCCAAGGACACATTCTCCTTTTAATTATTTTATCAATTTATAGCACACATATAAGAATGAAAAATATCATGGTTAGAACTGCTCCTTGGCAAAACTTCTCTGTTACTAGTAACTATCTCTGACATCTTACAAATAAGGAGCCATGTCATTTAAAAAGGAAAAAGCAATGTCTTACAGCATACTTAAAATAAATTATTTTGTCCAAAAAACATCCAGGAATGAGAATTTTTAACTAGAAAAGTTTGAATGTAGGTACACCTCACATGCTTATATATTTTTTATAAAAAAAAACTTTTTATAAAAATGCATTATCATTTCTTCACTGATTTTCACAAGTTGTTCACAATTAACAGCAGAACTTTTCATGAATTAATCATTAAGTGCCATTCTGCCTAAGAATCAGGCAGTGGTGAAAACATGACAAACAAAAAACCCACCCAAGTTTACACTAATTTATGTTCAAAATGTATAATGGTGCACGAAAATAACATTCGTTTCCTTTTCTTGTTCTGGTAATTCAAGATATAATTTGGTTGAAATGCAAAAAAAATAAAAAATTAAGGGGAGCTAACTCTGTAATTTGCTATCATTCTAACTGAAAGTTATCTTATGGATTTCTCCAATTATTAGACATGTAGGAACAAAAGACCTACCATTTCTAACTCAGGATGATGCTAACTTCAAAATAGGATGGTTAGGTCTGTTTTTTTTTGGAAATTCTTCTAAATTGCCTGATTCTTACAAAGACTGGCACTTAAACACAAAGTTAAATTTTTGATTTCACATTTACAACAAAAAACACATAGAAATTTAAATAGCGTTTTAAAGATTGTTTCAGAAAAAAAATATTTCTATTTCTGAAAGTGGTAAAAATTTTGTTGCTGTTGGCACAGAATTAATTTTAAGAAAGAATTTTGATAAAAGTGAAATATGAAAATATATGAATATTCTCATTTGCATATTAATGGAATGGAATTTCATTTAATGAGTTTTAAACAAATGCAATTTAACCATTTTTTGCCTTCTGTAAATTTAATAGCGACTATGTAAATAAGCACAAAACTAAGTGATTTCTCAATTGCCGTAAATTACATAACATGTAAAATAACATATTTGCTATGACTATTTCAGGACTTTAAGGGCCAGTTAGTACATTATATAGATGATGGACCATTATTTGATGGCTTAGAGAGATTAGTGGAACATTACCACAGAACCAAAGATGGACTTATAACTACATTGACCAGTGCTCTTTCAACTGGTTTGTCTTGTTAAATATTTATGACTTAAAACACTAGTATTTTTTTTTGTGAAGATTAAAACTTACCTTCTTTAAAACAAAAACATCTTCATGGTCAGATTCATAGGAAGATGTGGCTTTTCCTTTAGAACCTGGCTGGGAGAATTGTAAAAACTTTTAGAGAGAAGGGTTTGATTATTGAAGGCCTTACTCTACTTGTTTCCTACAAAATAGCTTTGAAATTTTAATCTTTTTCATGATTCTACCTATTTTCTCCAAAATTATATGGAATAGGTAGAAACTGATAAGGCATAAATGATCAGCAATATACATTTTCTACAAAAATGTGAATAAGAAAGAAAACAATGGATGACTTAGTAAAGAGTTATTGCCCTTGAATGACAATTTTTTTTTTACTAATTTTAGTATTTTGCCTATTATTATTTCGGAAACTATTATAGATAGGTGTAATCAGAAATACAAGATCTACGTAAAATGTCAGTACAACAGAAACAATTGGTTAACTCCTTAGGGAGTTAAAGACTAAAACAAAGATTTCTTTTATATATTTTACGAAGATTTCTTTTATATATCTTATGTCCATAATATATTTTTTCAAAGATCTTCTCCTTTGAATCTACTTAACCACTTTCAACAAAACTTGGTATCTTGTATCAATCATGTGTTTTTTTTCCCAGTCAGTCAACAGACATGGCTGCCATGGCTAAAAATAGAACATAAGGGGAAAATGCATTTATTGTATTGGTTTGTATCCAATTTATTTTTGGCAAAAATGCCAGGTGAGCATTATTTGCTTCTCTGAACCTCTAGTTTTATATAGTATCTCTTTATTATTTTCACTCTTCATGCATTTATTTTGGCAAATATATAAGACCACAGCAGATTTAAAGTATAAATAAAAAATGAAAAGAAAAATATCTATTATCAGTCAAAATTGTATGCATCAGATTTCTTTAATTCATGCCACTTTACATATTTATTACACAGAATAAGATATCTAATAATCTTAAATTCACACCAATTTAAATGTTTTATTTCTCTTACAGCTGAAACAGTACTACCACTTATACCAGATGATCTTGATGATTATTATAACGTGCCAGATAATGATGAAGGTTAGTTTTTATTTCCAGAGAAAGTTAGGATAAGAGTGTTAAAGAAATGCATTCAGTTGAAAAAAATATGCTTCCATAAATATTTTTATGCCCCTGCCGTAGCAGAGGGGGCATTAAGTTTTACCCTTGTCCATCTGTACGTCTGTCGGTACGTCCCAAAGTTGGTTTCCGTTCACTAACTTTAGTTTGCCTCAACCAAATGTTATGAAACTTATACACAATGCTTATTACCACAAAACACAGATCAAGTTTGAATTTTGGTGGTGTCATTTTTACCGTTTTAGAGTTATGCCCCTTTACAAATGGAAAAATTGCTGAATTTTTCATTTCCGTTCTCTAACTTAAGTTTGCCTCAACCAAATGTTATGAAACTTATACACAATACTTATTACCACAAAATACAGATCAAGTACAAATTTGGGTAGCGTCACTTTTACCGTTCTTCAGTTATGTCCCTTTATAACTTCATATGATATACAAGCGGGGGGATCATCTGTGTCCCATGGACACATTCCCCATTTATTATACGACCGCAAAAAAATTTTGTGGTCGTAAATTGGTATGACGTTTGGCGTCGTTGTCGTCGTCCGAAGACACATTGGTTTTTGCACTCTAACTTTAGTTTAAGTGAATGGATCTCTATGAAATTTTACCATAAGATTCAATACCACAAAAGGAAGGTGGGGATTGATTTTGGGGGTTATGGTACCAACAGTTAAGGAATTAGGGGCCAAAAAGGGGCCAAAAATAAGCATTTTTGTAACTTCCAGACATAACTTGTGTGTTAGTGTATGGATTTCTCTGAAATTGTACCACAAGGTTCCATATCACAAAGGGAATGCTGGGATTGATTTTGGGGGTAAATGCCTCCAAATTTTAGGAATTAGGGGTCAAAAAGGGGCAAAAAACAAGCATTTTTCTTTTTCATGACAATAACTTGTGTGTAAGTGTATGGATCTTTAAATTGTACTACAAGGTTCCATATCACAAAGGGAAAGCTGGAATTGAGTTTGGGGGTAATTGCCCAAAATATTTAGGAATAAGGGGCCAAAAAATAAGCATTTTTCTAGTTTCCAGACAATTACTTGTGTTCAAGTGTATGGATCTCTCTGAAATTGTACTGCAAGTTACCATACCACAAAGGGAAGGCTGGGATTGGGTTTGGGGGTAATTGCCTCAAAATTTTAGGAATTAGGGGCCATAAAGGGGCAAAAAAACAAGCATTTTTCTAGTTTCAGGACAGTAACTTTTGTGTAAGTGTATTGATCTTTATGAAATTGTACTACAAGGTTCCATATCACAAAGGGAAAGCTGGGTTTGAGTTTGGGGGTAATTGCCCTAAACATTTAGGAATTTGGGGACAAAATGGGGCCAAAAAACAAACATTTTTCTAGTTTCCAGACAATAACTTGTGTTCAAGTGTATGGATCTCCCTGAAATTGTACTGCAAGGTACCATACCACAAAGGAAAGGCTGGGATTGAGTTTGGGGGTGATGAATCATAAGGGGGTTCAAAAAATTTGGGGGGGGATTTTTTTTCCTTTTTTTTCTTTAAAATTTTCCATTTTAAATTGGTTATTTCTGATTTATATATAAAAGAAAATAATAATGATATGGTTTGAATAGGTAAATTAAAATTTTTTAGATAAGTTCTTAGACCACATTCATTATGTGTCAGATACCTATGCTGTGTCAAATATTTAATTACAATCCAAATTCAGTGCTGTATCAAGCTTGAATGTTGTGTCCATACTTGCCTCAACTGTTCAGGGTTCGACCTCTGCGGTCGTATCAAGCTGCGCCCCAGCGGAGCATTTTATTTTATACTATTTTCATACTTCAAATTGAAATTGTGTCTTTGGTTTCATTATAGTTTGTTGGCCTTAAGTGCAGTAGATTATTTCATTATAGCTTGTTGGCCTTAAGTGCAATAGATTATTTCATTATAGCTTGTTGGCCTTAAGTGCAGTAGGTTATTTCATTATAGTTTGTTGGCCTTAAGTGCAGTAGGTTATTTCATTATAGTTTGTTGGCCTTGAGTGCAGTAGGTTATTTCATTACAGTTTGTTGGCCTTGAGTGCAGTAGGTTATTTCATTATAGTTTGTTGGCCTTAAGTGCAGTAGGTTATTTGTTGGCCTTAAGTGCAGTAGATTATTTCATTATAGCTTGTTGGCCTTAAGTGCAATAGGTTATTTCATTATAGCTTGTTGGCCTTAAGTGCAGTAGGTTATTTCATTATAGCTTGTTGGCCTTAAGTGCAATAGGTTATTTCATTATAGCTTGTTGGCCTTAAGTGCAGTAGATTATTTCATTATAGCTTGTTGGCCTTAAGTGCAATAGGTTATTTCATTATAGCTTGTTGGCCTTAAGTGCAATAGGTTATTTCATTATAGTGTGTTGGCCTTAAGTGCAGTAGGTTATTTCATTATAGTGTGTTGGCCTTAAGTGCAGTAGGTTATTTCATTATAGTTTGTTGGCCTTGAGTGCAGTAGGTTATTTCATTATAGTTTGTTGGCCTTGAGTGCAGTAGGTTATTTCATTATAGTTTGTTGGCCTTAAGTGCAGTAGATTATTTCATTATAGTTTGTTGGCCTTAAGTGCGGTAGGTTATTTCATTATTGTTTGTTGGCCTTAAGTGCGGTAGGTTATTTCATTATAGTTTGTTGGCCTTAAGTGCAGTAGATTATTTCATTATAGTTTGTTGGCCTTAAGTGCAGTAGATTATTTCATTATAGCTTGTTGGCCTTAAGTGCAGTAGGTTATTTCATTATAGTGTGTTGGCCTTAAGTGCAGTAGGTTATTTCATTATAGTTTGTTGGCCTTAAGTGCAGTAGGTTATTTCATTATAGTTTGTTGGCCTTGAGTGCAGTAGGTTATTTCATTATAGTGTGTTGGCCTTGAGTGCAGTAGGTTATTTCATTATAGTGTGTTGGCCTTAAGTGCAGTAGGTTATTTCATTATAGTGTGTTGGCCTTGAGTGCAGTAGGTTATTTCATTATAGTGTGTTGGCCTTGAGTGCAGTAGGTTATTTCATTATAGTGTGTTGGCCTTAAGTGCAGTAGATTATTTCATTATAGTTTGTTGGCCTTAAGTGCAGTAGGTTATTTCATTATTGTTTGTTGGCCTTAAGTGCAGTAGATTATTTCATTATAGTTTGTTGGCCTTAAGTGCAGTAGGTTATTTCATTATAGTTTGTTGGCCTTTAGTGCAGTAGGTTATTTCATTATAGTTTGTTGGCCTTAAGTGCAGTAGGTTATTTCATTATAGTTTGTTGGCCTTAAGTGCAGTAGGTTATTTCATTATAGTTTGTTGGCCTTAAGTGCAGTAGGTTATTTCATTATAGTTTGTTGGCCTTGAGTGCAGTAGGTTATTTCATTATAGTGTGTTGGCCTTAAGTGCAGTAGATTATTTCATTATAGTTTGTTGGCCTTAAGTGCAGTAGGTTATTTCATTATAGTTTGTTGGCCTTAAGTGCAGTAGGTTATTTCATTATAGTTTGTTGGCCTTGAGTGCAGTAGGTTATTTCATTATAGTGTGTTGGCCTTAAGTGCAGTAGGTTATTTCATTATAGTTTGTTGGCCTTAAGTGCAGTAGGTTATTTCATTATAGTTTGTTGGCCTTGAGTGCAGTAGGTTATTTCATTATAGTGTGTTGGCCTTAAGTGCAGTAGGTTATTTCATTATAGTTTGTTGGCCTTAAGTGCAGTAGGTTATTTCATTATAGTTTGTTGGCCTTAAGTGCAGTAGGTTATTTCATTATAGTTTGTTGGCCTTAAGTGCAGTAGGTTATTTCATTATAGTTTGTTGGCCTTAAGTGCAGTAGATTATGAGTTCAATCCCTAGTTATCAAAACAGAGACTTTAAATTCTGTATTTGCTGCTTCTCTGTGATCTAGAATGCAGAAGTCTTTATGTAGATGCTTAAAGATGAGTTTCCAAATGTTATTCTTTTATTTAAAAAATATACAGATTATCATGTCTTGGTATTTTAGAAAAGTAAGGGGTTGTTGTCACATTCTAGTCTCATTGATGTTTATCCCTCATCTATTATCTCAAATGTTACCGCCTCTCTGGTCTCTTATTAGTGTGCTTGCCTTTTATGGGAAGGTTATGGGTTCAATACCTTGCCAGTTAAAAAGAAAGACCTTGAAAATTAGTTTTTGACGATTTTCTGCTAAGCATGCTGCATTTAGCATGGGTGTTAGAATAATCTGTTCTGGAAGAGTGACATGTCTTCTTATGGATTTCTATTAGCACATTAAATATCTAGCTAAGCATCTAAGCATGTAGATCTTGTATTAAGCAGAAAACTTTTTCATACCACTTGAGGCTGTTCTCATACTTAACATGAAACACTTGCCACTGGATGTTAAACACCAATTATTGGCAATCCATCCATCTAAAATGTAGATTTGATTAAGTATTAGTGGGAAATATACATAGATTGAACAAAATGTTCATGCCCATGAGGATTCAAGTTATTCTAAATTAGCTTGATTTTTATCTGCATAATTTAGTTATATTAGTATGAAGTGCAGCTGTATTTTTTTTATAACTATATATTATTCCATTGAGAGAAAAAATATTTTTAGCAAGGGAATTCTTTAGGAAGATTTATGTGTATACCTCTAAAGAAATTTTGCATTAATGCTGACTTATATTTGCATCTTTTCTTAGATCGACCAAAATTACCACCTCGCCATGATAGTCCTGCAGAAGAAATATATGAAACAGCAGACGATGATGTTCCTGCAACTCCTCCACCTCTGCCTTCTAGTCAGGTTAGTGTATATAGACCAGCTCTGCTTTCTAGTCAGGTTAGTGTATATAGACCACCTCTGCCTTCTAGTCAGGTTAGTGTATATAGACCACCTCTGCCTTCTAGTCAGGTTAGTGTATATAGACCACCTCTGCCTTCTAGTCAGGTTAGTGTATATAGACCACCTCTGCCTTCTAGTCAGGTTAGTGTATATAGACCACCTCTGCCTTCTAGTTAGGTTAGTATATATAGACAATCCTGGAGATATTTTAAGCTTGATGCCTGGCAGAATGTTATTTTTTTTCAGAGGTCAAGTCATAAATCCAAATCGGAACATGCAATAACCTGAGAAGACCGTACAGTTCTAAGTATCAATTAATAGTGCTATCAAAATTTGAAATATGAAAAATGATGTAGATTTTTTTATACGACCGCAAAAATTTAAAAAAATTTTGGTCGTATATTGGTATTACGTTGTCGTTGTCGTCGTCGTCAGCGTCGTCTGAAGACAGATGGTTTCCGGATAATAACTTTAGTATAAGTAAATAGAAAGCAATAAAATTTTAACACAAGGTTTATAAGCACTAAAGGAAGGTTGGGATTGATTTTGGGGGTTATGGTCCCAACTGTTTAGGAAAAAGGGGCCCAAATAAGTATTTTTGTAGTTTCCAGACAATAACTTGTGTTAAAGTGTATGAATCTCTCTGAAATTATACCACAAGTTTCCATACTTCAAAGGGATGGTTAGGATTGACTTTGGGGGGTTATGGCTCAAACCATTTAGGAATTAGGGGCAAAAAAAGGGGAAAAAACAAGGGTTTTTCTGGTTAAAGGACAATTGAGACAATTTAAAAGCAGTGTAAGGGAGGTAATCCAAATCAAAATCCAAATCAATTTAAATAATGATGTTTGATTACCTCCCTTACACTGCTTGTAAATTATGTATTAAGAAATGATGATTGTCTGAGATACTGACCATAACTTGAGGGAAAGAATTATTTTTTGGAATAAGGGAAAGGGGGGGGGGGGGGGGGGGGGAGGTGAAAAAAATTGGAGGGGGACAATTTTTCTCATTTCAGATTTCAGAAATTGAAAGAAAATTTCTTCAAATATTTTTTGGGGGGTTAATATTCAACAGCATAGTGTATTGCACAAACGCAAAAAAAACGGGGTAAAATTTTTTTTGGGGGGGGGTCAAATTGCACAAAAGCAAAAAATTGAATATAAATTCAAATCATATAACCAATTTGAAGTTCTTTGACTACATTTATTGTGTCAGAAACCTTATTATGTGTCAAAAATTTAATTACAATCCAAATTCAGACCTGTATCAAGCGCGAATATTGTGTCCATTTTGGCCCCAACTTTTCAGGGTTGGACATCTGCGGTCGTATCCAGCTGTGCTCAGCGAAGCAATTTATTTTATCTTTCATGTACATTACAGCCACAAGTAATTGTAGGAAAGCAACACAAATCATTACAGCCACAAGTAATTGTAGGAAAGCAACACAAAGCATTACAGCCACAATTAATTGTAGGAAAGCAACACAAATCATTACAGCCACAAGTAATTGTAGGAAAGCAACACAAATCATTACAGCCACAAGTAATTGTAGGAAAGCAACACAAATCATTACAGCCACAAGTAATTGTAGGAAAGCAACACAAATCATTACAGCCACAATTAATTGTAGGAAAGCAACACAAATCTTTACAGCCACAAGTAATTGTAGGAAAGCAACACAAATCATTACAGCCACAAGTAATTGTAGGAAAGCAACACAAATCTTAACAGCCACAAGTAATTGTAGGAAAGAAACACAAATCATTACAGCCACAAGTAATTGTAGGAAAGCAACACAAATCATTACAGCCACAAGTAAATGTAGGATAGCAACACAAATCATTACAGCCACAAGTAATTGTAGGAAAGCAACACAAATCATTACAGCCACAAGTAATAGTAGGATAGCAACACAAATCATTACAACCACAAGTAATTGTAGGAAAGCAACACAAATCTTTACAGCCACAAGTAATTGTAGGATAGCAACACAAATCATTTAAGTACAGTCAGCTTATTCACAGTTTAATTTCTGGTAGTGTAAGAATTAATAATTATGCTGCCTAGGCATGATAGAATCAAATTTTCTGTCATAATCAGAATAGTGTAAAATATTCATGATTTTTTTTTGAATATATCAACCTGGTTTTAAACTACACTTTTGAACAAGTGTAAAAATTCCCAAAGAAAACCTTTACTTGTTTAAATCATTCAAAGAGAACCCTTAAAAACCTTTTTTAAACCTCCAAAGAAATGAATTAGTGAATAGTGTCTCTGAAGTTTTCAAATAATTGTTGATTTCATGCCATTTGCTTAGCAAAGTACAGTTGCATCCTTAGAATAATACTTTTGGTCAAGTATGGTTTGGAAACCTTGACGATTCGGTTGACTCATCACTAAGAATCAATGATGCTGTTACACAGTAATAATAGAAGTCATACCAGGATGATTGCTTCTCTAGTTTTATTTGATATTTAAGATAATATGCACGCATACAAGGATTAATTAATCTTTTAAGTTTAATGAGAGATTTCAGATGAGAAGTCCCTAAATCCACACACAGAATTTTTAAATAAACTAAAATATATCTTTAAGATTCATGCTGACAGTCTACTTATGCCCCTTTCATGTACACCAATTTTTCTAATGAGTCCTTATGGATTGCACAAATTAACAAATCAACAACAAAAATTTGTTACGAGTCATTTACAGATTCTTGGGAGCAGTTTACAGATGGTTATCTGTTGTTGCAAGCGGTTTATGAAACTTGTGGATTGTTACATGTTATTTACGAAATAATGACATGTCATAAAATTTGCCTTTCCTTTCATTGATCCTCTAAGAGTGTCTGTGAGTTGTTACGAGTTATTTACAGATACCACCGGGTTATTTACAGATGCTCACAATTGACCATGAGTTGATGATCCGTATGGACTCATATGGAAAATCTGTGTATGTGAGGGGTTATTAGTTTTAAGTTTAGCCTTATATGTTGTGTATACTTATATTTTTTGTATTACTGGTAATGACTTTAGATTTGTAATAGCCTTATATTGATAAGTTTAATTTATTACAGCCTCCTCCAGTGAAAAAGGTTATGTCAGTAGAACCAAAGGAAGAAGAAAAAGAAGTCTGGAATATAATTGATAAAAAAGACATTAAAATTTGTACGTATTCTATTTGATAAATCAGTATAAACACAACTCGCATATGCATCAAATCAATAACAAAAAATGTCTTCTAGTTTTAATGGGAACAGAATCAGATCATATGTGTTTAGTTACCGTGACTACAAACCAAAATATTAGACAAAGGAAACAAAGTTGTAATTCTGTTGATGATTCAGCATCCCAACTGATTGACACTTAACTTTGAAAAATGGTGCAATTGTGGAAATTGGCAGTTAATGCCCATAACAGAGGAATTTATTTGTTGCAGACATACAAATTTGTCTATCCAATTTTAGATGATTATCAATGTATTACACAAATTGATGGTTATGAAAATCTTATTCTAACCCCAAAGTTCAGGAAACATGAAACTGCAACACAAATAGTTGCAACACACAGAATGATGGGAAATTAAAATTTGATAATTTTATGTGTGTACAACTATGCTGTATAAACAAGTCTAAATTGAAAACAACGTTCAAACCTATGATTGCGTTGGATAAAAACCGCAATTTTTATACGTGTGCATGCAAAACAAATTTCTTGTTAGAGGGGTCTAAATACAGCACAAACAACATTTTCCAGAAGACCAAAAAAGTGAAAAAGTATATTTTAACAAAACGCATTTGACTAACAGGTCGAACAACAAATGTTCTTAAACCCTGCTGACTGCCATTGGCGATTGCCAAATAAACGGATCACCGATGTAATAAATGGATCTTAATTTTGAATTTAATACTAAACAGAAAACAATAAACTTGCGGAAAAGATGATATACCGCAAACAAAAGGTGCAAAGGTTTTTGTACACCATATCCGGATTTCGACAAATAATGTCTCTTCAGTGATGTTAGGAATCGAAACGGTATTTGGAAAGCCCAACAATTTACCGAAGAGACATTATTTGTCGAAATCCGGATATGGTGTACAAAAACCATTGCACCTTTTGTTTGCGGTATATCATCTTTTCCGCAAGTTTATTGTTTTCTGTTTAGTATTAAATTCAAAATTAAGATCCATTTATTACATTGGTGATCCGTTTATTTGGCAATTGCCAATGGCAGTCAGCAGGGTTTAAGAACATTTGTTGTTCGACCTGTTAGTCAAATGCGTTTTGTTAAAATATACTTTTTCACTTTTTTGGTCTTCTGGAAAATGTTGTTTGTGCTGTATTTAGACCCCTCCAACTATGCTGTATAATATATTTATATACAAGTCCTGTTATTATACGACTGCAAAATGTTGTCGTCGTCGTCAGCGTCGTCCGAAGACATTTGGTTTCTGGACAATAACTTAAGTAAATGTAAATAGAAATCTATGAAATTTAAATACAAGGTTTATAACCTCAAAAGGAAGGTTGGGATTGATTTGGGGGTTATAGTCCTAACAGTTTAGGTTTTTAGGGGCTAAAAAGGGGCCTAAATAAGCATTTTTCTAGTTTCCTGACAATAACTTGTGGAACGGTGTATGGATCTCTCTGAAATTATACCACAAGTTTCCATACCACAAAGGTATGGTTAGGATTTGCTTTGGGGGGTTATGGCTCAAACCGTTAGGAATTAGGGGCAAAAAAGGAGGAAAAACAAGGGTTTCCTGGTTAATGAACAATTTAAAAAAGTACAATGTTATGTTTGGATTACTTCCCTTACACTGCTTTTAAATTATGTATAAAGAAATGTTGTATTGTCTTGAGGTGATTAGCTGTCAATTTATTTTTAGAAGTTACTATTTAAAATTGCTGATTAAGGAATATTAATTTTAGCCATGATTATGTATGTCATTTTCTATTTTAAGACTTTTATGATGTATTTAAATGGGTAATTATGGTTGCAATCTCCATTGGAAATTTGAATTGAGATTATGACCATATCTTGAGGAAAAGAATTTTATTTTGGAAAAAGGGGGGGGGGGGGGTTAAAAAAGAAATTGTGGGGGGGACAATTTTTTCTCATTTCAGATTTTTTTTTTGGGGGGGGGGGGGGGGGGGGGGTCAATTCGCAACAGCATAGTGTATTGCACAAAAGCAAAAAATTGAATATGAATTCAAATCATATAACCAATTCTAAGTTCTTTGACTATGGTTATTCTGTGTCAGAAACCTATTATGTATCAAATATTTAATTACAATCCAAATTCAGACCTGTATCAAGCGCGAATATTGTGTCCATTTTTGCCCCAACTGTTCAGGTTTGGACCTCTGCGGTCTAATCCAGCTGCGCTCGGCGAAGCAATTTATTTCAGTATATTAGACTATTTTTTTTACTTTTTGCGCCTTTAAACTTTATTTAATGCTGTTAACATTTTTTTTTTCAGTGGAAAAACTTGGAGAAGGAGAATATGGTGAGGTGAAGAAGGGGAAATATACTAGGAGAGATGCCAAAGGGAAAAATCCACATAAGGTAAGAAGGGGAAATATACTAGGAGAGATGCCAAAGGGGAAAATCCACATAAGGTATAGATGCTCTACTTTTTAGGTTTATCTGAAAAATCTCACATATTTATCATATAATGATAGTACAGAATATTTTCATCTGTTATATTCACAGAATAATTATTTGTATAGGGTTATTGCATGAATATTGGTGAAATTTGGTCTCAAGTCGATTTTTATATTGCACGAGCTTGCAAGTTCTATAAGGGATAGTATTCATCATTATTCATGCAATAACCCTTTCATTGCATAGCTTAGCTTGAACAATTGTTCAAAACATTTTTTGTCACTGATAAGCTATATTTGAACTAGTGCATTATCAAAGATAATTACATCTTATATAAGTATCCTGGATTTTCATTGGTTGATAGCTGATGTTTTGTTCATGTATTTTGTTTAATAAAATGAATATTGTTCATACTACATCATTGCTGGCGTATTTGCACAAGGATATGCCTTTTTTATCCTCTCTTTCATATTTATTGCCAAAACGTATGGGCCTTTTTACCCTTCACAGAGACGCTTGATCATTTGTGGGCTTTATTAAATGCAGTTGTATTTCCCAACTTCTTAAAATGAAAGAATAATGGAATTAAGATTCTAATGTTAAATTTTAACATCTCTATTGATATTTTTTGTTATTAAACAGAAATAACTTGTTCATGAGGGGTATTTGATGAGTCTTGATTTCTTTTCTAATTCCATCTCTACGATTTTGTTATATATTAGTAGATCTTTACATCAGTTTGTTTGTTTATAAACATTTATATCATAGATTTTACAATTTTGGGGTATTTTTTTCAGATTGAAGTAGCAATAAAAACATTTCATACTGACCTTAATAATGATGCAGCATTAAAGAGCATAAAGGAGGAAGCTAAACTAATGTCTCAACTCAAACATGAATGTATAGTAGAATTATTTGGAGTTTGTGACTCACCATTTATGTTGGTATGTAGTACTGTGTAAGAAACAGCCAGTAGGAAAGGCATAGTTGAAAAGCCAACTAACAATTTATTTGCATCTTTTACTTAGGAAACCAAACATAAATTTTGGCCAGGGGGACCTTCTATCTTTGCTCATTTTCCCCTTCCCCTTTACTTTTTGGTATCCTTTCAGTTTTCTCCCATTCTGTATAAAAGATTAATTTGATATAATAATGGTATAGTGCAGTTATCATTCAAATGTAGACACAATCATTTTCTTGCAATGATTTTTGTTCTACTCTATTAACCTTGAATTGTCAAAATATTGGTCAAAACATTGGTCAAATTTGTTTGGATGCAATCGTCTGTAGCTGGTCATCTGACTGGCCTCAATTGTTGTTGTTTCAAGGATTGAGATCTCTAAAATTAGAATTATTTTAAATCAGCCAAATATTCATCAGTGGTTGTCTTATGTCACTGATGATATCTTAATATTTTTATTTTTTTTGGGAGAATTTAGTATTTACAACAGGTCTTTGATCCTTTCTATTTAATTAATACATGTGCAACTGTTTTAAACTCTGGGTGGATTTACAACTCAAAATATTGTGTAGAAATCGGTCTATTTTTAAAAGCTGTTTGTTACTTTCTAGATGTCTTTTGGTTTTTTTGGTGTTATTGGGTTGCTGTCTCAACAACATTGATTTAATAAAAAATCTTGTTCCTATATGTTACAATATGTGGAACTGGATCTTCTTACTCTTCCGGAGAATCTGAGACCCCCCCCCCCCCCCCCATTTTTGGTGGGGTTCATGTTGCTCAGTCTTTAGTTTTCTATGTTTTTTTATACTGTTTATTGTTTTTTGGTAGATTTTCTTATTTGGCCATGGCATTGTCAGTTATTTGGTAGATTTTCTTATTTGGCCATGGCATTGTCAGTTATTTGGTAGATTTTCTTATTTGGCCATGGCATTGTCAGTTTTTTGGTAGATTTTCTTATTTGGCCATGGCATTGTCAGTTTTTTGGTAGATTTTCTTATTTGGCCATGGCATTGTCAGTTTTTTGGTAGATTTTCTTATTTGGCCATGGCATTGTCAGTTATTTCATTGACTTTTGAGTTTCGATATCCATTTGGTATGGTCCGTTTTTACTGTAAAAAAGTAATTTTATTACAATTCAAAATAATTGTTTGTCCCTATAGAGACATGCCTCTCCTTTACACACTCCGAATGAATGGAAGTGCCTTATTATTCATAAAATTTATAGAAATTACAAATATGCAGTACAAAACTTAGTTAGAAGTGGGGGTGGTAAGCAAAGTGGACAAATATTCCATTCAAATGAGAAGGTGGGCACAACAAATATAAGTGAATTGCTGTCATATATATATTTAAATCAAGTGTCCAATACTGTAGAGAACCAAGAGAGAGGGTTTAAAGGATGGGGTTGTCTTTATCAGAAAAGTTTTACCCTAAAAGATTCAACTTGAGGGTAAAAAATATCCATTTTACTGGTAGCTCATTAAGCCTTACAAAAAACTGCTTAGTGACTGTCAAATCCAGAATTGACAGTGACCACTCTTCATACACCAACCAATTCATTGACCTTCCATTAATCTTTTGCTTACTTTCAACAGGTAGAAGAATACATACCTGAGGGATCTATGTTAGATTATCTAGTCAAGCATGGTGAGAAGAAAGTGAAAGTAGACACCCTTAAACTGTGGGCTGCTGAGATAGCAAATGGGATGCAGCATTTAGAGAAGATGAGGGTTGTACATAGAGATCTTGCAGCAAGGAATATACTTGTGATGAATTTAATGCAGGTAAAATAACATCCTTGTCAAGCTATATTCTATATTTGTCATAGATATTAACTGCAGTGTGAAACAGAACTCTTTTTATTGGTCTTCCCATGCAGTTGTACACCCCCTAGCTCAGCATTTGAACTGGCCCTTATAACTTTGACCAAGAATTATCAATTATTCATCTGGTTAGCATATTTAACAAGACAAAACTGTTGTAGCATTCAAGTAAACCCCCTTAATTCAATCTGATAAATCAAATACCGTTACTGTAAATTTACAATAATCAAATACCCGTACTATTAATTTACAATAATCAAATACCCGTACTCTAAATTTACAATAATCAAATACCTGTACTATAAATTTACAATAATCAAATACCTGTACTATAAATTTACAATAATCAAGTACCATACTATAAATTTACAATAATCAAATACCTGTACTATAAATTTGCAATAATCAAGTACCGTACTATAAATTTACAATAATCAAATACTGGTACTATAAATTTACAATAATCAAATACCGGTACTATAAATTTATAATAATCAAATACCTGTACTGTAAATTTACAATAGTCAAATACTGGTACTGTATATTTACAAGTAGAACAATACCTGAGGATGTGCTTAAAGGAATATAAAGTCAGTCCAACATTTTGAAGGGGAGATAATCAAATTTGCTGGGAGGGGATATCTTTTTTGTGAGAACAATCTCAGTTTTAGCTCTTCCTCCAAACAACAGAAAGGGGGATATAGTAATAGGTTATATTGGTCTGATTGTGGCTTTACTGTAAAGTGATTTATTAACGTGGAATTTAAATTTGACAATTTCTACGCCCAAAATTGTTTGCAAGGTTTTATTTTCTATTTTATATGATCTTCCTTAAACATCAAATTATATTGATATGGGATATTTTCATGATTTTATCCTAATCTTGAAATTGTGAAATAAGGGAATATAAACTACTTCCAAAATTTCCCACTTTACAGTATTCATAACATTTTGTATAAAGGATACAATATGAATATATTGGATGTGTTTTTAGTTCATAATGGTCTGTCAAATATTTTTTCAGAAAATATAAGTTTTTAGCTGGAAATTAATTCTCTTTCATGCGGTAATAAGTAGAATTTCAGGATTTCATTATTTTTTTTAATAAAGGCTGCAATTATAAACATCTTTGAGAAGTTTTCAGAAGATGGGAGCAATACAGGGTTGGCAAAGTATTACCCGGGCTGAGCAATACTCCCAGAAATGGGTAATACTGGGCAATACTGGGCAATTTGATTTTTAAGCTTACTTTTACACAGAATAGTAAATACTTGTTGTAGTTTCATAGTATAATAGCTAAATATACATTTTATACAGATAACCATTGAGTCATTTCTAGAGGATTGAAAATTCAATTTCTTCCTTTTCTCCAATACTTCTGCATGTATGTAGACAGAATACAAGTTTTGCACATTTTAGGATACCTTGTTAATTTTCAAGGTTTGTTTCAATAATCCAAACCTTTGAAAAAATTGATTTTCATTGCAGTGTTTAAGTGAATCATAAATTTTAATTGTGATACACTCATATTGCTAAATAAACAAATTTGTGTTATATTCTGAATAATTACTTATTAATCAGTGATGTACATATATAACGCTTATAAGTAAACATTTTTAGCAATGAACAAAATTTGTTTAAAAGTAATTTTCCTTACATATATTTGGTAATTTATAATAGTTAATATATTTAAAAAAAAAAATCAAATTGAATTCTTTGGCTTTATGATAACAGTTTGACCTATCTAACCAGAATGAAGAATTAAGAGATTTTTAGGAGGATTATTAAGGAAAGCTTTTCACATTTGTCTAATGTGTCCATGTACACTTGGCTGGAACTTTCTCAGATTTCTACACTTTATAATAAGAGTCTCAAACAAGTGAACTTATCAATTAAAATACAATTTTTTATTTTTATAAATATCTTTAATGTATTGCATTTGTGGTTAATCACTGAATCCTCTTTAAAATTCAAGCCAGTATTTTTTATTACACAGTATTGCCCAGTATTACCTGATAAAACCCAGTAAAACCCGGGTTTTCCCAGTATTTCCCACTGGGCTGGGCAATACCTATAAAACCCGGGTTTTTGCCAACCCTGGAGCAATACCTCAAATATTTATTGTATAAATACAATAAATATTCTTATGTATGCCAGGGTTTTACTCATTGTGGAAAGCCTTATGAAGACCTAAAGTTGTTAACTTCTACTTCATTTGGTCTCTGGTGGAGAGTTGTCTTATTGACTGTGGATTCATTTTTATTCGTGGTATACCAATATTCGTGGGTTTTGTGGGTCACAGCGAACCACGAATTTAAAAATTCAACGAAGAATAATATACCAATATTCGTGGGTTTTGTGGGTCACAGCGAACCACGAATTTAAAAATTCAACGAAGAATAATCCTGAGAAATGTGTTTGGAGTCAGATGTTTATTTCCGGTTATGTTATGCAGTTGTAGTATAGTGTTGACTAGTGATAAACATTGTAACATAACACATGTTTTTAATGAAAGAAGATACAAGTATTTTGATTAAATCAATAATAAATATATCGAATATCAGTGTCATAGTTTACTTTTTAAAATTGATTAAAACTGTTCATGGAAAATAACTGCAAGTTGTTAATTACCGTGTCATAGTTTGGTTTACTGGTGATTAAAAATCAATAGGATTAAGTAAGGGGATATTGCCCGTAGGTAATATTGTTTATGACAGGAACATTTATTTTCACACCTTTTACTTATATGACTGTTTACTATATCGTGATTAGGGAAATGAGTTTTCAATCATAGAGTTTTGAATGCCTTATAAAATTCTGACAGAATTTATAAATTGTAAAACAAACAAATAATTAGTTGTCTCTGTCCATTATTGTAATAGAAGTTTTCAATTAACACTTTATCCTAGAATGACCAAGCGAGGATTTTGACAATTCAAAATTTTTTCAATGAATCCTTTTTTTTTCATTTTTTTGTTGTATTATTGATCAAACCAAAGAGGTTATATGATCTCCTAAATCAAAATGAAATCCACAAATTACGTATCTGATTTTATTTTTTGTTTTGTTTTTTGTAATCAGTGATCCACGAATTTACGTATACCAGGAAAAGTCTATTTTTCTCTATCCACGAAAATTGATACCCATGAAAATAAATGAATCCACAGTAAGACAAATAGTGCTAAACTGGTATAGAGTCATCATGTGATATTAATGTAAAGTTCTATAAATAGTGGTAAACTGGTATAGAGTCATCATGTGCTATTAATGTAAAGTTCTATAAATAGTGGTAAACTGGTATAGAGTCATCATGTGCTATTAATGTAAAGTTCTATAAATAGTGCTAAACTGATATAGAGTCATCATGTGCTATTAATGTAAAGTTCTATAAATAGTGATAAACCGGTATAGAGTCATCATGTGATATTAATGTAAAGTTCTATAAATAGTGATAAACCGGTATAGAGTCATCATGTGATATTAATGTAAAGTTCTATAAATAGTGGTAAACTGGTATAGAGTCATCATGTGCTATTAATGTAAAGTTCTATAAATAGTGGTAAACTGGTATAGAGTCATTATGTGCTATTAATGTAAAGTTCTATAAATAGTGGTAAACTGGTATAGAGTCATTATGTGCTATTAATGTAAAGTTCTATAAATAGTGGTAAACTGGTATAGAGTCATTATGTGCTATTAATGTAAAGTTCTATAAATAGTGCTAAACTGGTATAGAGTCATCATGTGCTATTAATGTAAAGTTCTATAAATAGTGCTAAACTGGTATAGAGTCATTATGTGCTATTAATGTAAAATTCTATAAATAGTGGTAAACCGGTATAGAGTCATCATGTGCTATTAATGTAAAGTTCTATAAATAGTGGTAAACTGGTATAGAGTCATTATGTGCTATTAATGTAAAGTTCTATAAATAGTGGTAAACTGGTATAGAGTCATCATGTGCTATTAATGTAAAGTTCTATAAATAGTGGTAAACTGGTATAGAGTCATTATGTGCTATTAATGTAAAGTTCTATAAATAGTGGTAAACTGGTATAGAGTCATTATGTGCTATTAATGTAAAGTTCTATAAATAGTGCTAAACTGGTATAGAGTCATCATGTGCTATTAATGTAAAGTTCTATAAATAGTGCTAAACTGGTATAGAGTCATTATGTGCTATTAATGTAAAATTCTATAAATAGTGGTAAACTGGTATAGAGTCATGTGATATTAATGTAAAGTTCTATAAATAGTGGTAAACTGGTATAGAGTCATCATGTGCTATTAATGTAAAGTTCTATAAATAGTGCTAAACTGGTATAGAGTCATCATGTGCTATTAATGTAAAGTTCTATAAATAGTGGTAAACCGGTATAGAGTCATCATGTGATATTAATGTAAAGTTCTATAAATAGTGGTAAACTGGTATAGAGTCATCATGTGATATTAATGTAAAGTTCTATAAATAGTGGTAAACTGGTAAAGAGTCATGTGATATTAATGTAAAGTTCTATAAATAGTGGTAAATGGGTATAGAGTCATCATGTGATATTAATGTAAAGTTCTATAAATAGTGATAAACCGGTATAGAGTCATCATGTGATATTAATGTAAATTTCTTTCTATTTTAGGTGAAGATAAGTGACTTTGAATTAATGTAAATTTCTTTCCATTTTAGGTAAAGATTAGTGACTTTGGATTATCTAGAGCATACTCTGATGAGAGTAGTTATTATAAAGCCAGTAAAGGAGGTCGATGGCCTATAAAATGGTATGCACCTGAATGTGTAAACTATGGGAAATTTACTCATGCTACAGATGTGTGGAGCTATGGAGTTACATTATGGGAAATGTTTAGTTATGGAGATCAACCTTATGGAGACAAAAAGGGAATTGAGGTATGCTTAGGTGGTATAATCTGTAATAGGTAACTTTCAATTATAAAATATTGTTATTTATTCCAAACTACCAGGCATGTGTCTGTCAGGCTGTCCTGTCATGTGAGCACTCTCACACGTACATTTCTTTCCGGATTTTCATTAAATTTATATCAAAGGGTTATATCAGGAAAGTCTGGGATGAGTTTGAACATCAGTGCTGGTCTACTTGTAAAGTATTATACCCTTGGAAATAGGAATCATATGGAAAATTGCATTATAAATGATCTCACACATACAGTTCTTTTATAAAAAAAAAACATTTAAAGAACCAAAGAAAATAATATATTGGAATCACTACCCTGGGACAGATAAAATATATGCTTTTGCAGGAGACAGTGGAATGTTATGATCTTTTATTTTATTTTGGTTCACACACTAGTACATAATAGTAGGTCTCAGAGAGAGCAAAGAGAAATTTCCCTTGGAGCCATTCTGAAAATTAATTTACCAGTATGTGCATATGTATAGTGTTAGGATTAATGAAAGGGTTATATCATGATCAGTGTTGTGGAGAGGTACATTTATGGAATAACTATTTACCATTATTTTTTTTTATTTTACAATTGAACTTAAAAAAATTTGACTTTGATTAAAGGACAATAGAAGTAGGACATTGATTTATCATAAATGAAATGCATCTGTAGAGTATTCAGAAAGTCAAGATTATACTGAATGAAAAATTCATTTTTATCAAGTTGTGCAGTAAGCTCTCTTTAAGACTTACTGTGGAATAAACAGGTTTTACTTAGACTTTTTGAAATTTTCATTATAAGGTAATACAGTTCATAGAGGAAGGCAGTAGACTTGAAAGACCAACTGCATGTCCTGCAGTGACCTACCTGGAAATGAAAAAATGCTGGATGTCTAAACCAGACGAAAGACCTACATTTCATGACCTATCACTTCATTTTGAAACAGAAAAAGAATATGCCGACATAAGAGACTTTAAACGGAGCAAAGATTCTTCACATTCAAAGAGAAAAAAATAATTTTATTGATTGTTTACTTTATGTTAAAGATTAATGTGATGAGACATTTATAGATATATATTCTATCAAAGATTAATGTGACGAGACATTTATAGATATATATTCTATCAAGATCAAAAAGTTATACTGTTAATGTTTTCATTTTATATTTTTATAGATATATTTTTTGATAAAAAGAAACCATTCATTTTTTTTTTAATGTTGATTACGTGAGAAGGATTCTTATGTTTGTGTGTAAGATAATGTACAGAGGATAAAGCCCAAACTAATCATTTATATAATAATGGTCTTGTCATCCTTGATGACACTGTGCTAGGTAAATGGGCATACTAAATTAAAGTTATAATTTATACAAAATTTGACAATTTATCCTAAAAAAAATTCAAGTGTAAGGTAATAATATAATATGAAATGTGATTTTTGAATACCATTGTCAAGATCAGAATTTTAGTATACCATCTTCACTGATTTTTCTCAGTCTCCATAAACATATTTTTTGATATAAATAATGAGTTTCATGTATCTCACATCTCCAAAATAAAAAAAAATTCAGATAAATTGTATCTCATATCTCCAAAATTGAAATAAAATAAAGTCCTGATAAAGTGTCTATCTATATTTATCTTTTGATTTACCAGTACATTGAAACAAGTGAAAAATAATACACCATTAAGGTTTTTAACAATTTATTATTAGATTTAAAAAGTGTTCTACTTTTTTAATCATGTTTAATGACAAAACAGTATTTGTGCAAATCAAAATTCTTGTTAATATTCTGGTAAATGTTTTGTATTTCATATAGGAATATTAAAAAAAGCTGACACAATTTAATTGGTGCTAGACATATGGTGTTTATTTAATGTTACTTGTTTTTTATGAAAAACATTGTGTTTAGAAAAAAGCATTTGTGCCTATAATTAATGTCTTAAAGTGTTACTTTTCCAGTATTATTTATCAACATCATACCTAATGCAGTCATTCGTCAAAATGATCAAATTGCTTATTTTGACATTACTGTATGTAAGCAGTTTCATTCATAACATTCGTTTGCATATTTTTTATATTTATGAAAACTATTTGTAATTTTCAAAAACTTTATATTTAAAAAGCAATTTGATGTCCATGTTGATGTTTTTTTTTTTTATCTAATTGTATTCACTTCCTTCAATATATTGCAATTGTTTCTCAAATAAAAATAATATTTTTGCAGAAATTGCAATTTGTAATTACATCTCAATAATTACAAATTACAAACAGTTTGCTACAGGTTTTCTATAGTTACTGTCTTTTTTCCTTAACTACATGTTAAAAAGTATATATAGTATTATATTAGGATCTAGTTTTTCTTTTTTCCAATCATATTGTGCTTAATATTGTTGTAAATGATGCCCTTTATGGGTTCTTGATTAGATTAATAAAATTCTTATCTTAAAAAAAAAAAAAATTCTTATCTTATAGTTGCTGATCAGTTAGGGTTTTATATTCTTATAATACATGTACTTAGTGAATTTGTTAGTCTCTTAGTAATATAAGAACAGTAGTTAATCCTTAATGCATTGCATTTCTGACTCTGGATTTGTTCTTTGTCAGAGGCTTGAATAATACATAATAGTACTAAAGTAAATAAAAATCAATCTCCAACAACTATAAGATCATGTTGATAGGAGAAAGAACGTGTTGTTAAAATTGAAATAAACCAGTGGCATATGGCTTTATCATGACATATATATGAAATTAAACAGAGGTCCCATGAAATGCATGTGTTAGGACATCTGCCTTTTCCAACCATTGTCTAAGATTTGTCATTTTTCTTTTATAAAAGTTTGAATCTCATGTATTTCTTTAAACTAGCACTTGACAGCCTTGTTTTTTTGTTAAAATATTTTGTCCACTTTATTTCCCTTTGTGTATTATTTTCATGGATTATTGATTATCATTCAAAAAAACACTTGCCTATATATTCTTGAAACCTTAAATGTTTAAGAGTGTCTCCAACATATTTTTTAGTATTTAAATATGAGTGTAGTGGGATGGCAGAGTACTTACCGTTAAAAGTTTTAAAATACATGTTTTATAGCTTTACTTTATTTAAGAAGTTCTTTTATGAATTTTTGATGATTGATTTGTTAACCTTTTTCTCGATGGAGATTTTTTTTTTACATACTTGTTTCGCATAGGTTATTTCAATAAATTGTTGAAAATTAGCTTACTTCAATGAAATATGGACTATACCTTAAATAGACCAGTTAGATTTATGTAATTTTGGTCAGTTATATGCCTAAATTCACTTGTTATAATATTTAAATGTTGTTGCCATGGGAATGGTTTTATCCATATATAATGAAAATGGGTTAAATTTGGGGATTAATCTTGTTATATCACCAGATAGGGTAATCTGCTTCCGTGTCTTCACAAGATGAGAAATAGAAATAATTACTGAATTAATACTGAATGGAATTCTGAATTGTGTTTCCTAAAACAATCAATTTGCCCATGTTTTGAGAGGGTATGATAAGGCCACATTTTGACTTCTTGAATTTGAAAATCAAAAAATGATAGAATATATTAAATATCATCCTTCTGTCGTCCTTCAGATACAATAATTCATATTTTATTGTTATGTCTTTTTGTTAAGGCCATCAAAATTTATGGCATACCTGTTAAAGGGTAATTTGAAAATCAGGTACATTGTATATGTATTAATCTGAAAAAAATGATATTTGGCATTACTAATGATGACTGATTGTAAAATTAATTTAGGAAAATTTATGGATATGAGATTCACAAAAACTTGGTTTTATTGTGGATATTCATTTTCCATTTAAGACATTTCATTTTGATCAATTACGCTTTTTCTTGTCGAGTTATTATAATTAACAATATTGAATGAATAATTGCTGTTATTGGATTAACATATTGTCATCCTAATTAATTATCATTATGCTTTAATTCTTTCAAATTTTCTTACATTGTTATTTCATAATTAATCGTGTTTTAATTATTAGACTATAATTTTGTGATATACATATATATTCTAATAAAGACACTTTTATATTGATGAATTCTGCAATTCTTTAAATAGCTGTTTTGAATTAATTGTTTTTCATGTGTACTCAAGACGAAAATGAATTTTAACCGAGTATCAAATCATGGCATTATTGAAAACAGTCTACAGTATCAAGCTCATACCATCCACAAACATTCCAATTTTCCTAATTCAAATGTGTATAGTTCACCCATACCAATGTGTATGGTTTACTCATACCAATGTGTACAGTTCACCCATACCAATGTGTATCGTTTATCCTTACCAATGTGTATGGTTTACCAATGCCAATAAATATAGTTCACCCATACCAATGTGTAACGTTTACCCATACCAATGTGTATAGTTTACCCATACCAATGTGTAATGTTTACCCATACCAATGTGTATAGTTTACCCATACCAATGTGTATAGTTTACCCATACCAATGTGTATGGTTTACCAATGCCAATAAATATAGTTCACCCATACCAATGTGTAACGTTTACCCATACCAATGTGTATAGTTCACCCATACCAATGTGTAATGTTTACCCATACCAATGTGTATGGTTTACCCATACCAATGTGTAATGTTTACCCATACCAATGTGTATAGTTCACCCATACCAATGTGTAACGTTTACCCAAACCAATGTGTATAGTTTACCCATACCAATGTGTAACGTTTACCCATACCAATGTGTATAGTTTACCCATACCAATGTGTAACGTTTACCCATACCAATGTGTATAGTTTACCATACCAATGTGTAATGTTTACCCATACCAATGTGTATGGTTTACCCATACCAATGTGTATAGTTCACCCATACCAATGTGTATGGTTTACCCGTACCAATGTGTATTGTTTACTCATACCAATGTGTATCGTTTATCCATACCAATGTGTATAGTTTACCCATACCAATGTGTATAGTTTACCATACCAATGTGTAATGTTTACCCATACCAATGTGTATGGTTTACCCATACCAATGTGTATAGTTTACCATACCAATGTGTAATGTTTACCCATACCAATGTGTAATGTTTACCCATACCAATGTGTATGGTTTACCCATACTAATGTGTATGGTTTACCCATACCAATGTGTATAGTTCACCCATACCAATGTGTATGGTTTACCCGTACCAATGTGTATCGTTTACTCATACCAATGTGTATCGTTTATCCATACCAATGTGTATAGTTTACCCATACCAATGTGTATAGTTTACCATACCAATGTGTAATGTTTACCCATACCAATGTGTATGGTTTACCCAAACCAATGTGTATAGTTTACCATACCAGTGTGTATAGTTTACCCATACCAATGTGTATAGTTCACCCATACCAATGTGTAATGTTTACCCATACCAATGTGTAATGTTTACCCATACCAATGTGTATGGTTTACCCATACCAATGTGTATGGTTTACCCATACCAATGTGTAATGTTTACCCATACCAATGTGTATGGTTTACCCATACTAATGTGTATGGTTTACCCATACCAATGTGTATAGTTTACCATACCAATGTGTATAGTTTACCCATACCAATGTGTATAGTTCACCCATACCAATGTGTAATGTTTACCCATACCAATGTGTATGGTTTACCCATACCAATGTGTAATGTTTACCCATACCAATGTGTATGGTTTACCCATACTAATGTGTATGGTTTACCCATACCAATGTGTATAGTTCACCCATACCAATGTGTAATGTTTACCCATACCAATGTGTATGGTTTACCCATACTAATGTATATGGTTTACCCATACCAATGTGTATAGTTCACCCATACCAATGTGTATGGTTTACCCATACTAATGTGTATGGTTTACCCATACCAATGTGTATAGTTCACCCATACCAATGTGTATGGTTTACCCGTACCAATGTGTATCGTTTACTCATACCAATGTGTATCGTTTATCCATACCAATGTGTATAGTTTACCCATACCAATGTGTATAGTTTACCATACCAATGTGTATGGTTTAACCATACCAATGTGTTATGTTTACCCATACCAATGTGTATGGTTTACCCATACCAATGTGTTATGTTTACCCATACCAATGTGTATGGTTTACCCATACCAATGTGTATAGTTTACCATACCAATGTGTATAGTTTACCCATACCAATGTGAATGGTTTACCCATACCAATGTGTATGGTTTACCCATACCAATGTGAATGGTTTACCCATACCAATGTGTATGGTTTATCCATACCAATGTGTATAGTTCACCCATACCAATGTGTAATGTTTACCCATACCAATGTGTATAGTTCACCCATACCAATGTGTATGGTTTACCCAAACCAATGTGTATAGTTCACTCATACCAATGTGTATAGTTAACCCATGCCAATGTGTATAGTTAACCCATACCAATGTGTATAGTTAACCCATTCCAATGTGTATAGTTTACCCATACCAATGTGTATAGTTCACCCATACCAATGTGTATGGTTTACCAATGCCATTATATATAGTTCACCCATACCAATGTGAACGATTCACCCATGCCAATGTGTATAGTTTACCATACCAATGTGAACGATTCACCCATACCAATGTGAATGGTTTACCCATACCAATGTGTATAGTTCACCCATACCAATGTGTATGGTTTACCTATACAAATGTGTATGTTTCACCCATACCAATATGTATAGTTTACCCATACCAATGTGTATGGTTTACCCATACCAATGTGTATAGTTTACCCATACCAATGTGTATAGGTCACCCATACCATTGTATATAGTTCACCCATACCAATGTGTATAGTTCATCCATACCAATGTGTATGGTTTACCCAAACCAATGTGTATAGTTCACTCATACCAATGTGTATAGTTAACCCATGCCAATGTGTATAGTTAACCCATACCAATGTGTATAGTTAACCCATTCCAATGTGTATAGTTTACCCATACCAATGTGTATAGTTCACCCATACCAATGTGTATGGTTTACCAATGCCATTATATATAGTTCACCCATACCAATGTGAACGATTCACCCATGCCAATGTGTATAGTTTACCATACCAATGTGAACGATTCACCCATACCAATGTGAATGGTTTACCCATACCAATGTGTATAGTTCACCCATACCAATGTGTATGGTTTACCCATACCAATGTGTATAGTTAACCCATACCAATGTGTTTAGTTTACCCATTTCAATGTGTATGGTTTACCCATACCAATGTGTAACGTTTACCCATACCAATGTGTATAGTTTACCAATGCCAATATATATAGTTCACCCATAACAATGTGTATAGTTCTACCATACCAATGTGTATGATTCACCCATATCAATATGTATAGTTCACCCATATCAATGTGTATGGTTTACCCCTATACCAGTGTGTATAGTTCAACCATACCAATGTGTATAGTTCACCAATATCAATATGTTTAGTTCACCCATACCAATGTGTATGGTTTACCTATACAAATGTGTATGTTTCACCCATACCAATATGTATAGTTTACCCATACCAATGTGTATGGTTTACCCATACCAATGTGTATAGTTTACCCATACCAATGTGTATAGGTCACCCATACCATTGTATATAGTTCACCCATACCAATGTGTATAGTTCATCCATACCAATGTGTATGGTTTACCCATACCAATGTGTATAGTTCACCCTACCAATGTGTATGGTTTATCCATACCAATGTGCATGGTTTACCCATACCAATGTGTATGGTTTACCCATACCAATGTGTATAGTTTGCCCATACCAATGTGTACGGTTTACCCATACCATTGTATATAGTTCACCTATACCAATGTGTATAGTTCACCCATACCAATGTGTATGGTTTATCCATACCAATGTGTATAGTTCACCCATACCAATGTGTATAGTTCACCCATACCAATGTGTACAGTTCACCTATACCAATATGTATAGTTTACCATACCAATGTGTAATGTTTACCCATACCAATGTGTATGGTTTACCAATACCAATGTGTATAGTTTGCCCATACCAATGTGTACAGTTCACCTATACCAATATGTATAGTTTACCATACCAATGTGTAATGTTTACCCATACCAATGTGTATGGTTTACCCATACCAATGTGTATAGTTTGCCCATACCAATGTGTATGGTTTACCTATATCACAGGTTTAGTTAGTTATTGTCATCCTTATGTTTTATGTGATATTATACAAAATTGGGGAAGGGTTATAAAAGGTATAATGTATGTATTAGCCCATCTGTCTGGCCTTCTGTCAACTGTTACCATTGCATTCTTTGTCTAGTTCAGTTTAGTTATGATAATCATGATGCATCAGTGGCGGATCCAGAAATTTTCATAAGGGGGACCCACTGACTGCCATAAGAGGGGGCCCGCTTAGTCATGCTTCAGTGATTCCCTAAATAATCAACCAAATTTTTCCCACAAAAGGGGGGGGGGACCTGGAACCCTGCCCCCCCCCCAAAAAAAAAAAATCCGCCTCTGTGTATTTATATGTACAGAATAATGTCCTTTTAAGCTTTGAAGGGACAGGATGTGTTATCATATAATGTTTCCCTAGATTTTGAACTTTCAATTTGAAATTATTTATATATTATATCTGTATTTCAGATTTGTATAAAGTATGTTCATGTTCTTTAGGAAACTGTTTTGAAAGAAAATGTTTCAGTGTTATAAACATAGGAAGTTCTCAAGTGTAATAATTTGGCCACTGTCATAGGTGCAACAATACACATGCAGGAATATGGTATTCCCTATTGAACCTAACAAAATTCTTCAACTTCGTGATCATTTTTGTCAAACTAAAGCGATACTTAGCGATCCTAGATTTCGTCGTCATTGGTGTCAACATTTAGGTTCCGTCTGTGGTCATTAATGACTTTGTTATACCTTCATGGAATTTTATGAACTTTGGACAGAAGCTTGTTTATGACCAAAATAAAGCATCCAGAGCAAAATTTTAAAATATTTATTTTCATTTTTCTGTATTTTACTGATAAATGGACTTATTTACAGTTAACATTCAGATTCAGTCTGACGTTAAATTTTTTCAGTCATCAATAACTTTGTCAAACCTTCATGGAATTTTAAGAATTTTAGACCAAAAGCTTGTTTATGACCAAAATACAGTATCTAGAGCAAAATTTTGAAAATTTTTCCATATTTTACTGATAAATAGACTTAGTTTATGTTGCAGTTAACAAGTAGATACAGTCAGGGGTTAACGTTTGTTACACATCAATTACTTTGTCAAACCTTCATAGAATTTAATGAAACTTTGGCAGAAGCTATTTAGGATTAAGAGATAATGTCTGAAGCAAACTTTTGAAAATAGATTTTCATTTTCAGTATTTTTCTGATAGATGGCCTTTTGTGACATGATAAATTTGTAATTCTTCATGGATTGTTATGAAACTTGGACAGAAGCTAATCTTCAAGACCAAGAAATAGCATTTAAAGAAAAATTCTGTATTTTACTGATAACTGGACTCATTTTTTAAGTCAACATTACACTTTTATACTGACAGCAGCAATTGCAGGCGAGACACAGGATTCCGCAGAACCCCTTACAAATGTTGTCTTTATAGCAGGGAAGCAAAATAAAACTTATTATAGCAAGATTTGTAGTAGGTTTTATCAGGTCTCCTAATTGGTATCTGAATATTTTAAATGAAAATATTCAGGCCTTAAATGCAAAGATTATTGCAGAAAAAAACTTGGTAACCTTAACGGCTTAAGTTTAAAGTTCAGATACCAATGTGGAATCATATAAATAAACATTACAAATACATTCTACCAGAGATATATAATAAATGTAATATATATTTATCTGATGCCATATATGGAAAATTTTAGGAAATATAGTCAAATCTGTCCAAATTAAAGGATTCACATCTTGTCAAAATTAAAGGGTGCACACCTTCAAGCTGTGTGAACTCAATGTGCAATATTTGATTTTGAATTGTGCAAGGTGCATGTATCTAAGTATCTGTTCTAAAAATTTTAAATTTGAGTTATCTTTCTTTGTTTATTATAGTTGGAATTACAAATGACATAACCTATGTACCCTTTATAGCACTCCATGACAAACATGACCGAGTTCCACAAATGTGTTCACAATAGAAGGTGTATATCTTCAATCTGTGTGAACCCTTTAGGTTGACTGGGGTATTGCACAAGGTTATGTTTTTCTGACGGTTAATGACGTCTTTACACTAGATGCATTGGATGTTGGATGTGTACTGATTGATATTTAGTCTTAGATACATGATTTTTTGGGGATAAAGATTGCATTCATGTAATCAAATCCCTTATGTGGCTGGCTTGATAGTTATCAATTTTCCAAACTTTATCACTACTTTTGAGATACACAAAACATTGACCACAATATTCTATACATCCTATCCATGAACATTTCAAGAAATTTATCAATGAAATATATATTCAGATATTCAAGTTGGAAACTGATGCTTGTGTATAACCATACTTGTGCAAGGTGCATAAATCTAGTATCTGTTCTAATAATACAAATGATGTCATTGTTAAAGTAATATTTGAAATTTGAGTTATCTTCCTTTGTTCATATTTGTAATTGAACCAAGTTGAACTACAATAGTATCTCCAGTTCACAGTATGGCCTGCAATCTTTACCCATCAGTGCTTTCAAGCAATGTATCTATCAAAGTTTTACAAAAATTCGAACATGTAAATGTGTTGTTTGTTTATTGGTTATTTATAGTAAGGTCAGCTCGATTGGGGTATTGAGTTTCATGCACGAGTGAATTTAGGTGGTTTAAAGTCATTCGAGCCATTGCAGTCAAAGTGTACAGTAGCAGTTTGCCAATTAAATAACATAATAATTTATATTATTTATTTTCAGATTTGTTGGCATCCAGTACCAGCTGCTAAATTTCGGTGTATTTATACGAACTTTCGACATATATTAGGGAGCTACCATTTGATTTTTATGGGGGGGGGGGGGGGGGGGGCTAGGATGAAATTTGAAAAAAAGGCAGGACAGGAGTTTTAAGTAAAAAAAAAAAGGCTGGATGACAATTCATGTAAAAAAAAGTCGAATAAACTAATAAAAAAGGGCATCACCGAATAGAGTGAAACATAAAAAGGCAGGACAGAGATTACAACTAAATAAAATATGCAAAATCCTAGCCCCCCCATATTAATCAAATGGTAGCTCCCTTATACGAATATAAATAATAACATGTGCACTTGTATCTGCAAGTGGCGTCTTCCATGTGAGAGTTTGTGTTATTTGATAAATATGTTATGTTCGTTTGAGTTTACGAATTAGAATATAACTTTCATTGTTATATATAGTTGTTATTGGCTTTGAACTAGCTGTCAGTTACTGCGAGTACTCTCAGATTTGTACTTTGTGTCTCTTTTGTTGTGAGGGATATATAAATACCCTGCCACGTCCGGTCTGTGATTTTGTTAGATGTTTTTCTGCTTTGTATCGATCTGACGAGTTGAGCCCTTTTTCAACTGATTTTTATAGTTTTTATACGCCAGTTTACGGGACGTATTATTTCTTATGTTGTACTGTTATACCACTGTCCCAGGTTAGGGGAGGGTTGGAGCCTTCAAACATGTTTAACCCCTCCACATTCTGTGTGTGCCTGCCCCAAGTCAGAAGCCTGTAGTTCAGTGGTTGTCGTTGGTTCATGTTTTTCATATTTGTTTTTCGTAAATTGTTTTGTTAAAAATTAGGCCGTTTGTTTTCTCAATTGAATTGTTTCATATTTTTCATGTCGGGGACCTTTTATAGCCGGTATGGGGTTTTCTCATTGTTGAAGGCCATACGGTTGCCTATAATTGCTTACATCCAATTCATTTGAACTTTGGTGGATATAAAGTTGTCTCGTTGGCAATCATACCACATCTCCTTATTTTTATATAGCAATATAGTCGTCCCTGGACTTCTCTCACTCGGAAGTACGCAACCACATCCTGTCGTTAACTCGAATGATTCGTGTAGGGTGCGTGCCTCACATTCTGCTGATTAAGAGGTCTTGCAACAACCCTCTGTGGGGTCCTTAATTTGTCTGGTGTAAGGAAAACTTTCTGACTCTGTCCAACATACCCTTATTTCCCAGCGGCAGTTCAAATTTTCTGTCCTTTATCCAACGCCCCAAGAAAAAGTAATTTCACAATAACTCTGACGCCCTGTTTTTTGTCGCTGATAAAATAGATATTAGTAACCTAGAAAGAGGTTTCGTTGAGCATTTGGCAGACTTAGCAATATAAGGTTGCGTGTACGGACACTTTTGTTATTTTGGTAGAAGAAGGAGGATCTAGTTCGACATCTTTGATTGATGTTCCAAAGGAACATAGACCTGACCTATGATTGTTCAGGATTCCTCTCTTTGGTTAGTATCTGCGGCTCTTTTCACAAAAAAACTTGAGAGTAAAAATACTCGTATGTCATACACATTTCAGTATAACTTACGATCAATTTTTATCGTAAGATTTTTTGTGAAAAGAATCTGTTGAGTTCCCATGTAAATTGTCAGATTCTAATTCTTTTCTCAACTAGTTTATGTACTATGACTTGCAAACAAAATCGATGTTGCTTGGTGATTTCTTTCCTAGGAAAACAGCGTAATGAAGTTAGGACAGGTATTTGGCAACATTTGCGTCTTTGAAAACTGATGTAGTAAGATTGTTAATAAACCCATTATGTTTTTTTTTTAATTATGATTTGATCAACGACCTCATATTCTTATCCCATCCGGAAAGGGTAAATGTCTTCTTTTTTCACGTTTAGCCCATTTTCTGGCACTATATGAATGCAGTGAACGACCTTTGCAAAGAAACTTTTCCTTTAGTACTAACGATATTGATGTTGAACAATAGGGTAAAATTTTGTTAAATATGCAAAAACTCTTATTTCTTTTATTTTAGAAGAAACTTTTTTAATCATACAGCAAAATTTTGATTCTGGAAAACATGGATAATCCTGTGGAAGAAAGATATTGGGAATTGCATGAAAATAGCATTAAGATTGGATAGTAACGGGGGCTAGTGTGGTAGAAATGAGAGGGCATGAAAGTGAAGATCAAATGTAGATTGAAAGCTGTCAAGGAGAGAATGGTGTAAATAGTAGTTGAGAGTGATGAGGACTGATAAAAGGTTAGTTTGAAAAAGGTTTTGAAATTGACTAACAATGCAAGTTTTTGTTTTATATTACATTACATGTACAAATGTTATTAATGCAAAATAAATGCCATTGATATAGTTGTTTTCCTCTGATAGTAGGAAGTTATGGAATGAGGGGAGGGAGTTCAACATTTTAAAATTGATTCTCAGTTTGGGGGTTGATTTCTAGGATTTTCCAGACCTGTGGAGTTAACTTTATCGTCATGGTTGTGTACGGAAGCCGGTTAGTGTCATGGTGGAGTTTTATTTGTAAGTCGTTATAACGACTTACCTAAGTTGTTATAACGAGTTATATCAGCTTAGTTGTTATAACGAGTTAGATAGGCTAAGTATGACATATTTGCAGCAGGCTCTGTTGAATAATTTACAATTTGTCGAAACTGCGGGCGGGTCAATACTCGACATATGGTTCGTAGACTTGTATATTGTTACGACTGTAAATATGCGTTTTTTTACGTTTTGTTGTTGGGTTGCTTTTCCATGAACGCATGCCAACGATTTATTTTATAAACATTGTTGTATTAATTGCAGTTGTTGCATGACATTACTATCATAATAATAACAAAGGTGTAGAAAATATTTTTTTATTTCACAAAAAATGATTTAAGAAAAAATGAACAGTATATGAAATTTCTAACAGATCAAAACAGAAGTTGAAATGTGTCAAGAGAAGTACTAGCAACTAACCTTTGAAACAATCCATTGACAGTCCCTACAAAATTTACCCTGTTTAGATAATATAGCAAGGAACATTACACGTCAATGACTAATTTTCCTTTATATATTCTCGCAGTATTTATATAAAAATATCTCAACAGATATGTTCAACTTTCTTCACCCGTCTTCGTTCTTTCCATGTATAAAGTACATATAAGATTGACAATTTAACACAACCCATAGCCTGAAAAAGGAAGCAAGAAATGTAGCTTTTGATAACACACATACGCGCCCATGATTAAAATACATCTTAGCAAATTCCATTTTAACTGCTGCATTCATTTAAGATAATATAAAAAATTAAGTAAAATTTACCTCATTTATTTAACTATTTAAATTGTTATTATTTTTATTACAAAGTATGCTCTAAAAAGCTTTAATGTTTTATTTCAGAACTAAATGGTATTACTCATGTATATACCAATATATGTCCATCACAAAAATTGCTACGTTTGCGTTGAAATCACAGCCATTTTATCCTGTTTTGACAAATCAAAGCATTGAGCTGACACTTGGCTATACTTGTGTTATCAAATAATGAATTTTAAAAAGTAAAACATGTAAAAAATGCAAAATAAATGTCTTTGGAATATTCGAAGAAGGGTTAATTTAAGCGACTTCAGCTTCTCCTTCATCTTCAAAGTCATCGTCATCAAGCATATTATCCTCCACAGTGGCATCCTGATATTGTTGATATTCAGAAATCAAGTCATTCATATTGGACTCGGCTTCAGTAAACTCCATCTCGTCCATACCCTCTCCAGTATACCAATGGAGAAAAGCTTTCCTACGGAACATTACAGTAAATTGTTCAGAGATTCTTTTGAACAATTCCTGAATTGCTGTACTATTCCCGATAAATGTAGCTGACATTTTAAGGCCGACTGGTGGGATGTCGCAAACGGCTGTTTTAACATTACACGGAATCCATTCAACAAAATATGTACTATTCTTATTTTGGACGTTGAGCATTTGTTCCTCGACATCTTTCATAGACATTTTACCTCTAAAAATGGCTGCAACTGTCAAGTAACGTCCGTGTCTTGGGTCACAAGCAGCCATCATGTTTTTAGCATCGAAAATTTGCTGTGTTAACTCAGCAACGGACAAAGCTCGGTATGACTGGCATCCTCGAGCTGTCAACGGCGCAAATCCAGGCATGAAAAAGTGAAGTCTAGGAAAAGGTACCATGTTAACAGCTAGTTTTCTCAGATCGGCATTCAGTTGTCCTGGAAAACGTAGACAAGTTGTTACTCCCGACATGGTCGATGAAACAAGATGGTTCAAATCCCCATATGATGGCGTCGATAACTTTAGAGTACGGAAGCAGATATCGTACAGAGCCTCATTATCAATACAAAACGTTTCATCGGTATTCTCAACTAACTGGTGAACGGCCAATGTGGCATTATATGGTTCTACGACGACTTCAGAAACCTGCAAATGTAAGAAATAACTACAGATTGTTGTATAGTAAGTGGGAAAAAAATCAAACAATTCTTGCGAAATAGGAATAAAATTGCAACAATACATGACATGAAAAATCAAAATATGAAACATAGAAACAACCACAGAAAAGCGTGCATAAGATTATGTGAAGTATCTGAAATTACATAGGTATGAATTTATTGTATACTGAGATTGCTGTATGGTAAATAATGACATGATAACTTAAGATTGCTGAGTGTATACTAGTAATTCTCTCTACCATATGTTTATATTCCCGAATTATGTGCGTCTGAACAAGATTGCTGAGTGTATATATATTAGTAATTCTCTCTACCATGCATATGTTTATTTTCCCGAATTGTGTGTGTCTGAGTAAGATTGCTGAGTGTATACTAGTAATTCTCTCTACCATATGTTAATATTCCCGAAATGTGTGCGTCTGAGCAAGATTGCTGAGTGTATACTAGTAATTCTCTCTACCATGCATATATATGTTTATTTTCCCGAATTGTGTGTGTCTGAGTAAGATTGCTGAGTGTATACTTGTAATTCTCTCTACCATATGTTAATATTCCCGAAATGTGTGCGTCTGAGTAAGATTGCTGAGTGTATACTAGTAATTCTCTCTACCATATGTTTATATTCCCGAATTGTGTGTGTCTGAGTAAGATTGCTGAGTGTATACTAGTAATTCTCTCTACCATATGTTAATATTCCCGAAATGTGTGCGTCTGAGTAAGATTGCTGAGTGTATACTAGTAATTCTCTCTACCATGCATATGTTTATATTACCGAATTGTGTGCGTCTGAGTAAGATTGCTGAGTGTATACTAGTAAATCTCTCTACCATGCATATGTTTATTTTCCCGAATTGTGTGTGTCTGAGTAAGATTGCTGAGTGTATACTAGTAATTATCTCTATCATATGTTAATATTCCCGAAATGTGTGCGTCTGAGTAAGATTGCTGAGTGTATACTAGTAATTCTCTCTACCATATGTTTATATTCCCGTATTGTGTGCGTCTGGGTAAGATTGAGTTAGCTGTTTGATGCATGTGAAGTTTACATTTTCATGACTGTATTGTGCATATATAGATATAGGGAGATGTGGTATGAGTACCAATGAGACAACTCTCCATCCAAGTTACAATTTATAAAAGTAAACCATTATAGGTCAAGGTACGGCCTTCAACACGGAGCATTGGCTCACACCGAACAGCAAGCTATAAAGGGCCCCAAAAATTACTAGTGTAAAACCATTCAAACGGAAAAACCAACGGTCTAATCTATAAAAAAACGAGAAACGATTCTTTTGTTGAATCATCATGTATTGTTAAAATTTTGTTAACTTGTATTGTGTACACCAACAACAGAGGCAAATAAAGCAATATGATATTATAGTTCTCTGACCAAACGAAATCACTGGCTATCGGGAATCCACATTAACATGATTAAGGTAGCTGGGGTGTCTAAATGTTAGACGAAAGAATTTTCTTAAACTTCTGTAAAAGACTACTGGGTGACTGGGTCAATGTACTTTCAAATTTCAATATAAAAACTGGGGGTCACGGACCTTGTTTTTTCGTTAAAATACAAGGAAATTAACGAGATCAGTTATTTTATATGGGTTTTATAGGTTAAACTCATCTTTTCCTTATTGAGGAAACATTAAACGATAGAATTGGTTAAAATTCAACTAGAGAATTGTTTTTCATAAATACTTCTGAAATATCAAATAAAAATGGGGGTTCACGGGCCATATTTTCTTGAAAAATCCTAAATACACAAATTATCCTATCAAATTCAGTATAATTATCTGCCCTTGATTTTAAAATGATTTTTTTCTGAAAATTTTAAATACACTTAACGACATTTAATTTCTTGATAGTTTAATCTTTAAATTTTTTTGTTGTTTATTGAATGGTACTTGGTAAAATATTTTTAAACCAAACAAGTATTTTTGCCACATGCCCAGAAGAGATGCTCAGAAAAAGACATCCGATCTACCTTAATATATATAATATACTATACATAATATTTAATGTATATGTATGGAGAAGTATCTACAAATCAAATGTGACACTTGCATTAGAAATGCAATATAAGATTATCATCTGTAGTGGCTGCTTGAAAATACGACAGAAATGATTTGAGATTGCCACATGTTATGCATGCATTAGATGTTTAGATCGATATAATTTCACTAGACGTCTAATTGATATTGCGACATTTTTGTGGAATGACATTGTATGGGGGCAACATGTGTTGTCCTTTCATATAGATTTTTGATTAATTCTTGTTATTTGTTAAATTTCATTCATTTTTTTCATATAAGATATTGAGTTGCACGTGTTACAAAAGGATGTCAAACAAAGATAAATTGAAAAGTCTTCCTTAGCAGAAATTTGTATTCTATATATACCAGCTTGGTTTTAATGATCATGAGCCATATTTTCTCTATAACCATAACGTTTTTGTTTTGCAATTTTTGTTGTTATTCGAAATACAAAGTGCGAGGGAAATAATATGATATTTCTACTAATCGTCAAAATGCATACACATATTATCAGGCTATTCGAATGTAATAACACATCAATATTACGTTTTAACTACTTTTGGTGGAGTTTAAAGGGGTTAACCGTTGGTGAAAATTGCCGAGGAAGCTGAATAAATACTATGAATTGTTTTCCATTTCTTAATCTGTGACTTATTCATGTTAACATAGACATCAATATACATGGGTGTATCAAGCAGGAAAAAAGGGGGGTCATTTTCAAAAGTTTGCAACCCACCACTCTTCAGTCTACTCCTACGCCACTGATGTATAAGCTGTAATACCTTAAATGAATGCGCATGACCTATAAGTAGGCCAATGCTTACAAAATACAGTAGTTCATATTATCATACCTTTGGGGAAGGAACAACTGAGTAGGTTTTCATAATTCTATCAGGATATTCCTCTCTGACCTTCCCAATAATCAAAGTCCCCATGCCAGATCCAGTTCCGCCGCCAATAGAGTGGGTTAGTTGGAATCCCTGCAGACAGTCACAGTTTTCAGCTTCTTTTCTGACCACATCAAGAACGGATTCGACTAGCTCTGCTCCTTCTGTGTAATGCCCCTTAGCCCAGTTGTTTCCCGCACCGCTTTGACCGAAAACAAAATTATCTGGTCGGAAGACGGCACCAAAAGGACCACATCTTACAGAGTCCATTGTACCAGGTTCTAGGTCCACCAAGCAAGCCCTTGGGACGTATTTTCCTCCCATAGCTTCATTATAGTACACTTCTATTCTTTCAAGTTGGTTATTATTGTCTCCGTGATAGGTTCCAGTTGCGTCTATTCCATGCTCCTGAGAAATCACCTCCCAAAACTTTGCCCCAATTTGATTGCCACATTGCCCTGCCTGTATATGTACGATTTCCCTCATGGTTTCAGACAGTCGTTCAGTTCAGCAGCCGAAGTTTAAGTGATAAAAAGACGGATATGGATTTTTACAAGGCTTGTAACAGGTTGTCGATGACTAATGTATATCTGTACATGTATAACTAGTACATATAAATGTAGATAATGTATCCGACATACACATGACGAGAAAGATTAAAAATGTGTCAGGAATGATAAGTCTGAATTGTGGTCAAAGATTCATCGTGCTAATGAACCTTGAGAAATTTTCAGCTTAATGCTTTTATAAAAACTGGGTGGAAAATCACAACCTACAAACATTATTTGTCATTAATTTATTCGAAATAAGGTAGAAATTTACCCTTTTAAATGATGAAGGTCTCCAACACATATATTTCTGAATGTGCATGAGATAGTTGTCACTGGGCGTTAAGCAAGACACAATCTATATATCTCCAAAACACACATTATTACAATTTATTCATTTATTTAAAAAAGACAATGTCATGGTAAATAACAAGTAAGCTAAAGCCAAACTAAATCCGCTTCATTTGGAACTCTGGTGGATAGTTGTCTCATTGACAATCATACCACATCTCCTTATTTTTATATTAATAAAAAAAAATAATGTTGACGTTCATAAGAATTAGAAAGTCTTTATTTGGACCTATGGGCATATTTGCTCGACTTAATTGTGACTTTGATGTTTTTTTTTAAATATGTAATTATCACTGATATCTATGGGAAAGAACAACTGTGAATCAGAATTTATTTCTTTATAAGAGAACAGTGGCGGATCCATCTTTTAAAAAGGGTGGCGAAAAAATAGAAAATATCAAAATGTACTTCAAAAATAAAATTTCAAACATATGGGGCAACGTTTTGAGCTACCCATGATTTTTTTCAAATTTATTGGCATTATTTGGACATTAAATGATGTTACCACAGAATTACTTGACTGTGTGTTTGCCGTATTATATTAAGATATAACCCTTCTGAGACAGTGTTAATTTCGGGAGACGGATTTGTTATAATGTCAAAAGTGGTGACAATTAACAGTTTCTATCGTCACTTCGTAAGAAATTTAAACATCGGATGTTGAAATGTCAAAGAATTGATTATACATTTACAGTTCATGTTTTTGTTCTGTAGCTTGAATGGTCGAAGAAGGTAAGAGATAAAACCAATTTCTTCGTGTTTTTGTTCCGTAACCTTGAATTGCGAACGTAGGTAAGGGATAAGATCAGTTTCCTTCGTGTTTTTGGTCGGTAAGCTTGGATTGCGAACGTAGGTAAGGGATACAACCAGTTCAGCCATGGTTTTGTTCTGTAAGCTTGGATTGCGAAATTAGGTAGGAGATACAACCAGTTCCGTCATGGTTTTGTTCTGTAGCTTGGATTGCGAAAACCGGTAAGTTCTTAACAAGTTTCTTCATGTTTTTTGGTCGGTAAGCTTTGATTACGAACGTAGGTATGAGATAAAACCAGTTTCGCCATGTTTTTGTTCTGTAAGCTTTGAATGTTGAATAAAAAAAAAATTTATTCATGTTTTTTTTTGTTGTTGTTGTGCGAGTTGGATTGAGGGTTAAACCAATTTCATCTTCAGATTCTTTAACGGCACGACAATTTTACTTTTTTGTGTGTCGTACTCCAATTCACATTATATAGTTTCGTGTATGTGCTTTAAGGTTGTGACACTATTTCTTCATATTTCTGCGCAGTTAATCAAATTATAAATTAGCAAACATGGCACAGAACTGCGTTTTGGTAATTGTTGACAAAAACCTTCTTCAAACAATATAATCAGATTACTACTTGACAGTTTTCATATCAGATGTATTATCAGCCAAAGGTGACAACCATAGGTCATCATATCAGCCGAAGGCCCAAGGGTTGATTTCGACCGAAGGATGACAATACATCTGATACGAAAAATGTCATATTATGATCTTTTTATATACTTCCACTGGAAAAAATATTATTGCATATGTACACATGTTTAACTTATTTATACCAATCTAAACTACTCATTTTATGAAGTTGCAAGTCAAACACATAGGCCGTTGAATATATTTTATCATATTGGAGAAATATTTAGCCGTACTTGTATGTATTTTCTAGAAATTTAACATTGGTTTTATTGTACTGACAACAAATGCATGAAAACATTTTAGACAGACTTTTAATGCTGAAATAGTTTGAACTTTTCAGCACTTTCATGCATACTAACAAAAACTTTGAAACCAACGCATATATCTTATTTTATTTGTTTTGCATTTTTCATACTATATATTCATGTTTCTTATAGTTGTTCCTCGTCCTACTATGTAACGCTCTCCTTGCAAAATTATGCACCATTACAATCATTAGCATCTTTCACAGAAGAATGCGACAAGGTTTGGTCCAGATTGTTATAATAAGACACCGTTTACACTTGAACGAAATTGAATCGATCTTTATTTGAATCGATCTTAAAAAGACCAGTTTGCGTTTACACTGCACACGCAAGATCGATTGCGATCGATCTTATTTCATCCGGTGCGTTTACACTACAATATAAAAGAACCGGTCCGCTGACCTAATTACCTTGCATTTCGAAAACAAACAATCGTAAAAATAGAAAGCAATAACGTGTGCATTTCCCGCAGTCTCTCAAAGTATGGAAACGTTTTTCGTTTACCTCCTGATTTTTTATTTTCACGTTTTGTTTGAAAATACTTCGTTTTCAGTCTTTTGATTCTTGCACGGCAGTCCTGTGCTTTTCTGTCAAATTCGGGAATCCTGTCTTTAATATCAGTACATATCCTCTTGAATATGTCCAAATTTCTCTTCGGCGTGTTTTCCAATTGATCCTGGATATGTTGATCACCCCATAATTCTATTAAGAGTACAGTCTCTTCTTGACTCCATGCATCTCCTCTATTTGTATATTTGGCGCCGAACATGCGCAGACTTATTTCGAGTCTAAATATACACTTTCACTTTTAAAAGGATCGATCGCGATCGATCTAACCGTTTACACTGGAAAAACGATCGATTAAAAAAAGATCGATCTTTTTAAAACCACCTCTAGAGGTAGACTTTTTAAGTCCGATTGAAGATCGATCTTTCCCGTTTACATTAGACCAAAGATCGATCTTTTAAGATCGATCTTAAAAAGATCGATCTCAGTAAAGATCGATCTTTTTTGCTAGTGTAAACGGGGTCTTAGAGACTCACAGAAGCCTGAATTGCCCACCTGGCAGAAATATTCAACATTTATATCATTGAATAAAAAAAAAAAAATGGATTGTAAGAGGATAACCTCATTTGCCATGCAAAGCTTAACTTCATGTGGGTCCTCAAAGTAAGTCCGATATTCATAAGGTACACAGGCAATTTTTTCCAACGTGTGTTTAACGTTTGTGCTCATTACGTGAAAACTATGTTATTTCCACGTGTGTATCACACCGTTTAAACGTTTATATCACCTGTATTTGACACACACAAGATTCTCACGTGATAATCACGTTTTAATCTGCTCACGTAATATTCACGTTTAAACGTAACGTTATTTTCACATGTAAATTTTTTAACGTGATATTAACGTGTAAATATTGTGTTAATTTCACATTTAGATTTTTTCACATTGTTTTAACGTGTAAAAGTTGTGTTATTTCACGTCTATATTTTCACATGATTGTGATGTGAATTTCATATTAATATCACATGAATAACATATGTACATGTAAGTGCAAGTTATTTTTGCAATGGCTATGTTGGATTTTCATGTGTTCAGTGAATATTTAAGGTAATGCATCTGTCATATAAATTTTACCTTAGTACAACATAAAAATTCACCAATTGCAAAAATTTAAGTTATAAGTGTATTGTATGTTGTTTACTGTAAAATATTATATATTCCTTCACATGGGTTATTCTGAATTAACAGACTAATTAGAAATATACATTGTGCTTTGTTATGCTCTAAATGATTGAGTCTTCCTTTATTTCCTGTTCTATTTTATAAAAATCTTCCTTTACTTCAAGTTGACAATGGTTTTCATTAGAATCACAAGAGGTATATTCATTCTGTAACAAGTCTTTTTAACTGAAATAAAACTCATTTCATGTTCTGATATCTTCTTTTCACAGTCTTGTTGTTATAATGATTTACTGCTGCAGACACGTATTTCCTCTTTTTATTCACAGAAGATGTATCACTCTGTCAATTTTCCCTGCAAACATAAGAAAAGTAGTAAGAACAAAGAAATGCTCTAAATAGAAGATGCAAAACTACATCATATGAATGTTTTAGTTTATGATTATTTTATTCGAACAATTGACTTAAATAGGATCAGACACAAGTTTTACTTCTGTATACAATAGGATAATAATATTATATTAAATTGAGTATGCATACATATAAAATTATTTAATTCTAACATGAGTATATATAAGTTAACCAATTTGAAAATAAAATGCAAGGCTCAGCTTGATATGACTGACCACAGAGGTATATAGACCAATTTGAAAATGGGGCCCAAAATCAGAAATCTAACTAAACGATTAGATTCAGCATATCAAAGAACCTCAAAAATCCAATTTTTGTTGAAATCAAACAAAGTTTACTTTTGGACCCTTTGCTTCTTAATGGGGACCAATTTAAAAAAAGGGGCACAAAATTAAAATTTTAACTTAACAGTTAGATATCTCATATCATAGAACCAATAAATAATTAAATTTTATATGTCATCAAACGACAAAGTTTAAATTTGTACCCTAGGGACCTCAATGTGGACCTATTTTAAAAAGGAGGCCAAGTCTATATACAAGTAACAAGGTTTGAAAAAATAAAATAAAGACTTTGAATTAAACACAATTGAAATTGGTCAAGGAATAAGCAGTTTATACATGTACAAAGAATAAACAAAGTGTTATTTTTGGCCCCTAATGCCTAAACTGTTAACATGGTTAAGGCCATAACCCCCAAAATCAATCCAACCTTCCTTTTGAGTTATGGAACCTTGTGGTGTCATAAAGATCCATTAACTTAAATTTGCGACTGTATAAATATATCATGTATATTATGAAAACAAGAGTGCACACCCTGAAATGTCCTGCCTTCTTTACTAACCATTGATATTATATTGATAGTCCTAAATATAAAGCTGAACTACAACTATCACATAAACTTAACATGATCCAAGAAAATGAGGTCAAGGTCATATAAACCAAACGAGAAATACATGTAGTATGTACATTTATACACCTTACAATCATTCAATACACTAAATATAGTTAACCTATTGCTAACAGTTTCTAAAAACAGACTTAACCAAGAAAACTAAACATTGAACAATGAACCATGAAAATGAGGTCATGGTCAGATGAACCATGCCAGGCAGATATATACAGCTTACAGTCCTTCCATACAACAAATATAGTTGACCTATTGCTTATAGTTAAAGAACGGACCAAAACACAAAAACTTAACACTGAACAATGAACCGTGAAAATGAGGTCAAGGTCAAATAAAACCTGCGAGGCTGATATGTACATAATAAAATATTTCCATACACCAAATATAGTTGACCTATTGCATATAGTATTAGAAAAACAGACCGAAACTCAAAAATTTAACTTTGACCACTGAACCATGAAAATGAGGTCAAGGTCTGATGACACCTGCCAGTTGGACATGTACACCTTACAATCATTCCATACACCAAATATACTTATCCTATTACTCATAATAAGAGAGAAATGAACATTACAAAAAATCTTAACTTTTTTTTCAAGTATTCACTGAACCATGAAAATGAGGTCAAGGACAATGGACATGTGACAGACGGAAACTTCGTAACATAAGGCATTTATATACAAAGTATGAAGCATTCAGGTCTTCCACCTTCTAAAATATAAAGCTTTTAAGAAGTTAGTTAACGCCGCAGCCGCCACAGCCGGATCACTATCCCTATGTCGAGCTTTCAGCGACTAAAGTCGCAGGCTCGACAATAAAAACTACATTTATGGGATTTGAAGGAAGAAGTGATGAAAAAGCAAATGAGGATGAAAATTAAAGTTTTGAAGGTTGAATCCAAGATACATTATTACCATACCCAATGAAATAAGAAACTGCTTAGAAATTTATATAATTAAATATATATGTACAATGACAAGACTCAATACAAAGTTTATAGTAAAACTGAAGAAAGACAAAACTCAATGCATGCCTGATTCAAAGTTTACAGTAATACTGAAGAAAATTTTGTGACGGTCAGATTGACGGGACAAAAACAATAATACAAGTTCTCTTGGTCTCCTTAGATAATAAGGCTGCATGGACAAGCTAATATATAGCCTTTATTTATATCTTTAACCTTTTAGTCATTTCAGGATATCTGCTAAAGACCAATCTTTGGTAGTCTCGGATACATGTACCCGGTACATAATATTCACGAGCAGAGACAATCAAATTAGAATTGTTTTACATTTGTCATTTAGTAGCCTTTTATAGCTGTCTATGCAGTATAGGTTTTACTCATTGTTGAAGGCCATACAGTGACCTAGAGTTGTTAATGTTTGTATCATTTGGTCTCTTGGAGAGAGTGTCTCATTGGCAATCTTACCACATCCTATTTTTTTACATTTGTATTGACACTTACAATGTATATTGAAGTCTTTGTTTAACCAAAAGATGCCTCTACTGGTTTTGTTGTTTGTTCGGGTGCTGATTCATTGAAATATAGACGACATTTCTTTTCATTTATTTATCTCAATCGTTTGACCGTTACAGCCAAGTTAATCAAGTATAAAATAAGTATATAATACCTGCTGCTTTTACTTCTTCTCCTTATTGAAAAAGTACATTTCCTTTGTTAATTTCTTTTTTTTCCCCAATGAGCTCCTCAACAATTTTCTCTATTCATTAACTAAGAACTTGGGAACTTGCTGTATCCCTAAAAACATATCAAATTATTCAATTGATGGGAAAAAATCTTTCATTTTTATAATGGTATTATTTATTACACAATAGAAATATTACTCTTAAATATTTGTTTACATGTAGCTTAAGTTTTTAGTTAAATGTCATAAATATGTAAGCTAAACATAAAATAAAAGATAGCTGTTCAAAGCTGACTGACATGATATCATCAATTAGATTTAACCCCCTGAAGTGCAAATTAAGGAGAAATTACAATCCCCCCCCCCCACCCCTTTTATTAAAATTTATGTCATTTATGGATCCACCACTGAATATGGAAAAAGAGTTCATAAATCGGTTTGACTTGTGTCTTATCGAATTTGTGTTAAGCTTATTTAAATAAAATATATGTTTTAACTAAACTTTAGTCTAGCCTTTAATAGGGTAAAAAAAATCAGAAAAAAACTGTAATTTTATCGAACTTACCTGCACTGCATATTATTAAAGTCACAAGTACACAGTACAGTAGACCCGAGACAGAACTTTTTTTACTTCTACAGTTCCGTCATTGTACAGTACACAGACTCTGTCAGTTTCATATGGACTGGTATCACCTTGACAAGGAGATTGCTTGCCAAAAATAACCGCGGGAAATACCGCACACCTTGAAAAATTTCGGAATCGGTGTGTAACCCAGAAGCGGAATCAATTTATTAACATTGTTTTGTTATCCAGCTGGTAGCTTGATATAATTTAAATATTTAATTTAATTAATTATTTGAATATTTAAACATGAAATACAATCGGAAATTCAGTTTAAATGAGAATTGATGTGCTTCGTCTCTCAGAGAATTATCCCGTACGGTTCACAGAAACGAGCGTCTCAGACGACACATTTGGACGACACCAATTTTGACACCACAGTAGTGGCAATGGAAAGTAATGCAGATACTCTTGAAGATATAACAGGTATATTTTATTTCACAACCCCGTTATGAAGGTATGTGTACAATAGTTAATTAAAACGTACCATTCCCTGAATAAATACAGTCTTCATGAAACTCTTGACTGCCTGAAAATTGGAAAAACCCGTCATAAACTTTTAAATTCCTTTAAATTTAAATCATTTAGGGCCTATGGTTTGTGACTTGTGAGTCCTTTTTCATTAAAATTTTACTGTCCTGACAACATTTATATATGCCTGGGCCGTATGATTTTTATGAGTTAATCATGATCAAGACCAAATGATCACACTAATACCCATCTTTTGAAAGAAATTACCACAGGCACTAACATTAAGTATATAATTTAATCTCTGTAAAAAATAAATATCTTCTTTTAAGTTTTAAACTGAGTTTTACTGTGCATATTGCTGTGTGTTTCTTTATTCTACATTGGCTAGAGGTAGAGGGCTGAGATCTCACAAAACATGTTTAACCCCGCCGCATTTTTTTGCCTCTCCGAAGTCAGGAGCCTCTTACCTTTGTTAGTCATGTATGCTTTTAAATTTTAGTTCATTATATGTTTTGGAGTTTAGTGTGACGTCCATTTTCACTGAATTACTCAAATAGTACACATTATTATGGAGGGGCCAGCTGAAGCGGGATTTTCTGGCTTCGTTAAATACCCATTGATGGCCTTCGGCTGTTATCTGCTCTTTGTTGGGTTGTTGTCTCTTTGACATATTCCCCATTTCCATTCTCAATTTTACTCAGACTGACTCAGAGACACATCATATATAATGTCTCTGATTTACTTCACAAGTATAAAAGAGAACTGAAGTTAGTATTTATAGATAAATTATTTTATATTTATATATCTATTCAAAATAAAATTATGAAAAGAAAAGTAGAGGTTATTAGGATTTTTTTTAATGTCAGAATATCATGGATAAAGCCAGAGGATTCTGAATATCTGGCAAAAACTCAAAAACATGAGGAACGAACATCCTTAGACATAAATATATGTGGGTTGTGATTTTTACAAGACTTCAATAAATAAATAGGGGCTTTTTAACATTCAGCTGCAGGTACTGAGGACCTACATGGATTGATCACTTACACTTATCTGTCTGGAGTGGTATATAAACTTCACATGTCTCATAGACATACACCACATAACTCATTTTATTTCACCAGTTCAATATATGTCAAGATTGTTCATGATCATAGAATGACACTTGAGTTAATTATCAGGCAATTACCTTTCATTGTTCCACTTATTAATATTTACCACACAATTTTGGTAGTTCACTGTAATGTTCCCAATTTAAAGTTTGACAGACTATGACAATAACTGTATGTGTAAAAAAAATACTTAAAATTTATGCATTTCTTTTTTCTATATGACAGATAATAAGCAGGGCATGAACGAAGTATGGAGGATCTGTTTGAAAATTCCAGACATGAGAAAGAAAATGACAGGGGGAAATGTCCAGTTCAACGTTACCAGGACAATTCAGCAAAGTTCCAACAGATATGTATGCACTATTTCCATTCTATGAAATGTAATGCATTTAACAAAACAGTGTGCTTTAAAAAGAACAACATGCCTTTTGGCTTGCAGCATATGTGCAGAGGAAGAATAGATATAATTTGTTGTACATTAATGCTACATATGATATTTAAGTAACTTTGCAGAACAAAATGTTCTGAATGTTAGCATTAAATATTTGCCACTGGACAACTGAAGGACGTTATGTAATGCATACAAAAATTGATAAATCAAATGTAAAAGGTGATAAGAATCGAATAATCATTTAAATGTGTAACTATATATACGGTACATATACAAATGTACCTAAGAAGTGACTAAACAACATGAACAATAGATATATCTAGGAGTTATTCAGGAATTATCTAACAGGGTGCTATTCAGGAATTATCTAACAGGGTCATTTTTTTACACCAACCACCGGTAATATAAAAATTCATTTTACTTAATGAAGTATGTTTCTAAAGAAATTCTAAGGAAATTACAACCACCCCCAATATAATATGACTATTTGGCATGACATCAGATGCAACTCATTCATTTGTCATTGTTACCTTTAAAAAAATAGAAATAAAAAATGACTTATAAAATCATGTCTGATTCTACAACATTTCATTTTATACTTTAAACAAATTTGATATGAATTTGGGGTGATTGATTGATGTCTTTATTTTCTCATAATTGAGATATTGAATGATTAATGTTTAGCGCCACTTTTAACACTATGGTGCTATTTTGTGGCATCCAGTTTTTATACGCCCGTTTACGGGACGTATTATGGTATACCGTTGTCCGTCTGTCCGTCCGTCTGTCCGTCCGTCGTCAACATGTCGGACATTAACTGAAAAATGCTTTAACCAATTTGCATAAAACTTTGGTGAATTGTTTATATCTATTGACGTGAGCTCCCTTTCGTTTTTTATAAAATTTAGATTTTACGTTTCCGAGTTATGGGGTTTTATTCATTAAAAAAAAGGGGGATTTTCCAGTTTTCAGACAATAAGTTTATAATGCTTTCACCAACTTGCAAGAAATTGTGGTGAATTGTTTATATCTATTGACATGAGCTCCCTTTCGATTTTTATAAATTTTAGATTTTACATTTCCGAGTTACAGGGTTTTATTCATAAAAAAAGGGGGGATTTTCCAGTTTTCGGACAAAAACTCAAAAATGCTTTCAGCAATTCTTATGAAACTTTGGTGAATTGTTTGTATGTATTGATGTAAGCTCCCTTTAGAATTTTATAAATTTTATATTTTACATTTCTGAGTTATGGGGTTTTATTCATTAAAAAAAGGGGTGATTTTCAAGTTTTCGGACAATAACTCAAAAATGCTGTCACCAATTCTCATGAAACTTTGGTGAATTGTTTATATCTATTGATATAAGCTCTCTTTTTATTTTCATAAATTTCTAATATGACATTGAGAATTAATTGAACTTTATTTGTTTATAGTCTGACAACAGATTTACTAAGTATTGCACAACAGCAAGAAATCTTTAATTGAATATAAATTCAATTCATATAACCAATTTCAAGATCTTTGACTACATTTATTCAGAAACCTATAATATGTCAAATATTTAATTACAATCCAAATTCAGACCTGAATCAAGCTTGAATATTGTGTCCATTTTTGCCCCAACTGTTCTGGGTTGGACCTCTGCGGGCGTATCTAGCTGCGCTCAGCGAAGCAGTTTATTATTGATGGAGGAAGCTGGAGAGAACCATGACCTTTGGTAGGAAAACTGACAATCCTAGTCAATAACGATTGGGAGTTAAGTTCACTTGCCACGTGCGGGATTTGAACTCACAACCTCAGTGTTGACTGGCTAGTGATACAGAAGTTCGACAACTTAGACTACTCGTCCAAGTTGGCCCCATATAATCAAAATATAATAAATATATATATACAAAATTAATTAAATATCACACAACAAAAGGAATGTAAAATAAAGAAAGAAAAAAAGAAAGTTTTATACATACACACAAAGAAATATTTAAGTCACTCAGCATAAAATCCCTATGCAATGATGTTAATCTTTAATGATAACATGTTACATGTATATACTGTTCATATCATTAACATTACTAAAGATGATTATGTGACATTTGTTTTGTCAGTCAGTAGAAGGAGGCATAATATATGTGGACTAAAGTTCATGTTCATGTACATTTATTTGAATATTTATTTTTCCAGAAAAAATCTGAATTTGAGGCAAATATATACTGTCATGTATATATATAAGATGGATAAAGGACATGATACTTTAGCAGTGCTTCAGAGAATCACATTTGGCTACAGAAGTTTGTAGTATTTTGGTTGTAATCAAGTTATTAAGCTGAAGGTAATTTAATAGTAAAACAAGAAATGTTTCCTATTCAAGTATACTAAAATAAAGTTTGATGTTTAAGTCAGAATATGATAAAGTTCTTTTTTTTTGTCTCCCTTTCGATTTACTTACGTATTTTCTGGCTTTTTTTTTTGTAAAGTACTGGTAAAAGTCAAAATTTGTTTGGTAAAGCACCATTTAAGTTCAGAACATGTTGTATATAGTATATTAATAATTTAGATAAGATAAAAATAAAAAATACAATTATTTTATCTATCTACCCTATCTTTCTGCCAGGAGACAGCAAATAAGTGTATACATTTTTTGGCTTTATTGTTTTGTCATTTTTGGGTGTAAGCGTTTAAATGTTATAGTTATTTTAAAATAACACTTTGCATCTGCGGGGGCACCAATTGTGTCTCCCAGACACAATAATATCTCAAAGAAAGTCCTACATTGACTTTGTTATAATACAGTTACTTCAGAGTGGAGTCACTTTGTCTAGTTTTCATTTCAATTTTACACAGCCAAATCACCACATTAGTTATGATACATATAAAAAAGATGTGGTATGATTGCCAATGAGACAACCCTCCACAAGAAACCAAATGCCACAGAAATTAAGAGCTATAGGTCACTGTACGGCCTTCAACAATGACCAAAGCCCATACTGCATAGTCAGCTACAAATCACAAATGTAAAACAATTCAAACGAGAAAACTAACGGCCTGATTAATGTACAAAAAAATTAACGAAAAAAACAAATATGTAACAACAAACAACCACTTAACTACAGGCTCCTGACTTGGGACAGGCACATACATACAGAATGTGGCAGAGTTAAACATGTTGGGGAGATCTCAACCCTCCCCTAATCTGGGACAGCGGTGTAACAGCACAACATTAGAACGAACTAAAAAAATCAGTTGAAAAAGGCTGAACTCAACAGATGGATACAAATAGAAATACATACAACAAAAACACAGAGTGGACGTGGATGGGTACTTGTACATCCCAACAACAAAAAGACACTTAGTACAAATCTGAGAGTGCAGATACTGACAGCTAGTTCAAAGCCAATAACAACTTAAAAAAAAATGCATCTAAGAATAAATTATCAATCAGTACACATTCAACATCCAATGGATTTAGTGTAAAGAAATCATAAACAATCAGAGAAAAACATGACCTGGTGCAATGCCAAGATACAGGAAATGACAGATTGTAGATCCATGAAAGTGCATATGTATATAATAATAATGTTTACTAGGGTTGTAAACTATAGATATATTGAGAATTTTATCACATTGTTGTTTACAAAGCAAAAGCAACACTCATATTAGAAGTAAAATAAAGCTTTCATTATGTATGCTTAAATAAGATAATATTATAACAGTAAATAAAATTCTTTTTTTTATCCTTTCAGATGAAGAAACTTTCAAAAGAGTGGAGCATTTAGAAGATGGAACAATCAAATATTATTTGTTACTATTTCAGTAACTTTTCAAATGTTAACTGTTTAGAATATTCTTAAATATAAATATAATTGAATTTAATGTGGAAAGTGTTTTGTTTTTTTTAAACATTTGGTAACATATGCCTCTGTTAGGGACAATTTTTTAATCATAAGCTGATTATTTTTAGATTTGTCATGGTAAACCTGCAAGGGACACAACTCTTGTAGAATGAACATTGTAAAATAGCTAGTCTGTATTGAATTGTTGTTTGGTATACATTTGGTTTTGCATTATTTGTTGTGCAATTTCGAATTCGACTTCTTTTCAAACATTGTATAAATTTAAAATGTAGCTGACTTTGACATTGGTATTCATACTTTTAGATTTTTTATGAATTGTCAAACAAACGCGATTATAAAGCAAGAATTTCAAACAAACAAAAAAAGAAATGCTAACAGGAAGATTCGAAAGGTTTCAAACATGTAGAAATAGTCTCATGTTTTAAATAAGATTTGGATTTATATATATATCTACATATATATATATATATAAGTTTTAATGGATGCTAAACATCCAGCCAAAAATATTACATACATATTCAGGATGATAAAAGGTTAATAAAACATGCATATGAGGTAACTGATAATCAATATAAGACAATTTATTGATGTATAACTCACTTTTACAGTACTTTTACCATAAAGAACCAGAGAAACATCTTCAAATAGAGATGACCAAGAACAAAAAATGATATGTCAATGAGTGCAACAAAGACAATATTTCATTTTTCCTAGTGGCTGCTTCACATAAAAGTCTTGAAGTATTATCACGTTTATATCACGTGGCTTTATATTAAACGTATATATCACGTTGTATTATCACGTTGATATTATGTGGATTTATATACAACATGAATATCACGTGTGACGAACGTTTATTTCACGTTGTGCTCACAACGTGAATATTACGTTTCTGCTCGTTTCACGTTGTACTCACGTGGTGTGGACAACGTGAATATCACATGATTCCCATGTTAAAATCACGTTGGAAAAAATTGCCTGTGTATACAACCTGAGATAAAGGTACATTATATACATGTAAAACATCGATTATCGCAGTAATTATTATTTACAGCAAATGCTGTTCAACAAACAAAGTATTCAGAGACTATTCATGAATATATAGTATGAAAATTAATTAAGTAATTCGTTAATATTATAGCATGTATCTTTAAACTGTGTCACAACGAGTTAGAATCTTTTACCTCTGAAGACAATTTTTTCCATATGTGTGCACCCGAGTACATTAATAGTTTCTTTATAAAATTGGACTTAGGCTTTGGCATGTGTAAATTTGTATTGTAAATGGAACGTATCTGATAATTTTGAACATTAAAATATTGGAAATTTGATTCGAAATAATGAGGCGCAAATCAATTTAAAGATTTGCACTTAATTTGTAAAGTGCGATTTTCATTTACTAGCACTTGGCCAATACCATGGTGATTGACTATTAGTCCCCGATGGTACTTCATAGGAAGATACGTCCGAATCTTAATTTGTAAATCTTATCTTACTGATAATTTTTGTTGCTTACAGTTTTTTTCTATAAATATTTCTCAAGAAAATTGCCCACAACAACACATGTGGATGCACTTTATAAATCGTCATTTTTTTATGTTTAATTTTTCTTTATCTTTTTAAATTTGGACGATAAAGGTCAAATAGGGCCCGGATAAAATCTTCATTTTAGGGCAATAACTCCTATTAGAAGTCGATTGGCAACTTTAGTGTTTACAGTTTCTCTCAATCTTTTTATCTTAGTACATGTATGATGATTGCGAGAGAGAACATAAAGCAGAACATAAAGCACGAAAAAGACGGTAAAGATAAATATTTGCTTAAGAACAATAATTCCGATACCAACCGTTTTGATTATTCGACTTATAACTAGATCTTGTTTTCTCTATTTTTTACCCTTTCCTTGCTGTATATATACAGTTTCTCTCTAAATATCATAGTTAGAAAATAGCAAAAAATGTAAAAATGGGTTACAATTTTCGTTTAAGAGCATGATATCCAAAATAGGTCAATTCACGATTTCGGTTGAGTTGACTTATTTGTCTACCTTGTTAAGCTCTGTACAGTTTTTTTTTCTCTTTCTATTATATTTTCATGAAAATAATCAATGATGCAAATATGGGTAAAAAGTTGTCAATTAATGGCAATAACTCCTAAAAGGAGTCACTTGACTATTTCGGTCATGTTGACTTATTGTAGATCTGATTTTGCTGATCAAACTTTTTTATTACCGTTTTTCTATCTATAAAATAGTTTTCAAGATGATTGCCGAAAACTCCAAAAGTGGCCAAACATCGTCATTAAAGGTCTAAGTCCTAAGGAGCCAATTGACGATTAAAATTAGAATTACAACGTGATGAAGTAAACTTTGATAAAACAAGTCAGGCTATTTCACTGAAATAGCTGTCAATAGATATTCACGGAATAATGCATGCTTGTTGGTGGAGACTTCAACCTATTAATACTTGAATTATATCCCTGCAAATTGGACACATTCTCTGTTGAAAAGGCAGAGACCTATAATACATATGTAATACATTTAGTATATATGTCTTTGGTAAAGGTGATGTAACTAGTAATGTCTGCCAACTTCTACTTGTAATTTTCTACTACCATTTTTTATCTTTACCATTTTAGGTAAATTTTGTTAAGGCCTACAAATAGATATTTTCCAAATTCAAAAATATTTTTAATTATCATAGTCACAAGCAAGAGCTAGTTTCCAGGATTTTATAAATACCTCTCTAATTAATTTTGAATTAAAAAAAAAAGTGATTTTGTCTGAAATGCTGAAATGAGGTGAACACCAAGTTTACATAATAAAACTTTTATTTTCATTCAAAAACCATTAGACAGGTTAAAGTTTTCACTGTATGCTTTCTTTGTCACATAGTAACAGTAAGACTGAACTTAAGCCAGGAACTCATTGCATTTGTAACCGGGCTGACAATGAAAGTGGGAACGTACTACATTATTAATTATAAACAGCATCGTTATTAAACACCAGAAACATATAATCATGTCTCTTAAGACATATAATCATAAGTCTCTTAACACCCAATAAAAATTTTCCAAATTGAAAATAAAAAATATAATAATGTGAAATATTTTTTCCGGATCTTTGACCTGGTTTGTGTCAAAATTTATGTATTAGCTTCACCGGAAGTTGTAATAAGTGCTTTCGAAACTGAAAATGCGAAATGAGCAAATTGAAACGCAGAGTTACAGTTGATAACCAGCAATCAACTCAAGACGAAAGTGACAGACGAAAGCCAAGTGTTTTTGAAAGATTAGGGCCTGGTGCAGCAGGTGCCAGTCGAAAATACGACGAAAGTGTAAGCTTAAACGTTGGAATGAAACACCACATTTATAAACATAAATAATATGATCACTCAAATCTACAATTCGAGCTCATAGTTAGATCGTATTGTATTGTTCAATTGAGCCAAAGACATATAATACAAAAGGCTGGCAACTCCGTTTAATGGCCATATTATAATCTATTAAAAAAAGAATTTTTCTGATTTGGCCACCACATAATTTTACAACCATCAGTGGCATCACATTTGAAAAATGGATTTACAACATAGACTAAGCCCAGCCCCATCACTGAGTTTGAAAAGTTCAAGGCCTAGCATTCACTGTAGATATAATATGAGGCAGGTGGAACCTGTGGAAGAGGACGAAGTCCGTTTAAATCATTAATAAAATATTGACTTTTGCAAAATTTAATAAAATGTACTACAGCTGTCAACTACATTTATTGTTATATTTTACAGATTTTAATTTTATGACATTGAATAGTACCAAAAAAATTACTATCATTTAAAAACAATCCATAACATTTGACTTTTAAAAAGGCTAACATTACATAACCCTTTACCAAATTGCAACAAAGGAATGACCAGCATATTTTTAATTTAGGTTGAAAAAGTTAGGGAAAGTCAGAAATTTCAATGTAATCAAAGAAATGCTATCTTCAGTGAACATTATTACATATTAAAGTCTTTTGATAAATAAAAATAAAATAATGTATAGTTTATTATTAACCTTCATGTATCAGATTCCTTACAAGACACAAAAACAGGGTAGTTTCCCATGGAGAACTTTATTTGTTTGCTACAAATTTGTATGTTAAATTAGTACTTGACTCATTTTTTAACTGTCAATATTCTTTAAATTTTTTTGGCAATCAGAAACAAAAAAATTGCTGGAAATCATATGAGGCTCCTTATATTTTACGCCTCAAGACAAAGGGTACTGGAAAAGGCTTCTTCACTAATGCAGGAACCTGAAAAAAAAATTGAATAATTTTGATTCATAAGTATATTGATTTTTGTTTTTATTGAATTTTCTACTGTAAATGAGGACTTCTGTGAAGTGATCATCAATAACTCTGTCAAACGTTTAACCTTCATACGGAATGTTATGAAACGTGGACAGAAGCTTCTTCAAGATCAAGAAGTCTGAAAGAAAACGTTTAATTTTTTTACTTCATTTTTTCCATATTTTACTGATAAATGAACTACATGTAAGTTTTTGTCAGTCAACAATATACTTTTACACTCACAGCAACAATTGCAGGGCAGATGCAGGGTTCCACAGAACCTTTTATGATTTTTTTTTACAAGCTCGTTTAAAAAGATGTCGTCTTTGATCATTATATTTCTTTTACAGATATGCAGAAATTTTTTAGCTGGAAAATGTTACTATGGAATTAAATGCAAATTTAAACATGTAAAGAGAAGGCAAGAAAGGTAATATGATAATAGGATGAACTGTTGCTAACACTTTGTGTCATTTCTAAATGCCAAATTAATGTTTCTTTATGACATCTTTTGGCTAACTTAGATATTTGGATTTTCTTTGTGCACAAATAAAGCTGTGTTTTACACAGTTAACTGAGTTTTATCTCTAATATACATCCTTTTTTTTGTCCCCCAGGTCTTGTAGAAAAAATATAGTTTGGCTTTATAATTGCATCAACTTAAAACTTATTTGGTAGACTATAGTCAGTCACCCATCAAGAAATTTATAGAATTTAAAAAGGAAAAGGTGTTTCAGGAAGTAATCGTGTATTGATGTCAATTAATTGTCAAAATTGATTTTTCAAAGATCAGTATATTTTTAAATTCTGTGAAAAAAAGCAGTATTTTTATTTGTCTATTGATAGGAATAGTTAACCACATGTATTTCATCTTTGATTTGAAGGTCTATTAAAAGATTTATTTATTTAATTTCATGCAAAATGGCAACAAACCGATATAGATCACGAACTCAAACTGATCCTGCAAAACGCAAACACTATTCATTTAATTATACACTTTTATCCCAAATGGTACAACTTAAAAATAAACATTGTATAAAACACATTAGCAATAAGAAGCTGACACATGCTCTATACTTATTTTACCTTGTTACCCAATATCATGCTCCTAAATTTAAACCTTTAAACTTATGAGAAAGGTTGAAATATGCTAAATGAGTTTTAATTTAATTTATGTAAATTTTCAGGGATGAAGATTCTAGTTCTGACGAATTCAGTAAAATAGTCAGAAAAAGTAGACGTGATTCAGAGAGGAGTGAAGGAGAGGAAGAAATGAAAGGCAGCAAGAGTAAGTGGGATCAAGAATTAAGTCAACTGTTGTTGTCAAAAAGTCACATGACAATAGGGAAGACGGTGACAGCTGCCAGCTGGGAGCATGGGGGTACCTGTCAGACAAAAGAAAACTTTTGGTGTTTGAACAAAATGATCCATCATTCGGATTGCTTTTATCCTTATATCATGATAAAAATAATCTAAACAATCCTGTTTCATATTTTCATTTAGATCTTTTTTCCATTATGATGCATGAGACTATTTTCCATAGCCTTAGAAACATTACTGTGAGCACTGTCAAGATTTAATCTTTATTGGGATGAATGGCATAATTGCTTGAGTCTTTTCCATCTCCTATTCTTTCATTAATAAGTTTGATACCCATTTATAATTTTGATTTTCTGTTGTTTTGTAATTGAAAAAGTTATATCTTAATTAAATTATGGTAGAAAAATGTGCTATATTATAAAATGTTATCAAATGAAAAGGAAATCAATGTTGTAGATCTTAGGGAAATAGGTTTCACATTATTTTGTCATTTTAGTGGAGGGGCTGTACCCCTGGCTTTTCAATCTGTGTTCCAAGGTTTTTTGGAAAGTTTGCTATAGCTTGCTTTAGCAATATACTTTCCTAAGGCATCGGCCTCAAACCGGAAGTTGCACAGACTATCTTACTATGTCTACTCCTAGATAATGTAGTACTAGTGTTTGAATACTAATTCTAGGAAGATGCTTTTGAAATTTTGAGTTACTTCTATTTTGATTAGCTTACAGCTTGAATTAAAATGTACTGAATGTTCAGTGATAATTCAAATGAATTCAACTTCATTTTGAAAATGGCTATCACAAACACTACTTCGCAGATCTGCGCTGTGAGGAAATTAAAATCAATGCACATCTACACGAGACAGCAGTTTCTACGTTATGCTTTTATCGGTATTCCCCAGACATGCGTGAGATCCATATATGTGTACCTCCTGACGGGAGTACAATAATCCCGGTTTCAGGGGTTTCCTCCCGTCCTCCGGTTGAAGAGAAAATAAATACCGTGTTTAAAATATTTCATGAATGAACATTTTCCTACGCTATTTTTACTACGATTTTTACAAATGTTTATTACAGACGTAAAAGCCCGAGTGAATCGAAAGTAACCTGTTATCTCATCTCGTCCCATAACAGACTCAGACTATAACAAACTCGGCCTATTACAAAATCGGACTATAACAAAATTCGTATATACTATTTGTTATAAAGTCTCCCAAACAAAGTTTGGAGACTTATTGGTTTTGCTCAGTTCTTATTATTTTTCTTCTTGGGTTCTATTTATGGGTATTTTGAGGGGCCTACAGAAGGGAGGGATTTACTAAAGAACCCTATGGGATTTTATTTTTTTAAATTTTCAAATGACTATATCTTGAAAACAGTAAGTGATAAACACACGCGGTCTTCAGTAATGATCACAGGACAATAAAACAAATAAAATAAAAACTATAGGTTGAGTCCCTGGGGTCACCCCTACCCTCCCCCTCCTTTTCAATTTGAGAATGGGCTTTTATCTTGTAAACAGTCGAGATCCCCACACCTAAACCTTATATATTCATGTATGGGATAATAAAACAAATCAAATGAAATATAGCGGGAGTCCCTTTGGGTCACCCCCACCCCCTCCTGTTTGAGAACTTGTAAAACGTCGAGATCCCCACCTTGAAACCATATATATTCTTGTATGGGACAATAAAACAAATCAAATGAAATACAGGGGGAGTCCCTAGGGGTCACCACCATCCCATCCTGTTTGAGAACTTGTAAATGGTCGAGATCCCCACCCCTAAACTATATATATTTTTGTATGGGACAATAAAACAAATCAAATGAAATATAGGGGAAGTTAATGGGGGTCACCCCCACCCCCTTCTTTTTGAAAACTTGTAAACGGTCGAGATCCCCACCCCAAAACCATATATATTCTTGTATGGGACAATTAAACAAATCAAATGAAACAAAGAGTCCCCTGAGAATCAACCCCCCCCCCTTTTTGAGAACTTGTAACGGTCGAGATCCCCAACCCTAAACCGTATATATTCCTGTTAATGATTTCAAGAAGATTTGAATGACATACAGGGTTAATTCATAGGCGTCACTGATGCATATCACTTACTAGACTTAATCAATTTGTACTGGACTTTGCCCAATGTCAGGCGACCATGGGAATGACTAATTATGGGAGCTTTGTTTGGAAGACTTCGTAACAGCATCCTGTTACAATTATTTCTTGTATTTAGTAAAACATTTTAAAAGTCATAAAAAACCGTTAACCACACAATCTACTTAACGTAGTCCAAGTTTGTTCAATATATAACAATTCAAACAAGAAAACTAACTGCTTAATTAGTAGTAATACAATTTACTAAAAACAAATATGAAGGACCTTAATCAATAAAAAATACTTAATCACAGGCCCTTTACATGGGATGGGCACAGAAAGAAATTAACAGAGCTTTCTGCATATTTGATTATTTTAAATCTACAGTTTAAGCTAAAGGTTGCAATAGAAATTATCAAAATTTTACATGACAAACATATGAAAAAAGTGATTTTTGATAATTGCTGATGAGACAATGGTTTAGGGAAAAACACCAAAGCTGTGATTAAATACATATTTTAAATAATACACATCTACAACCTATTTGAAATAATACACATCTACAACATATTTGAAGTAATACACAACCACAACCGATTTGAAATAATACACATCTACAACCTATTTGAAGTACATGTAATACACATCTACAACCTATTTGAAATAATACACATCTTCAACCTATTTGAAATAATACACATCTACCATTGCAAACTTTCCACAGGTGCTATCCAGCACTTTGATTAGGCTTTATTCCAGACTTGAGATCTTTCTTCTCTTCCTTTATATAACTATCAGCTAGGCTACTCTTTAAGAACACATAAATGATATACTGCTTTGTGAGTTTCATGCAGTTGTAAGTGATTCTCCATAGAGTGAGTGGGGCCTCGGTGGCCGAGTGGTCTTAGTAGTCCAACTACTGTATCACTTACCTGTCAGCACTGAGGTTGTGAGCTCCAATCCTGCATGTGGCAGGTGCACTGGACTTCAATCAAAATTGACTAGGATTGTCAGTTTTCCTGCCAAAGGTCATGGTTCTCTCCAGGCACTCCTGCTTCCTCCACCAATAAAACTGGCTGCCATGAAATAGCACAATAGTGCTGAAAGTGGCGTTAAACATCAATCAATCAATCAACCCATAGATTGATAATCTGTGGACATAAATATTTGGGACTAGAGGAAAATAGCTGTCATATATTGAACTATTAATGTTACAAAAGTTTTTCAATAAGAGCTTTAGACAAAAGAATCAAATTGAACAAATTTGGAAATTAAATGAGATCATTCAAGATGAATTTCTTCTTAAATGGAAACTAATAATATATTTATGTTAAAAATTGAATGTACAGAATTTGATATTTTAAAATTTTTTTTGTTGTAAATTAGCAAAAAATAAAATATATCTTTGTTGGCATATTAGTAATATTTGTAAGTTTTTTTTTATAACTCTTTATCTTAATTTTACAGACTGTGGTGAAAATGCTCAGAAAGTCGAGATCTAATTTATATCCATCAAAATAGTTGTAAAATTCTATACTGGAGTTATTGCCCTTTTTGTCTTATTTAGAATCTCCATTTCAAACTTTTAAACAGTTTGTATAATAGAAAAACAAAGGATATGGGGTATGCATCCATGACACAAAATCAGTACATGCACAGCAAAAAAACACACACAAAAAGCAAAGAAACAGCACTTTTTTTGCTGTTCTTCATCTCAAAGTCACAGTGAGGCCTACAATACGGAGCAAATAATCGGGCCCGGTCACAAAAAAACATACTGTATGTTCTTTTAACAGCTGCATTAAATTAGAATTTACAAAATTTTGTGGTTTATAAGTGTACATACAGGTTATTGTTGTTTAATACTTACCAATAAGATGGTCAAGTAAACAATTTATGCTTCTTTCTTTTAGAACTTGATTTTAAGAAAGAGCTGGAGCTTGAAAAGAAAAGACAACAAATAGAAAGAGAATTACAACAACTAGGAGGACTAGAAGAAAGAGAAAACATTACTATAGAGAAAAAGGTAAAAATATCCATAGAAGTACTATGGAAGGTAACACTGTCTCATTACATTTATGAGATAATATTTTATTATTAAATTAGAAGATATGATATGATTGCCAATGAGACAACTATCCTTAAAGACCAAATGATTTTGAAGAAGCAACTATAGGACACCATAGTGCCTTTAACAATGAGCAAAACCCATAAGCATACCTACCAACACACAAGTTCTCTGTTTCTTAAAGTTTGAATCCTTCTTTTGAACCATTCAGCTGCAAGGGAGGTCAACATCTCTCTTTTTGACAAAAATATTACCCTATTTTCACCCCCTTTCATCATTCAATTATTTTACACAATATTTTCGTGATTTATTTTCACTTTCCTGTCAAACCAGAGTAAACCATACCCTTAATAACCAGTTTCATGTTCATTCCAGCCGAAAATTGAAGTCCCATGTTTCCCCCTTCAAACCCTTTGAAAAATACCCTCTGTAAATTAGACCTTGTGCATTCCAAATTCTGATCTGGTTTTACAGTCCCAGTACTCTTAATAACATGTATTATAATCTGTCAAAACAGGAAATCATGATAACAGTGTTGATCTATGTGCAATTTAGGTTATTTACACTAGAGGATCCTTTAGGGTTAAACAAAATAGTAAGGTGTGAAATCATGAACTTTAAAGTAGTGAGCTGGTTTTACAAACAGTATTGATAAGTATGTTCAAACAATATGGAATCTTTATGTATGCCAAAAAAAAGAAAAAAAGATTATTTTAACAATTCTAATTGAAATTTAAGTGACAAGCCAATTTTTATACGACCGCAAAAAAATTTTTGTGGTCGTATATTGGTATGACGTTGGCGTCGTCGTCGTCCGGCGTCGTCGTCCGGCGTCGTCTTCCGAATACGCATTAGTTTTCGCACTCTAACTTTAGTTTAAGTGAATGGATCTCTATGAAATTTTACCATAAGGTTCAATGCAACAAAAGGAAGGTGGGGATTGATTTTGGGGGTTATGGTACCAACAGTTAAGGAATTAGGGGCCAAAAAGCGGCCAAAAATAAGCATTTTCTAGTTTCCAGACAATAACTGTGGAACGGTGTATGGATCTCTCTGAAATTATACTACAAGTTTCCATACCACAAAGGGATGGTTAGGATTTGCTTTGGTGGGTTATGGCTCAAACCGTTTAAGAATTAGGGGCAAAAAAGGGGGAAAAACAAGGTTGTCCTGGTTAATGGACAAATACTTTAGTACAAAACATAATTTAAAGCAGTGTAAGGGAGATAAATCAAATACATCATTGAAATTATCTCCCTTACACTGCTTTTAAATTATGTATAAAGTAATGGTTAATGAACAATTAAGATAATTTAAAACAGTGTAAGGGAGGTAATCCAAATACAACGTTTTGGTTACTTCCCTTACACTGCTTTTAAATTATGTTTAAAGAAATGCATATTTATAAAGGAAGACCAGTAAAAATATCTGCAAATGTTGCATCTTTTTTTTTTACAAAAAAATCCATATGAAAGATTTGACACTATATTTTAAATTCTATTATAAAATAGATTAAGTTAGCACTATGGTAAATTTAAATGGGTAATTATGGTTTGGGGGGAAAAAGGGGGGGGGGGTAAAAAGAAATTGTGGGGGGTCAATTTTTTCTCATTTCAGATTTCAGAAATTAAAAAGAATTATTCTTCAAATATTATTTTTTTTTCAAATTTCAAATATTGAAAAATTTCAAGAAGTAATCTTTAATTGCACAGTATGGCGCATTAGATTTGTAAAATCTTTGACCACATTTATTTATTTGTTATGCCGAATCTAACCGTGTATTTAGATTTTTAATTTTGGATCCAGTTTTCAAATTGGTCTACATTAAGGTCCAAAGGGTCCAAAATTAAACTTTGTTTGATTTTAGCAAAAATTGAATATATGAGGTTCTTTGATATGCTGAATCTAAACATGTATTTAGATTTTTGATTTTTGGCCCAGTTTTCAAGTTGGTCCAAATTGGGGTCCAAAATTAACCTTTGTTTGATTTTAACAAAAATTGAATATATGGGGTTCTTTGATATGCTGAATCTAACCATGTATTTAGATTTTTTATTTGTGGACCCCGCTATCAAATTGGTTCATATTGAGGTCAAAAGGGTCCAAAATCAAACTTTGTTTGATTTCATCAAAAATTGAATTATTGGGGTTCTTTGATATGCCAAATCTAACCGTGTATTTAGATTTTTAATTTTGGGTCCCGTTTTTTAAATTGGTCTACATTAAGGTCCAAAGGGTCCAAAATTAAACTTAGTTTGATTTTAACAAAAATTGAATTCTTGGGGTTCTTTGATATGCTGAATCTAAACATGTGTTTTGATTTTTGATTATGGGCCCAGTTTTCAAGTTGGTCCAAGTTGGGGTCCAAAATTAAACTTTGTTTGATTTCAACAAAAATTGAATATATGGGGTTCTTTGATATGCTGAATCTAAACATGTTTTTAGATTTTAGATTTTTGGCCCAGTTTTCAAGTTGGTCCAAATTAGGGTCCAAAATTAAACTTTGTTTGATTTCAACAAAAATTGAATATATGGGGTTCTTTGATATGCTGAATCTTACCATGTATTTAGTTTTTTTATTTGTGGGCCCGCTATCAAATTGGTTCATATTGAGGTCAAAAGGGTCCAAAATCAAACTTTGTTTGATTTCATCAAAAATTGAATTATTGGGGTTCTTTGATATGCCAAATCTAACCAAGTATTTAGATTTTTAATTTTGGGTCCCGTTTTTTAAATTGGTCTACATTAAGGTCCAAAGGGTCCAAAATTAAACTTAGTTTGATTTTAACAAAAATTGAATTTTTGGGGTTCTTTGATATGCTGAATCTAAACATGTGTTTTGATTTTTGATTATGGGCCCAGTTTTCAAGTTGGTCCAAGTTGGGGTCCAAAATTAAACTTTGTTTGATTTCAACAAAAATTGAATATATGGGGTTCTTTGATATGCTGAATCTAAACATGTTTTTAGATTTTAGATTTTTGGCCCAGTTTTCAAGTTGGTCCAAATTAGGGTCCAAAATTAAACTTTGTTTGATTTCAACAAAAATTGAATATATGGGGTTCTTTGATATGCTGAATCTTACCATGTATTTAGTTTTTTTATTTGTGGGCCCGCTATCAAATTGGTTCATATTGAGGTCAAAAGGGTCCAAAATCAAACTTTGTTTGATTTCATCAAAAATTGAATTATTGGGGTTCTTTGATATGCCAAATCTAACCAAGTATTTAGATTTTTAATTTTGGGTCCCGTTTTTTAAATTGGTCTACATTAAGGTCCAAAGGGTCCAAAATTAAACTTAGTTTGATTTTAACAAAAATTGAATTTTTGGGGTTCTTTGATATGCTGAATCTAAACATGTGTTTAGATTTTTGATTATGGGCCCAGTTTTCAAGTTGGTCCAAGTTGGGGTCCAAAATTAAACTTTGTTTGATTTCAACAAAAATTGAATATATGGGGTTCTTTGATATGCTGAATCTAAACATGTATTTAGATTTTAGATTTTTGGCCCAGTTTTCAAGTTGGTCCAAATTGGGGTCCAAAATTAAACTTAGTTTGATTTTAACAAAAATTGAATTCTTGGGGTACTTTGATATGCTGAATCTAAACATGTGTTTAGATTTTTGATTATGGGACCAGTTTTCAAGTTTGTCCAAGTTGGGGTCCAAAATTAAACTTTGTTTGATTTCAACAAAAATTGAATATATGGGGTTCTTTGATATGCTGAATCTAACCATGTATTTTGATTTTGGACATTGGACCATAATAGGTAAATTAAAAAAATTGAAGTTCTTAGACCACATTCTTTCTGTGTCAGAAACCTATGCTGTGTCAAATATTTAATCACAATCCAAATTCAGAGCTGTATCAAGCTTGAATGTTGTGTCCATACTTGCCCCAACTGTTCAGGGTTCGACCTCTGCGGTCGTATCAAGCTGCGCCCAGCGAAGCATTTTATTTCAACCGGAGTCCAGTTATGTAAAAAAATAAATATCAGGTACTTTATAAACATTGATTTTTCATGTGGGTTAATATTTCATGGTCTTGTTTCTAAATTCAATTTCATGGTGATTAGTTTTCATTGATTCCAATACGTGATTGTAATATTCTTTGTAGGTATATATTTCATTTGTGTCATCTTAGTAAATAAAATGATAGATCCTTATAAACATGATAAATAATCTAGTTTCTGCTAATGAACTGATGATATAGTCTCTTAAAATTATTAGTCCCCTACTAACGAAGTTGAAAGGGACTTTAGGTTTGCACTCCGTCTGTCTGTCTGTCTGCCCACCCATCCGGCAAATCAGTTTTCCACACTTTTTTCTTCGTGCTTGAAAATATTGATTTGATAATAGGTATATAATTTTATCATGACAAGTTACAGATCAAGTTCGAATTTTGTTCCAGTCTGATGATTTTGTGCATAGTTATGGTCCTTGGACTTAGAAAATTCACTTAATAATCAGTTTTCCACACTTTTTTTTGTCATTCTTGAAGATATTGATTTGATAATTGGTATATAGTTTCATCATGACAAATTAAAGACCAAGTTCAAATTTTGTTCAGGTCTAATGATTTTGTGCAGAGTTATGGTCCTTGGACTGAGAAAATTCACTTAAATAATCAGTTTTCCACACTTTTTTTTCGTCATGCTTGAAGATAATGACTTGATATTTGTTATTTAATTTACACCATGCCAAGTTATAGATCAAGTTACCATTTTGTTTCAGTACAATTAATTTTTAACCGGTAGGGGACTATGTATTGCCATGCAATACTCTCAGAATGCTTGTTAATTTTACTTTTACATCTTTATTAATTCTAGATGAGCAGTTCGGATGACAGTAGTGATGAACGTCCCCAGACAAAGAAAAAGAAGTCACCTAGGTATTAAATTCATTTTAATGATTTTAGGGATAAATTTAAGTCAAGACTGTAAAGATCATTTAATGAATATTGGGAAAAACAATGCTTTATTGGGTTAACTGGAGTATACAAATAAGTAGTTCAATGGCAAATTACAATTTAAATATTCATACAAAAGTACAATTTAAATATTCATACAAAAGCACAATTTAAATATTCACACAAAAGTACAATTTAAATATTCACACAAAAGTACAATTTAAATGTTCATACAAAAGTACAATTAAAATATTCATACAAAAGTACAATTTTAAATGTTCATACAAAAGTACAATTTAAATATTCATACACCACATTCAAATATAAAGTAACTATGCATTGCGAAATAAAAGACAGTTGTTAAAAGATATCAAGAGGATACCAACACCTTGATAGATTGACAAAACGACTAATAGACACATAGACGCAAACAAAGTGAGACAATGAAACAAAGATACATAGACACATCCATATAATGACACATTGACACAGCCTTTGGTGCTAGACGCACATTGACACAGGATACAAGTTTGCATTTTAATAAAAAATATGAAATAATATTAATCTCTTAACTCAACTCTAACCAAAGACACTGCCTACTGCACTAGACTGCCAATTGACACAGCCTATGGGCTAGACGGCACATTGACACAGCCTTAGGCACAAGACGGCACATTGACACAGAATACAAGTCTTAGAATTTTAATAAAAAATTAGAAATAATATTAATCTCTAAACCTCAATCTAACCAAAGACATTGCCTACTGCTCTAGACTGCCCATTGACACAGCCTATGGCGCTATACGGCACATTGACACAGCCTTTGGCACAAGACGGCACATTGACACAGAATACAAGTCTAGAATTTAAAAAAAAAATCAGAAATAATATTAATCTCTTAACCTCACTATAACCAAGGACACTGCCTACAGCACTAGACTGCCTATTGACACAGCCTATGGTGCTAGACTGACTATTGACACAGCCTATGTCGCTAGACTGCCTATTGACACAGCCTACGGCACTAGACTGCCTATTGACACAGCCTATGGCCCCAGACTGCCTATTGACACAGCCTATGGCGCTAGACTGCCTATTGATACAGCCTACAGCACTAGACTGCCTATTGACACAGCATACGGCACTAGACTGCCTATTGACACAGCCTACGGCACTAGACTGCCTATTGACACAGCCTATGGCACCAGACTGCCTATTGACACAGCCTATGGCGCTAGACTGCCTATTGACACAGCCTACGGCACTAAACTGCCTATTGACACAGCCTACGGCACTAGACTGCCTATTGACACAGCCTATGGCACCAGACTGCCTATTGACACAGCCTATGGCGCTAGACTGCCTATTGACACAGCCTACAGCACTAAACTGCCTATTGACACAGCCTACAGCACTAGACTGCACATTGACAAAGCATACAAGTTTAAAATGTAAATGAAAAGTAAGAAATCATATTTATAATAATAACCCTAACCTAACTCTTACCAAAGACACAGCCTATGGTTCTAGACCACACATTGATACAACCTACTGCTCTAGATAATCTTAATCATTATATCGACGGTATCATAGAAGACTAAAGTGATTGTCGGTGTGTCAATTTGATTTAACCAAATAATCATCGAAAATGATTTTCGATGTGCGAAACTTTTTTTATTTAAAATCTAATAATAGCCAATTTACTAATTAATAATGCACTACTGGGAACTATTTGTTCCGTATACCGGTACTTCACTTGATCCGCTTTATTTTCAATATTACTGTATTACATTTTTCTATGCCAGATTACAGCAGACCTGTAAATGTTTTTTTTTCTACATTTCTGTGTTATATATTAAAGTGTAAGATTACAGTAAACCCTGACTTGTAGATGACTTTTTTGTCTCGCCTTGACGGAGTCAAAAAGCGAGACATAGGTATGCTGTTTCCGGTGTCGGCATCGTCAACAATGTATTAGTTTGTGATTAGGTCTAGTTCATGGTTAACCACTAGTGGTAGGTCAATGATATTTGGTATGCAGTTGTATTAGCATTGGCACATCTCATTAACATGGAGATATTGGCCCCGCCCCCTCAGTCAAGGTGTATTGACTTTGAAACTTTGCTTAATTTACATATATAAGTTTGTGATTAGGTCAGTTTATGGGGAACCGATAGTGGTAGGTCAATGATATTTGGTATGCAGTTGTATAAGCATTGGCATATCTCATTTCCATGGAGATTATTTGGTCCCACCCTCTCATTCATGGTCTATTGACTTTGAACTTTTTCTTAGTTTTCATGTATTAGTTTGTTATTAGGTCAGTTTAAATTTCCTGTTTACAAAACTGTGAATTTTTCGATTAACTAAGGATTTTCTTATCCCAGGCATAGATTACCTTAGCCGTATTTGGCACAACTTTTTGGAAATTTGGGTCCTCAATGCTCTTCAACTTTGTACTTGTTTGGCTTTATAACTATTTTGATCAGAGCGTCACTGACGAGTCTTATGCGTCTGGCGTATAAAATTATAATCCTGGTACCTTTGATAAATATTAAGGGGAACTGTTAGTGGTAGGTCAATGATATTTGGTATGCAGTTGTATAAGCATTAGCACATCTCATTTCCATGGAGAATATTTGGTCCTTACCCCTCAGTCATGGTCTATTGACTTTGAAATTTTTGCTTAGTTTACATGTATTAGTTTGTGATTAGATCAGTTTAAGATGAACCACTAATTTTAAGTCAATGATATTCGGTATGCAAATGTATTGGCATTTGCAAGTTTCATTTCCATGGAGATTATATAAACCCACCCCCTAATTATGGTTCACTGACTTTGAAACTTTACATAGTTTACAAGTTAATGTTTGTGTTTAGGTTTGTTTAAAGGGAACAACTTATGAAAAGTCAATGGTATTTGGTTTGCAGTTGTATTAGCATTGGCACATCTCATTTCCATGGAGATTGTTTAGCCCTGTACCTTCAGTCATGGTTCATTGACTTTGAATATTTGTATAACTTACATGTTACAGTATTGCTATTTTAATTTCAACATTTGCATTATCAAAATAACAAATAGGCGAGACATATCTCTGTGTTAACAGTTTATTTATATTTCTGTGTTACATTTTAGAATGTCAGATTACAGCAGACCTCAACCTGTAGATGACCTTTTTATGACCCCGCAACTGAAAGTTGGGGGGCATGTTGTTTTACCCCCGTCCGTCCGTCCCATTATGGGTATATAGTTATTCCAGATAACTCCTCCTACAGTTTGAATGCTAGGAAGTTTTCACTTTGCTGGCTGTTTGTACATACATTGAAGGTGTGCATGTGGTCAGGGTTTTGATTTTTATTAATATTTGATCTTTTGGGAGATAGTTGAACTTTGTCATTTTTTGGAGTATTTACTTGCATAAGATGTGCATAATGTTTCCGGATAACTCCTCCTACAGTGAACCATAGACCTATGTGCTCCCATGCTCAACTTTGTGTATTTCAAAATATCTTTTTGCATCTGTGGGGGCATCATTTGTGTCTCCCAGACACAATAATATCTCAAAGTAAAGTCCTACATTGACTTTGTTATAATACAGTTACTTCAGAGTGGAGTGCGGGGGCATCACTTTGTCTAGTTTTATATTACTGTGTTCCATTTTTCAACATTTCTGAATATGGCATGATTCCCTAGATTTGTTGTGTGTGACGAAAACACAAAGAGATCTCTATGATAAAGATTTTCTATATATTTTGATTTTAGTAAAAAGAAGGACAAAAAAAAACACAAGGTGAAATCACCAAGTAAGGTGAAACAAGTTACACCAAGTCCTGATAAAAAAGTCAAAAAGTAAGTATTGGTGAAATCACCAAGTAAGGTAAAGCAAGTTACACCAAGTCCTGAGAAAAAAAGTCAAAAAGTAAGTAATGGTGAATCACCAAGTAAGGTGAAGCAAGTTACACCCAAGTCCTGTGAAAAAAGTCAAAAAGTAAGTAATGGTGAATCACAAAGTAAGGTGAAGCAAGTTACACCAAGTCCTGAGAAAAAAGTCAAAAAGTAAGTAATGGTGAATCACCAAGTAAGGTGAAACAAGTTACACCAAGTCCTGAGAAAAAAGTTAAAAAGTAAGTATTGGTGAAATCACCAAGTAAGGTGAAGCAAGTTACACCAAGTCCTGACAAAAAAGTCAAAAAGTAAGTATTGGTGAAATCACCAAGTAAGGTGAAGCAAGTTACACCAAGTCCTGAGAAAAAGTCATAAAGGGAGAAGATAACAAAGGAGAAATCACCATAAGGCAAAGAAACACATACAACTCTATGGTAAAAAATCAATTATTAAATCATAAACATGTCCACAAAACCCTTCACAAAAAAGTACAGTGCAACATGAATACCACCAAAAATCAGGCTGACCTCAGGTGCTTCAAAAAAATATGTATTTTGTCAATTTACATCTAGAAATTGACAGATTCATAGGGTTGGTTGAGTACTAAATGTTAGTACATTAAAGATGATTCACTCTATCCATTGTAAACTGAAAATAAGTACATGTACTGCTTTTTAAAAATATTCCTATTGATGGTGAAGTCTATGTGAGCTATATTAACAATAACTCTTTGTGTCTATTTGTATCATTGTTAGGTATGTTTAGATCTTCTATGCAAACAATGAAATAAGGATCCAGGTATTGCTGAATGTTTTTTTGGTATAATTTAAATTTTAAAATTCAGATTATTCAATAACAGAATCAATAAAATGCGAACTTTACCAGATTAATGTATGCAGTTACAACTATTTTAACAAAATTATCTGGAGAAATATTGTATTGCAAGAGATTTGGTGGTAGATTCTTTTTCTTTTATGATTTTTAGATGATATGTAGACAATCTTAATCCTTCTTTTCCAATAATCTGCAAAAAGATGTGTTCTTTCTATGTAATGTCATCAGGCATGGTTGCCTTTTTTCGGGATATCGCAATAGGAAATTCCGAGGAAAGCAAGAATAATAGACGTCATAATTGAATTTTGACCAATGAAGAACTGATATCAAACAAACCACACGTTGATTATATAGAAATAATCAACAGGTCGGGAAAATGACAAATCGGCTAATAATTCTAGAAAATTATTTCTTGGTTTTTGCTTTGCAAATTTCAACACCTATTTGTTAAGTTATTGATATTTTAAAATTATTTTTGAAGGTTTGAACAAGAAATTGAAAAAGAAGTAGCACAGAAGAAGAAACACAAAAAGAAAAAGGCACTTGAAAAGAAAATGGCAGAGATGTCAGAGGAAGAAGCAAAACCTAAAAAATCTAAACTGAAAGGCATGAAATCAAAAGCTGCTGAGCAGAAACCACGTTTAAGTTTTCAATCAGAAGAGGAAGAAGATACAATAATAGTTAAAAAAAGACAAAGAACCCCTAGTGAGTCACCTTCAAGGTCACATTCTAGGTCAAGGTCATGGTCACAAGATATGTCACGACAACATTCTCCTGATGAAAGATATGAAAGGTCACAATCACCTGTACATAGAAAATTTAAAAAAGGAATCAAAGACATTGATGAGTTGAGACAAAGTCTTTCACCTGAATCTCATCCTCAAGATCATAGAGGGAGGTCTTCCTCTTTTGAAAGTCCTGAAGGACAGATGGGAAGGAAGAAGGGAAAGAGAGATACAAAAAAAAGCAAACACAAACATGAACCACAGTATCAATCTGGATCTGATGAGTCAGATTACAGTAGGGAGAGAGTCAAAGGTGACAAGGGTAAAAAACATAAAAAAGGGCGAGAATGGAGCCCTGAGAGTCGGGAAACACTCTCAAGAGACCAAAGAAAATCATCACCTGGTGATTACAGTGACTACAAGTCAAAGAAAGAACGCGACAAACACAGCCCTGGATTTAGGGATCGTAGGAGATCTGCATCGCCTGTAAGTCGCCATAGTCATGTGGACTCCAGACGCGACATGTCTCCTGGTTCCCAAAGGTCTGGTTCCATGTATCACAGAGAGAGAAGGATAACACCTCCTCCAGATAGACGTGAAATTGAGGAAAAGTACGATAGAAGAGACAGAGTAAAAGATGATCCAAGACGTGGTGGACGATTTACTTCACCTGATGATAGAAGATACAGAAATGCTGATAGACCTGATTTAGATCGTGGAGCAGACAGGTGAGTCATAACAATGCTGATAGACATAATTTAGATCATAGATCAGAGGTGAGCCATTGCAATAGACCTGGTTTAGGTCATGGATCAGAGGTGAGCCATTGCAATAGACCTGGTTTAGGTTATGGATCAGACAAGTGAGTTATTGTAATGCTGATTGACCTGATTTAGACCATAGATCAGAGGTGAGCCATTGCAATTGACCTGGTTTAGATGATAGATCAGAGGTGAGCCATTGCAATAGACCTGATAGACCTGGTTCAGGTGAAGGAATAGACGGTGAGTCATTGTAATGCTGATAGACTTGATTTATGTCATGGAATAGACAGGTGAGTCATTGTAATGCTGATAGACTTGATTTATGTCATGGAATAGACAGGTGAGTCATTGCAATGTTGATAGACCTGGTTCAGGTCATGGAATAGACAGTGAGTCATTGTAATGCTGATAGACTTGAATTAGATCAAGAATCAGACAGGTGACTCATTTTAAACTTTCAGAAGGTAAATTTATATAGAACAGTTTTAAAGTTAGATAAAAAGTGGTATAAATGTTACTTTATGATCACTATTCTATGTCAGAGCTTATAATGAATTCACCAACAATGGATTAAATGGAATATTGAAATAGTGAAGTTACAGGTTTGGACAGATCGAGAATCATTACTTTGTCATCAGCTTGGAAAGAGATAAATCCACCTTCTCTACTATGTCCCTTCGGAAAAAATATAGTTCCTATGACAAAAAATGTTTCTTCATAACTTATGTTCATTAATGATTACAGTACATGTATATACACACGTATCTAAAGTTTATTTGCTTATTTGAACTAGGAAAGACAGAATTTAAATAGGCTATTTGCAGATTATTTTTGTAATGTGGGTAAATGACAAAAACATTCATGCAGTCTTTGTGCTGTGCAGTTTATTTGAATCAGAAAAGAATCATACCTTAAGAAACAGAAAAAAATCCATGCCATCAGTACACTGAAAACTACTCTTTATATTGGGGACGTTGGGTATGGGAGCTTGCTCACTAAGGATTCTTTAATGTAGATATAAATACTTCTAACATTTATTGTCTAGGTATGAAGACAGAAGAGAAGTACATGATGACAGATTTCCACCCAGAGTAGAACCACCAAGAACTAGGTTTGAAGAAAGGTATTTTGAACAGAGTGGTAGAACTGAAAGCTTTGACAGAGACAGGGATCGTTTTGAGAGGGATAGATATAATTCGAGGATAGATTCTAGAGGGCATCCACCAAGGGCAGATCATAGAGATCGTGGGGATCCAAGGTTAGATCCCAGAGTAGAACCCAGATATCCTGAGGGTATGTTTATAGAATAGTTGAAATAAAGGAAAATCACAATACTGCTTTGTTATACATATTTGAATTGATGTAGAAGATTTCAATCATTTTTCAAACACAATTTTCCATTCTGAGGCTGTACATTGTTGTCTTTGTTGAAAGAAATGACCCTATAAAGACTTGTTTAGAAATGATTCTTTTGTTGATCTATTCATGTAGATCTCTAGATGTATTTTTAGTATTTGTGTTGTTTGGTTGCTGTCTTATTGACATATAATTTCCGACATAAGAACAAAGAAAAAAGATGTTATCACACAAGTGCAAGTTGTTGGGTCAAAAGCATTTTTTCATTCAATTGTTAAATTAAAATAAATTTTAGTTTTTCATCAAGATTACACTTTCAATTACATAGAATTATAAGGAATGTTTTTGTAATAATGAGTATAGAAATAAATCTATTATGTTTTTGACTGTAGCTGCTGTATATGATGACCGTGGTCCCCCACCCCCTGAGTACAGAGACCCTGCTTGGGACAGATGGAACGCTCCAGGTTGGTATCAGAGTTCAAGGCAAAATAGTATGTGTGTTTAGTTTTTCTAAGCAAAGAACATGAAAGTAGATAGGTCAGGGTTTTTTTTCAGTCAGAAGTAAAAATATAGTTTCTCCACAGAATCTGTTTCCAGTATTATACATATCAATTTATTTGGAGTCAGTCATTTGTACTCTATCAATAAACAACTGATGATCATCATCATGGTTTTGATCCATTCTGTAGAATATATAACATCAATATTTTGTAAGATAAGTCGGCGATTACAACAGATATAATGATGAAAAGTTCATGTTGAAATCCTCATAAAGCTTTAGGGTCAGAGATCAAACTTGGGGATGTTTTTGAAACCCTAAACACAATTATAAATAATGTTTTGCTCCTGTCACAATCAATCAGATAACTAAAAAAGACAAAAATGAAGACAAATAGTACTTCATCATAAGGCTGCATAAAAGTACATGTAGTTGTGTATTGATTATGGAGCTACACATTTTTTCTGACTTTTTTTATGAAGCCCTTGTCAATTTGATGTGGAATACAAATGAATCAAAAAATGTTTACTTTTCAGGTCATCCTCCTCCTCCTGTAGAACCTTACAATAGGGGAGGCTACAACAAAGGGGATCGATATAGAGGTGCACATAGAGGTTTGTTTATAGCTTATATAGAAGTAAGATGTGGTACGATTGCCAATGAGGCAGCTCTCCATCATAGACCAAATGACATAGAAGGTTAGAAACTAGGTCACCTTACGGCTTTCAATAATGAGCAAAACCTATACAGCATAGCAACAACAACAACAATACTTTATTTTAAGAGGGTTACACAGTTAGATATATAACTAATCTTCCCTGAGGCCCTCATCATAAAAAAAAAAAAAAAAAAATCATAAACAAAATGCAAACATATACATTGCATACATTAGTATAAAAAGTCAAGTATGATAATAATGTTCAATACAACTTGATAAAATGTTAAGAAAAAATAAACATGATGACATAATCAGTTTTCAATATTTTTTCAACAGGTTGATTTCAATAAATGATCTGTTAGCAAGCTTTTGAAAAACCCGAAATGATAAATGTAAAAAAATTCAAACAAGAAAATTAACAGCCTGATTTATGTACAAACCAATATACATAACCATATATGAAAAACAAATATGATATACAGCAACAAACAACAACCACTGAATGACAGCTCCTGACTTGGGACAGGCACATACAGAATGTGGTGGGATTAAATATGTTAACAGGCGTGCTAACCATCTGCTAAGATATAGGACAAATGTATGCAAATTGTTTGACATTCTATCCTTTTCAAAATGGTTAGAGAGTCAATCTTAATAAGTATTAGAGGAAATACTACACTGCAACTAATTTCTGTTAATATTCATCCTTTAAGCAACCATTATCAATATTGATAGGGGTACAGAACACCTAAGGTAGTTAACTCTTTAAATCAGCTGAACGTTTTAATCACACACTATAGTAAAGAGAAATCAAGCTTCTCAATGATCAGAATTAGTGTTTGTCAAACTGCTATATATCCAATGAAATTATTCCTGTAAATTGTGTGGTTCAAATATCTTGAAATTTTAATGTTTTTTTTCAACAGGTCAAAGTAAATATTTTGTCAAAATTTTATAAAGATTAAAAGAGCCAAATCTATTTTAGTAAAAGTGTTGGGTACCCCTTTATGCCATCATTGTTAATTTTAATTTTCATCCTTTATGTAACCATTGTCAGTATTATCATCAATTTAGATATTTGACAAGAATTTGTTTTTCGAAACTTGAAAATCATTATTCCATTGTTTATTATCTTTAATAACTGAGCGGTATGCTTTTTTCTTTCTATCCCCTACCCAATGTACATTAGGGGATATGAACATGCCGGTGTCTGTCTGTCTGTCCTTCCATCTGACTTGGTGTCATGCCTTCATTTTATCATTAGAGTTAAATCAAATTTATGTCAAAAGTTTTCATCAGCAATATGGCAAAGTACTTTAATAATTAGCATCATCTCAAATGAGTTTAAAAGAAAGCACTATTAATAATCATTTAGGGATATTTATGTCTCATGGAAAATTAATTAAGATGAAAAAGTCAACATTTTAGTACTCTTGCACCAACATAACCATTGAGGTTAAATGAAAGGAGAAGGCATGATAACATGATAAGGCCACTTGTATGGGCATTGATACTCTATCAAATACCACCCAACAGATGTTAACATTAGTATGACAGATATCAGTATTAATATTTTTAGATTGTGTTTTAGAGATTTGCTTCCAACTTCTTGCACTTCATGCAGATCTGAAAAATCTGCCCAAATAGCCTCATTTTTGGACAGGGGTTTGCTGTTTTACCTCTGTCTGTCCATCCTATGAAATTCTTTGTGAACATGCTATATGGTGTAATGCTGTTTCAGTTTCTTTATTAGTCCCCTACTGACAAAGATGAAGGGGACTTTAGGTTTGCTCTCCGTCCGTCTGTCTGTCTGTCTGTCCATCCGTCAGTCCGGCAAATCAGTTTTCCACACTTTTTTTCTTCGTGCTTGAAGACATTGATTTGATATTTGGTATATTGTTTTATCATGACAAGTTACAGATCAAGTTCGAATTTTGTTCCGGTCTGATGATTTTGTGCAGAGTTATTGTCCTTGGACTTTGAAAATTCACTCAAATATTCAGTTTTCCACACTCTTTTTCGTCATGCATGAAGATATTAACTTAATAATTGGTACATTGTTTTATCATGACAAGTTACAAATCAAATTGGAAGTTTGTTCCGGTCTGATGATTTTGTGCAGAATTCTGGTCCTTGGATTTAGAAAATTCACTTAAATATTCAGTTTTCCAGACTTTTTTTGTCATGCTTGAAGATATTGATTTGATAATTGGTATATAGTTTTATCATGACAAGTTACAGACCAATTTCGAATTTTGTTCCGGTCTGATGATTTTGTGAAGAGTTATGGTCCTTGGACTTAGAAAATTCACTTAAATAATCAGTTTTCCACACTTTTTTTTGTCATTCTTGAAGATATTGACTTGATATTTGTTATATATATAGATTACAAGTCCATGAAAAGTTATAGATCAAGATAGCATTTTGTTCCAGTACAATTATTTTTTAACCAGTAGGGGACTATGTATTGCCATTCAATACTCTCATAATAGAATGCTTGTTTCTTTCCTATGGTGCTATCATTTTCAGTAAAAATTGTATATTGGAAAATTCTTACCTGAGAAATATTAAATGCATGATTAAATTTCTTCTGCATGTTGATTTTAAGAATTACCTTTTAAAGGTTACCTGTGTAGATTGGATTAAATAGATTAATTATGACTTGTAACTGGATTCTTTTAAGTTTTAATTGATATACAGTCCATAGATTTACCCCCAAAACACAAAAAAGAAGTCCAAATAGGTTAAGAAATACCATCAAACAAATCCTTTTAAATGAATATTGTGGGGTTACAGAGTGATGCTCTTCTTTTCTTTGCTTCTTAGCTCAATTAATTCAAATTTGATAGCTATGCTTATTATGCTAAAATACTGAAATAATTTTCAAAGTTTATACTGAATGATCATTGGTTCATTAGATGTTTGTTTTGAAGGTGGAAGATTTGATGTACCTCCACCATTACCTCCTCCAGAGAGACCAAGTAGACGGGGTGAGTGGGAAAGAGGAGGAGAAGAATTTTATGTGCCTGATAGACCTGACTGGGGAGACAGACGTGAGGGCCACAGAGACTTCTCACGAGAGGTTGACAGAAGGAACAACAGACCAGATGATAGAAGTGTTGATAGGTAGCCGTCACATATTTTACTTCCTTGTTAGATATGCTTTGGCTTGATTCTATATTTAACCATCAGTTTCTACTAATAGTTACGTTGTTTTCAACTCAATAAAATCTTTTAAGTTTAATTAAATTAATTAACTTTTAACTCTTTTAAGTACAATGGAGTTAGTGTCTGCAAAGATGAATGACAACTGTATTCATATTGTTTGATATTCTATCATAACTTGTAATGATCAGCAATAACAATTCTTTGGCATAAAAGATGTTTTGTAATGTTTAATTGACATGGTACTGATTTGTGTTCAGTGTTTGATAAAACTTAGAGCTCACTAAATTCAGGTTTACCTGTTTAGATTTGCCTACACAAATATTTGGCAGTTGTTATTAGATCCATATTTTTTTTGACATACACAATCATTTTCATTTTTAAAGGAAGGAGATTTAAAAATGATCTTCCAATCCTATAACCAAGCCTTAATATCAGATATTTGTGAACTGGCACATCAGTATTAGTATAAATTTGGTGTTTTGTCCTGATAGAATTATCTTCAAAATGTCAAAATGAAAATGTATGATTTTTATAAATGCCACATTCAAACAAAGATTATACCTGTATTTACATTAATATGTTTTAATATTGTAATTATCAAATAAGTTATATCTTCTTTTAAAGGACAACTCCATCTAAAAATCATGCAAAAGGTGATTTATTGAAGGAAAGCCTACAAATAATGATTTTTTATTTTTTGTTCAGAGTGAAAAGTTATATTAATAGATGCCTATAATTTCTACTTTAACATGTACTTAAAAAAAAATACATTATATATAGAATGCACTATAATTCTTTGTATTATGGAGATAACTGCATGATCTAAAATTAATTTCATTGTAACCTAGAATTAAATGTTCTGCCATAAACAGACATTATGAGATATAACCATTTCTGATTTCATGATGTGTACGAAATACTTCGTCAAATAACAAAATTGAAAATTATATAGGATTTGTCAAGAGAATTACTTTTTTTTTAAATTGCATGATTGTATTCCAACAGGACTGATACTTTAATGATTTTACCCTAATATTAACAAGACTTGATGTGTATCTGTTTTCACTGTAATTGCATGAGGATTATATGTAGAACATATATCTATCAGTTGAAAAATATTTGACGAAAGAATATCAACCAAAGAATATTTGTAGGAAATAGTCAGTTTGTTTTCTGTTTATTATTGACAGCTATGGCTGGTGGTAAGCAAGATATTATGTATATTCCCCCAAATCAAATCATTCTGTTGAATGTCAAAAATTCTCCTTCTATGGAATGTTTAGTAATCGGTAGGTTACAGCATATATATTTGAGTGTGTACAGAAAAAACACAGTGAAATCCTTTTTATTTTGCTACTTAAACCATGAAATCAATATTATCTTTGCATACTATTTTTGAAAGAGAAACAGTTGTTTTAATAATAGCCATTCAAGTAATTGAACAGATTACACATGGTAAACTAAAACACTTGTATGGCCAGTTTGTGTCTATGATTAGCCTAAAATAGAATTTATGTGTTTCCTGAAAAAGGAACACTTAAGTACACACTCAAATAGATAAGCTGTAAAAGCTGGCTCTTCATTGCTTTCAATTGAGCATGTAGTAAAACATGGATGTGATATGGTATGATATATATGGTGTGGTCACCCTTCATTGCATGCTCCATCAATCTTTGTTATATGTCTATACATACTTAACAAACATAAGTCATTCAAATGCTTCGGTTTTGGCGATCTTAAATGAAACTATCAAAAATGTTCAGTCATGATTTGTTTATTTTTTTTCAAAGGAAAGGAGCCGCTTTTATTTTGCTAGTATGTGATAAAATAAAAGGATTTTGTTGTATACATGACATATGTCACAAAGTGCTCATTTAAAATTTAAAGAAATTTCACTAACTTTTTTTAACAATGAATTTTTAGGCATACTGTTTTGATAGGAATTAACTTTTGGTGCAACAGAGCAACTGCTAGCTGACATTAAACTACCAACAATCAATCATTCAATCAAAAAGCAGAACTATAAATTTTTAATTAATGATTCATTCTGTACAAAGATCATAAATGTTTGTTGTAGGTATGATCGATCAGACAGAAGAAATGACAACCGTGATCGATCAAGAGATCAAAGAGATAGGTTTGCTGATATTCACAGACCTGATCCAAGGGAGGGAAGTATGGACAAACCTGATCGTAGAGAGTCAGAGTCTTTTAAAAGGCGTGAATTTTCTGCTGATCGTGGGAGGGATTTAGACAAAGAAGGTCCAAGGAAAGACAGGAAAATATCTGAACCTAGAGATTTTGATCGCCAAGATAAAAAAGAATCTATAGAAAGAGAAAAAGAAAAGAAAGAAATCACAGAAAAGGTTATAGATATCAAAGAAAAAGAAAAAGTTGAAAAAGTGAAGGAAACAGAGGACAAAGATGGTAAAAAGGAAAAAGAAAAAGGGGATTTAAAGAAAAATGAAAAGGAGAAGAAAAAGAGAACAAAAGCTGAAAAGAAAGCAAGAAAAGAAGAAAAATTGAAGGCAAAACAAAAGAAACTTGAGGATAAGCTAGCCAAAGAAAAAATAAAATCGGAAATTAAAAAGGAACCAATTATTAAAGAAGAAGAAATTAAAAAAGAACCAGAAGAGCCAGTAGGAAATGAAGAGAAAAAAGAAACCAGGTAAAAATTTATATTAAAGAAATTTGCCTTTTAGCCAGTTGGATGGAGTTCAAAACCAGCTTATTGTATGGTGATGTTGGGTGGGCAGGAAAATGGGTACATATTTTGTGTAATCAACTTCTCCTTCTGATGACTAAATAATTCTTTATACTTAAAAAAAATAAACTAGCTGTTAAAAGTACAACAATAATTTTACATATAATTTTAATTGAATGTTAATTATATTCTTTTAATTTTTATCCATTTTTATCAAATTTGTAGAATTCGATGTTGAATCTATATTTTTATAAATCTTTGGTAACAAATTTGCCATTTATGAGAGACAATTTATTTATTATATATATTATTGAAATAGAATTATGTTGTAAAACTATCTGTTATAGATTTTATTTTAATTTTAGGAAAAGAATCTTAAGTGAAGATAGGAGTAAATCATTATCTCCGTCGCCCACGTCTAAACGAGCCAGAGATTCTTCTCCTGCTGTATCAGTAAAAAGCAGACATAGCGTAGGTACTATTGAAAGGGTAAAGGTCAAAGAGGAACCAGAGGTTAATAATGAAAAGTCAAAATCAAGGAGTATGGAATTAGAGAAAGATAATATGAGTGAAAAGTCACATGGTTCTGAAAGGAGACCAGAAAGGAAACAGAAGGAAACTAGTGTATGTATTACTTAGTGTTAAATGGTTGATCAACAAGGCCATTCAATAATGACATTGAATGTTTTGTTTGGTAGATCACTTGACATAAAGGGCCAGTGTGAGCTATTTCCCTCATTTAGCATAGGTCATCTGTTTTCTTTTAACTTTTCACATATTCATCTAGTCCTATTCACATACATGGCAAATTCGAACCAAAAATCCTTATTTTGTGATGATTGTTGGACAAAGCACATGGCCACCAACTGCAAATTTCAATGGATCAAATGTTCTTTAAACTTGAGATGAATGATGATACTGAGACCTTCTATGAAAAATTATGTTTCATTGTGCACAAAAAATTAAAATAAAATGGACTTAGCTTTTATTTTTGAATGATTATTTATCACCCTGTTGACATTTGTCCCTTTTATACATTTAAATAATTTAATAAAAAATTATCAAATGTGTAAAACTGATGTAGTTATCAAGTCAATGACTTCTGTATGTTTGTTTTAAAACATGCTTCAGAAATTTTGTTTAAGTTCTTGTATGTTTCATATTGTTTTTTTGTTTTAGTTTCTTCTTGTAGGTTTCATATTGTTTTTTGTTTGTTTTTTGAGATAGATTAATTCACTTTCTCATGAGATTATCCTCTTTCCCATTTTGTTCAATTATCATTCCTCAAGCTGAATGTGTAGTTGAAGTTTTAAAGTATTTCAACTTTATTTTTTTAGCCTGTCCCACATGTTCCAGTAGAAGAGGTAAAAGAGCAAAAGAAGAAGAAAAGATCAAGATCAACTTCAGGAGAGGAGGAATTCAAGAGGAGGAGGACTGAGGAGAGAGATAGGGGTAAGGATAATTACCAATGAATACATGGATTTTATTGGAATTTGAACTAATTTTTTATGTTCTCTATCTGTGCACATGTCTGTATTAATAATGTTGGACCTATTCTGTCTTTTTTATATTATAATGGAGGCGTGAGCCTGTCTGTGTATTTTCAGCATTTTCTTTTTAATACAGAAGCTTCTTTATTTTTTACTGTCACTATTGTAAAGTTCTTGATCCAATATTTATTATACATTCCGTCAACCAATCAATAGTTTTCTGCTAGACTTTGCAAAAATTATTGGAATTGTTAGTCCTGACCACAAAAATGTCATCAGGTAGGCATTTTTAGGCAGTTAAGCTGCCTTATGCGAGCACCCTAGATTTGTGTTCTATCCAATAAATGCTGAAATACGTGCCATTGTTATTATCTAGCTGGATATAATGTTATTTATAACTAATTGAATAGTTTTTTCATACTTTTAATTCTGGATTACAAAAATATGACCAGAAAAAACCTTAAATGATCGTCGAACCACCCAAAAGTTTTGAAGTTGCACATAGGAAGTAGAGCACATTAGGAATCCTTATGTAGTTTATTATCCCCTGTGCTTTTGGCAAAGATGTCAAAGAACAATTGTATGAAATATTTAATCGCCGAAAATCTTTAAAGACAAGTAGTTTAGATTTCCCAAATGGCAAAAGTCGTAGGAATATTGTTTGTCGTCAATACGTGTTACAACTACGTCAGTAGTCTATTAATAAGTTCCACTGTTCATGCTGTTGGCGGCAATTTCAAATTAGAAGACGAAATTTTCGTATCTTTTCAATTTGGAGGCAGGGGTTCAAATTAGCGGTGGTCCGAGGTCCGCGACCTTCCACTTTTGCAATCGGACTCTCGACTTGGTTACTAGCTACGCCCGACGGACCTTTCACTTGAAAGAAAATTAAAAATAACTTTGCAAACCTTTTTACCAAAGTCTCTAAATAAACGATCTCAAAACGTATTTTCATCTTTAATATTCATGACAGCGATGTTCATTTTGTTCAACCGCTAGCTTTATGCAGATAATCGCCTACAAGTAATGTGTAAATTCGAGTAAAATAGTATCTGACTGACAAAAACAACATTGAAAAACAATGGATGCCGTGTAGACAATTACAATATCGGGTCCGATTCCGGAAGCGGATAAGGGTAATTCCGGGTTTTGGAGATCAACTACAAATAAAATTTCAGGCAGGTGACAAAATACATCTATGCATGGTAAATAAATATAAACACTAGAAATGGAAACCAAAAGATATATGTAAAAGAAAGAAAAAGCAAAAAATATTTGATACAGAAACTCAAAATTACTTTTTGACAAATTTTAATGTCAAAATCCAATACAATGTGACAGCTGGGAACAGTATATCTAACAATATATATGTTCCTGGTGACAGTATAAATCTTCTTTATCAGTGATAAATGTTGATAATGCATGTAAGATGCTTTTAAAGTATAAACATATTACTGCAATTTTTTTCTCAATTTTGAAGGGTCAGTTAACATACAAAATGTAGCTGGAAGTTTCTTACTTTGTTTTCGCAAATAGTGCAACTAGATTATATGATACCTGAATGTAAGCAATTCATATGATATATAGGTGGAATCCTTTGGGTCACTCTACCCCCTCCTGTTTGATAACTTTGAAACGGATGAGATCCCCACCCCTAAACCATATATATTCATGTATGGGACTATATAACTAATCAAATGAAATATAGGGGGAAGTCCCTAGGGTTACTCCACCCCTCCTGTTTGAGAACTTGGAAACAGTCGAGATCCCCACCCCTAAACCATATATATTCATGTATGGGACAATATAACTAATCAAATGAAATACAGGGGAGTCCCTGGGGTCACCCCAACCCTCCTGTTTTGGAACTTTGAAATGGTCGAGATCCCCACCCCATAACCAAATATATTCATGTATGGGACAATATAATAAATCAAATGAAATATAGAGGGAGTCCCTGCGGTCACCCCACCCCTCCTGTTTGAGAATTTGGAAACGGTCAAGATCCCAAGACAAGACAAGACAAGACAATTTATTTAAACTTAAGCACACGTATGGTGCTACAAGAGGATAACAATTATACATTAACAATTACATATATACTTATACATTTACAAGCAAGACACACAACAAATAAATAAGTGATATCATACAATAAAATTGAAATAAACCATAGTTGGTTGATTTGTTTGCAAAATTCTTAATTGCAACGTGGATATGAAGTTATTGTAACATGCTTTGTATTATGAAAATATTTTTTCAATATGTCTTAGAAACATGCACACTTTTGTTAGCAGTGGCACGTTACAGTGTGATAATAGACCAGTAAGTTTCAATTGGGAAGGATTTTGTGTGTAATATGTAGGTATATATCTTTCTCTTAAAGACATAATTTGTTCATTGGAGCATACAAAAAAATAATGATCCCATAAACCATACATATTCATGTATGTGACAATATAACAAATGAAATGAAATATAGGGGGAGTCCTTGGGGGTCACCCCACCCCTCCTGTTTGAGAACTTGGAAACGGTCGAGATCCACCCCTTAACCATATATATTGATGTATGGGACAATATAACAAATCATATGAAATATAGGTTGAGTGCTTGGGGCCACTCTACCCCTTCCTGTTTGAGAATTTGAAAACGGTCGAGATCCCCACCCTAAACCATATATATTCATGTATGGGACAATATAACAAATCAAATGAAATATAGGGGCAGCTCCTATGGTCACTGTAAACCATCCTGTTTGAGAACTTGGAAACGGTCGAGATCCTCACCCCGAAACAATATATACTCATGTATGGGACTATATAACAAATCAAATGAAATATAGGGGAGTCCCTGCAGTCACCCGACCCCTCCTGTTTGAGAACTTGGAAACAGTCGAGATCCCGACCTCTTAATTAAACCATATATATTCATGTATGGGACAGCAGAACTTATCAAATGAAATATAGGGAGAGTCCTAAGGTTCACCCTACCCCCTCCTGTTTGATAACTTGGAAACAGATGAGATCCCCACCCCTAAACCATATATACTCATGTATTTGGCAATATAACAAATCAAATGAAAAATAGGGGAAGTCACTGGGGTCACCCCACCCCCTCCTGTTTGAAAACTTGATAACGGACGAGATCCCCACCCCTAAACCATATATATATTCATGTATGGGACAACATAAAAAATCAAATGAAACATAGGGTTAGTCTCTAAGGTCACCCCATCCCCTCTTGTGTGTGTTTTAAGAACTTGTAAAAGTTTGAGATACCAACTCCTAAACCATATTCATTCCTGTTCGTCATTTCAAACAGATTTGAATGACATACAAGGTCAATCTCATAGGCATCACATATGCATATCACTTTACTAGACCTAATCAATGTGTACTAGACTTTGCCCAATGTCAGGCGACCATGGGAATGAATAATTATGGCAGCTTTGTTTGGGAGACTTCGTAACAGCATTCTGTTACAATTATTTCTTGTTTATTATAAAATTTTATTGATGCAAAAAATGAGCAGGTTTAAAGAATTTACCTTAATTATATTTTGAATAATTTCTGGTTCTATAAAAAATTTCATTTTAATATGGCTCATTTTAAAGAAAACATATCTTTCAAGCCCAAGAGTGTTTGACCAACTTTATTATAATCACCTGTCATTTTATTCCAAACTTAGACATCATGGACTTGGGGTGAAGGCGGGGGTCATTTACATTTACTATGGGCAGGTCAGTCAGACCTCACCTTTGATCCCCGTAGTAGTAAACATTTGTCTGATTTGTGTCTCATAACTTTTGCACTGTAGAACACAAACTCAGTTTTCTTTCCAGGGAAGCAAGTCCATGCATACTATTACAAGCTCGTACTAAGTCAACTTGAACTACTAACAGTCAACTAATACCAACGTTAACTATCAACTAGAACAACTGCAATCATTTCGAACTTGTACCACTGCAGACACATGACCATTAAAAATATACTTGATATATGCGTTGCTTTTGAAAACCTTGATAAAATATGAATTATTTGCCTTAATAATTAATTCATTAAATGAACATAAATGCACAATATATGAATGTTTAATGTTTGTTCTTTTAAATCTTAAAAAAAATGAAGCAACATAGCCACAGTTTTCATAATTATGTTTGCCTTGGTTTTTGGTTAACTGCCTACAGCGCTTACAGTGCTTTGATTTAATTTTGCACTGGTCCAATTTTGTGACTTTTACATACTGACTAAAAGAGTAGTAGTGGTTATATTGTTGCAACATTAGGTAGTTGATAAAATCATAAGACACTGGTTTCTAGTTTAACATGTAATATTCCTCATCTTTAATTTTGGAACCAGTTAAGGTAAATCCAATGGCACAGTACCCAGTTTGTTTGCCAATGGTTTAAGGCAAGGAAAATGACTCTGTATGATAAACAGGACTTATACGACATATTTATTTTTTTTATTAAATTTTCAGATTTTCAAGATTCCAAGCATAATATTTTTACAATTTTTCAAAAATGTAGGACAACCAAACTTTCTGTAAGACTAGCAAAGGTCTGCATTCTGTCTGTCCTATGTCTGTTTCATGAACTCGGTTTTCTGCACCAAAAATATTTGTATGTCATGTTTTTTACTGTTTAAGTTATTGTTTTACAGTAAGAAAGTTGAGAGGAAGTGTTGATGAAGAAGGTGGAAGATATAGTAGTTTTTCAGATGATTCTGCAGATGTTATCCTTAAACAGGGAGAACCTCAGCAGGTTTGTTAACTTTAGTTTTAAGTCATTAACTTCCATCTGGTGGCCATTGATGTTTTTTATTAGTTGTTAGACATCAATAACTTTTGAAAAAATGTTGTTCAATGTTACTTATTGTCTATGTTTTAACTAAAATGTTGAGTTTAATGATTTGTTATGAATTTTTTTTTCTAAATCAGAGGTTTCAGCCAGACTGCTGATCCTTTCGTATTAAATAGGTTACTATTTGAACAGGGTATTCATAAACTATATACATATTCAAATACACCTCATCTATATTATCTACCAATATGTCGGAAATAAATGTAGGATGACTAAATTTCTTCAGTTTGTCATATCATGAATAAAAGAACTTTGGTAAAACATTATCATTGTTGTAAATTATAGACTGGATCTGCTATCCCTGAGCATGTTTATCGTGAGGGAGGTAGACGCAGAAGGAGTAGGAGCCGTAGTAGTTATGGTAGCAAACACAGTCACCATGACAGCAAAGGCCGTAGGTCAGATGGCAGCAGGTACAGAGATAGAAGGTCGAGGTCAAGAAGTCCACAGAGAAGTGGAGAGAGGGAAAGAAGAAGTAGAGGGGATAGTGACAGAGACAGGGAACGTGACAGAGGAAGAGAAAGGGATAGAGAGAAAGAACAAACCAGGTAATTTTATTATGTAATATATTTCTATCATCATGTTTATGCTACAATAAGTTTTTGAGTTCACTGACTTATGTAAAGAAAGTTTTTTAAGAATAGAGCTCAGCAAAATGATAATTCATGAAAACATTTAAAGAAACAAAAGGGAGATAACTATAGCCACAACAAACTATAATTATAATGATGATGATTTTAACGTGCAGGGTAACAGTCCGCAGTAAGACATGTCACCTTACCCAGAAACATTATTCTGATTCTGAGCAGACCAGTCCTTGCTCTTACTCCTTAAGGTGTAATACCACCATTGATTTTCCCCTATTAGTCTTTGTTAAATTTGCACTTTTCAAAAAATTGTGCAGAATTTATCTTTGTTTCAAATAAAGAAATACTTGGCATGAGTAAAGTTTTATCCTGTCCAGTACTATAGAAAAAATTTCACATAACATTTCATTGCATATAAGAAAATAACCATCACTGGAAGTTAACCAATCAAATTTTCCCCCCTTTTTAACCAGTGTACAAGCTTTAGTAACCATGTAACCTCAAGTTTCCAAAATATTCTATAGAAACCCCAAATAAAGAAATAATGGTGCTTTGAAATACCCAAGATATATGTTTATGACTCAGAAATGTTTTACTGCAATGAAATGTAGGATCAATTACCTACAACTGTCAAATTCAAGGGAATATTTTTTTTCGACCTATTTTCGTATGCAACCGGATGTGACGTACTATGATTTGGTGGTATTACACCTAAAGAAGACTTTTTTGTTGAATAAACTGAATGTGACTTTTTTCCTTTGTAATACTGGTTATTTCAAGCATTCCTGTCAAGTTTTGTCATAATCAGTTCAATAGTTTGAGAAAAATCTAGTATAATGTAAGACGACATCTACAGCGATTCGAGCAAAATTTCTTCGAAAAATTCAAACCAAGCCGCATCATGATAGAATATAGTGTGGACCAATAAATGATTAAATATTTATCTCATCTGCCTACAAACAGTTGAATATGATACAAAAGATGACTTTAGGATGATAAATACTACTAATGGACCTCTTATTCTTCCTTATAAAGTCTCTTTTGGTCCATTTATACCTCTCATTTCCTCAAAATTTCTACTTTTTAGGCCAATAAATAAAAATTTTGGGGTAACTTTCACTCATTTATGATAGAAATGTTATTATAAATGATTAATTGAAGTATTCAAGCTGCTTGAACTATCCGTATAAAAGTTTACTGTCTCCAAGGAGGTTTCAATAAGTCCTTGCGTAAAACTTAAATTTACGCCGCGTTCCAGAGAGGGACATAAAAAACTTCTCTTTTGGTGAATAATTTGTTGTTACTACTTTAAAAATAATTTCATTTACTTAAAACTATATATTTATTAAAGTATTTCTTAGGAAAAATTTCCTAGTATAGCAGAATATAAGAAATAAGGAGAAAAAGCTCCCCAAGACTCTAAGTATGGCTTGTTCTGTCATCTAATATTCATGGTAAAGTCCTATTTCAAGAAAATTTTCTCATAAAATGTATTTTAGAGACTCAATCCACTCAGAATATTTCATTATTTGTAATATTTCACTTAAATAGCAAGAAATTTTAACACATGAGAGTACTCACAAGGTCAAAGGTGCATGTACAGCTTCCCATATTAGGTGTAATACCACCATTGATTTTCCCCTATTAGTCTTTGTTAAATTTGCACTTTTCAAAAAATTGTGCAGAATTTATCTTTGTTTCAAATAAAGAAATACTTGGCATGAGTAAAGTTTTATCCTGTCCAGTACTATAGAAAAAATTTCACATAACATTTCATTGCATATAAGAAAATAACCATCACTGGAAGTTAACCAATCAAATTTTCCCCCCTTTTTAACCAGTGTACAAGCTTTAGTAACCATGTAACCTCAAGTTTCCAAAATATTCTATAGAAACCCCAAATAAAGAAATAATGGTGCTTTGAAATACCCAAGATATATGTTTATGACTCAGAAATGTTTTACTGCAATGAAATGTAGGATCAATTACCTACAACTGTCAAATTCAAGGGAATATTTTTTTTCGACCTATTTTCGTATGCAACCGGATGTGACGTACTATGATTTGGTGGTATTACACCTTAATGCTGCGTGCTTAGCAGAGAAGCAGCAAATACCAATTTTAAAGTCTTTGGTCAATTCCTAAAAAAGTTTTACTACATAGTGTGAACAAGTTTTTGTTTCCTGAGGAAGCAAATATCTTTCCCAACTTTTTATTTCTATGCATCTAACTTTAAGTTTCATATCATAATATTCAAATAATATAATAAATCTGATATTAGACTAAAAATGTGTAAGGTCTGTGTGTACATATGGTCTAGATGGACTGTGACCATATAAGTATATTCATGCACATTTATAAATTGGCAGTAGATAGTGATGTTTGTCCATCTGTTTGTTCGTCCTTCTGTCCCACTTTTGTATCCACAACTGCTCCTGAACACCTTGACAGAATTATGTGAAACTTTCACAGAATCTTAATCACATAACGTTATTTCTTATTTATTTCATCTGAATGATATTTGGGGTTTACTTTGGAATAAAATTGACTTGGTCATATCTGCACACTTTAGTACACATTTAGGGATACCCATTTTGTATCTGTAACTCCTCCTAAACACCTTATTTCAATATATTGCAATATTATCCATATAATGCAATTGTGCACCTATTTTGTTTTGTGTTCCTATTAATTTTTGGTGCTTCCATTACTATTTGGTATTAACTTTTTTTTTGTATCCACAACTATAACACCCTTTATCTTTCCTCCTATACATTCTAGGAATATCATTGGTTAAAAGTGACTGCGTGGAGACTGTGTATATTTCATATGGGGTTAGTAGGCGTGGCTTATGGAATTTACTGACCCCATATATATCGTATTAGGTCACTACCATACTATGTAACTAATATTATTACAATTTATTGAAACTTGTTCATGATCTTAACCATACAATGCTTTTGTGTACCTCTTATTTTGTTTTTGATCTCAATTATTTTTTAGGTTTTCCTTACCAAAGCATGGAATTTGCAAGGATGTAGGGTATTATTTTGTGAAATTTTCTCACAATACCTCTAGATTGAAATGTTCTTATATAGTTCACATATTCATATCAGAATTAATTGACATTTTATGTAAAATTCAATGTCCATTGTAGACCCAGGTCTGAATCTGACAGCAGAGGACCAAGAGAAGAATCTGACAGCAGAGGACCAAGAGAAGAACCAACCAGCAGTAAGATAGATGTCAAAACAGAAGAAATAAAATCTGAAGTTAAAGATGAATCTGGTGGAGGTAAGTCACAGACTTTGGAGGTAGGGGTGAAGGGGACAAAACAAACACAATTCAGAGAAAGAAAAACAAATCTGATCTTTTTAGTATGGTGTTGTTACTGATCAGAAATTTGTATTGACAAGAAGATTAATAATGAAAACAGTAAAAGCATTGGATTAGTACCTTATTGCCCCCATAATAGCACAAAAGGGTTTAATGGTAAATCTTTATTATGCTGGACATTGTTTAATATAATATTTAAGGGTCATATATTGTGTTAGAGCTATTTTATCTAAACATACACATTCCCCTATGAAGGCACTTTGAGAAGGAAAATGTATTTGAAGTTTAAAATTGCTTCTATGTCTGGCCAAACTTATTTTACGAGTCCCTTCCCTAGATGGAAAGATTGGTTTCTTAGTCCAAAATTGATGTCCCCTCTATAAATACACATGATTTGACAGAGGTTCAATTTGATAAGGAAAACAATACATTTTCTGGGTGGGCATCACACCCTGACCTTAAAATACACAATGAGTGAAGCTTACTTTTAAAAAACATTAGGTGAGACATAATCAACTTATGTTTTGTTATGCCTATGATGAGGGTAATAGGTTTACATGACCTGATTTCCATGGTTCATTGATCAACATTACGTCTTCATGATTAGGTCAGTTTCTTATAAACTTATCATAATTGATCATTGCTCATGTTAAGTTTCTTTTATACCTATAGTAAGACCTCTTTCTTAAAGGCTATCAACATAAAATTCAAACATAATCAGTAAAGCAGCCCATTTACTCTCTTGTTAGCATAAATTGCTTTGTTTTGTAATTTCAGAATCAGAAGACGACTTATCTTTAAGCTCAATTTCCAGTGATGAAGAATTTGAGGCAGATCATGAAAAGAAGCATAGTAAGTTAGAGTCATGATTAAGGGAATTTGGTGTTGGGGCTTTTGGCATCAGATTTGGCTTTACAATCGTGAATACCACTAGGGGTTAAAGCTATCTAAATGAATCAATTGTATGTGATAGTTTTGTCAATTACTTCCTTAGAATCAGTGGTTTAAAACATTTGCAATCCAGTTCCTTTATAAAGTAGTTTAAATGTATAAAAAGTGACACCTTACACACAAAAACTTGCAGGTTAAACCACTTAGCTTGTACATTTATACAGAGTCATCCTCGTAAAATATTTGATCCCTACTGTAGCCTAAACAAGCACATATCTACAGTACATGGCCAAAAGTATTTGTCACCTACATTTTTTTTCTTCTATATATTTCATATAAAAACACATTTTAAAAAAAAAATATTTTGAAGGCATTTCCGATAGGATTTTTACAAATGAAGTGTAGAAAGACGCAGAATTTTCTAAAAAATATTTGTTTATTTAGTCATGTACATACGTCCCAAAATTGGTTTCCGTTCTCTAACTTCAGTTTGCCTCAACCAAATGTTATGACACTTATACACAATGCTTATAACAACAAAATACAGATTAATATAAAAATAAGGAGATGTGGTATGATTGTCAATGAGACAACTATCAACCAAAGTTCAAATGAAGTGGATGTAAGCAATTATTGGCAACTGTACGGCCTAAGTTGGAATTTGGGCGGCATCACTTTTACAGTTCTCCAGTTATGCCCCTTTATAACATTGTATGCAAGCGGAGGCATCATTTGTGTCCCATGGACACATTTAGTGAAAAATCCCAAATGACAAATACTTATGGCCACACTCTATGTGTGGAATCTTAACCTAAATCTAGTAGCATAAACCTGAACATGGTCATTTAATGCAAAGTTGTCTATACCAATAGTAGCATATAAATGATCCATTGATATGAATATTTTTTATACGACCGCAAAAACATTTTTGCGATCATATATTGGTATGACGTTGGCGTCTTCGTCGTTGTCGTCCGAAGACACATTGGTTTTCGCACTCTAACTTTAGTTTAAGTGAATGGATCTCTATGAAATTTTAACATAAGGTTCAATACCACAAAAGGAAGGTTGGGATTGATTTTGGGGGTTATGGTACCAACAGTTAAGGAATTAGGGGCCAAAAAGGGGCCAAAAATAAGCATTTTTGTAACTTCCAGACATAACGTGTGTGTTAGTGTATGGATCTCTCTGACATTGTACCACAAGGTTCCATATCATAAAGGGAATGCTGGGATTGATTTTGGGGGTAATTGCCTCAAAATTTTAGGAATTAGGGGCCAAAAAAGGGGCAAAAAACAAGCATTTTTATATGGACAAATACTTTAGTACAAAACATAATTTAAAGCAGTGTAAGGGAGATAAATCAAATGCATCATTTGAATTAATTCCCTTACACTGCTTTAAATTTGTGTATAAAGTAATGGTTAATGAACAATTAAGACAATTTAAAACAGTGTAAGGGAGGTAATCCACATACAACGTTTTGATTACTTCCCTTACACTGCCTTTAAATTATGTTTAAAGAAATGCATATTTATAAAGGAAGACCAGTAAAAATATCTGCAAATGTTGCATCTTTTTTTTTTACAAAAAAATCCATATGAAAGATTTGACACCATATTTTAAATTCTATTATAAAATAGATTAAGTTAGCACTATGGTAAATTTAAATGGGTAATTATGGTTGCAAATTCCATTGGAAATTTGAATTGAGATTATGACCATACCTTGAGGGAAAGAATTTTTTGGGGGAAAAAGGGAAAAGGGGGGGGGGGGGGGTAAAAAGATATTGTGGGGGGTCAATTTTTTTTCATTTCAGATTTCAGAAATTAAAAAGAATTATTCTTCAAATATTGTTTTTTTTTTCAAATTTCAAATATTGAAAAATTTCAAGAAGTAATCTAATTGCACAGTATGGCGCATTAGATTTGTAAAATCTTTGACCACATTTATATATTTGTTATGCCAAATCTGACCGTGTATTTAGATTTTTAATTTTAGGTCCAGTTTTCAAATTGGTCTACATTAAGGTCCAAAGGGTCCAAAATTAAACTTAGTTTTATTTCATCAAAAATTGAATACATGGGGTTCTTTGATATGCTGAATCTAAACATGTATTGAGATTTTTGATTTCGGGCCCAGTTTTCAAGTTGGTCCAAATTGGGGTCCAAAATTAAACTTTGTTTTATTTCATCAAAAATTGAATATACGGGTTCTTTGATATGCCAAATCTAACCGTGTATTTAGATTTTTAATTTTGGGTCCAGTTTTCAAATTGGTCTACATTAAGGTCCAAAGGGTCCAAAATTAAACTTAGTTTGATTTTAACAAAAATTGAATATATGGGGTTCTTTGATATGCTGAATCTAAACATGTATTTAGATTTTTGATTTTGGGCCCAGTTTTCAAGTTGGTCCAAATTGGGGTCCAAAATTAAACTTTTGTTTGATTTCAACAAAAATTGAATATATGGGGTTCTTTGATATGCTGAATCTAACCATGTATTTAGATTTTTTATTTGTGGGCCCCGCTATCAAATTGGTTCATATTGAGGTCAAAAGGGTCCAAAATTAAACTTTGTTTTATTTCATCAACAATTGAATTATTGGGGTTCTTTGATATGCCAAAATCTAACCGTGTATTTAAATTTTTAATTTTGGGTCCCATTTTTATACGACCGCAAAAAATTTTTTGTGGTCGTATATTGGTATGACGTTGGCGTCGTCGTCGTCGTCGTCGTCGTCGTCGTCGTCGTCGTCGTCCGGCGTCGTCGTCGTCCGGCGTCGTCGTCCGAATACACATTAGTTTTCGCACTCTAACTTCAGTTTAAGTGAATGGATCTCAATGAAATTTTACTATAAGGTTCAATACCACAAAAGGAAGGTGGGGATTGATTTTGGGGGTTATGGTACTAACAGTTAAGGAATTAGGGGCCAAAAGGGGCCAAAAATAAGCATTTTTGTAACTTCCAGACATAACTTGTGTGTAAGTGTATGGATCTCTCTGACATTGTACCACAAGGTTCCATATCACAAAGGGAATGCTGGGATTGATTTTGGGGGTAATTGCCTCCAAATTTTAGGAATTAGGGGCCAAAAAGGGGCAAAAAACAAGCATTTTTCTAGTTTCATGACAATATCTTGTTTGTAAGTGTATGGATCTTTATGAAATTGTACTACAAGGTTCCATATCGCAAAGGGAATACTGGGATTGATTTTTGGGGTAATTTCCTCCAAATTTTAGGAATTAGGGGCCAAAAAGGGGCAAAAAACAAGCATTTTTCTAGTTTCATGACAATAACTTGTTTGTAAGTGTATGGATCTTTATGAAATTGTACTACAAGGTTCCATATCACAAAGGGAAGGCTGGGATTGATTTTGGGGGTTTTCCCTCAAAATTTTAGTAATTAGGGGCCATAAAAGGGCAAAAAAAACATGCATTTTTCTAGTTTCAGGACAATAACTTGTGTGTAAGTGTATGGATCTTTATGAAATTGTACTGCAAGGTTCCATATCACAAAGGGAAAGCTGGAATTGAGTTTGGGGGTAATTGCCCTAAACGTTTAGGAATTTGGGGCCAAAAAGGGGCCAAAAAACAAGCATTTTTCTAGTTTCCAGACAATAACTTGTGTTCAAGTGTATGAATCTCTCTGAAATTGTACTGCAAGGTACCATACCACAAAGGGAAAGCTGGGATTGAGTTTGGGGGTGATGAATCATAAGGGGGTTCAAAAAATTGGGGGGGGGGGATTTTTTTTTCCTTTTTTTTCTTTAACATTTTCCATTTTAAATTGGTTATTTCTGATTTATATATAAAAGCAAATAATAATGATATGGTTTGAATAGGCATACATGTGAACCACCCGACGGGAGTACAATAATCCCGTTTTCAGGGGTCTCCTCCCGACCTCCCGTTGAAGAGGAAAAAATCCCGTGTATGAAATTTTTCATGAATGAAAAATTTCTGCCCAACATATCATCTCAGGCATCTGGTGTAACTGACATTACCTGAAGTTATATTTTACCTGTAAATCAATTAACATGCATAATTATATGGCTTCACTTGTCAGCTTGGGTGTCAAACATACAGGTAATCAACGATTTTTACCTCAGGCTAACTGCCGTTGTGTAACAAAAACTGTGTATTTATTGGGTTACTTCCCTTGATTTATCCTGTTTTAAGTTACTTTCCTTTTAATAATGAAAATTTTTAAAAGAATATAAATAAAATATAAATTGAACAAATAATCATAAAAGGATGGTTATTAAATGATTTTAAATGTCTTAGGACAAATAAAAAAATAATAATTTGAAAATTATTTGAGGATTCTATACTTCCTTTCAAGGCTTAAATTGAAATTTATATAATAACTATGACCCTAATTTTACAGATAAAATGATTTTCTGAGTTTGCAAATAAAAACTATTTGCAAGAGAAAAAAAAAAAAATAAAAACTATTTGCAGATAGCTAAACAAATGTTCTGGTTGCAATGATTGTTTTATAGAATATGAAGTAAAAAATTTAAAGAACATACTGGAAAAAAACAATGTTAGATTGAACATGTAGAATATAAAGATAGAGAAACTTCATAAGTACAAGGGTACTATAAACATAATAAATTGGATGGAAAGTTGAAGAAAACACACTTTAAAAGACCATTTTTACAGCACACGGTTACATTTACAACAAAATTTATGTCGATTAAAAACCTCCTGATCTGAGTCCTAATCTCCTGACCAAAATTTCCCAATCTCCTGATCTGAGTTTCACAGTCCATCACATGTATGAATAGGTAAATTGAAAATTTTTAAGTTCTAAGACCACTTTCATTCTGTGTCAGAAACCTATGCTGTGTCAAATATTTAATTACAATCCAAATTCAGTGCTGTATCAAGCTTGAATGTTGTGTCCATACTTGCCCCAACTGTTCAGGGTTCGACCTCTGCGGTCGTATCAAGCTGCGCCCCAGCGGAGCATTTTATTTGAATTGGTCTACATTAAGGTCCAAAGGGTCCAAAATTAAACTTAGTCTGATTTTAACAAAAATTGAATTCTTGGGGTTCTTTGATATGCTGAATCTAAACATGTGTTTAGATTTTTGATTATGGGCCCAGTTTTCAAGTTGGTCCAAGTTGGGGTCCAAAATTAAACTTTGTTTGATTTCAACAAAAATTGAATATATGGGGTTCTTTGATATGCTGAATCTAACCATGTATTTTGATTTTTGGGCCCCGTTATCAAATTGGTCCACATTGAGGTCAAAAGGGTCCAAAATTAAACTTTGTTTGATTTCATCAAAAATTGAATTCTTTGGATTCTTTGATATGCTAATAATAATCTAACCATGTATTTAGATTTTGGATATTGGACCATAATAGGTAAATTAAAAAATTTTAAGTTCTTAGACCACATTCATTCTGTGTCAGAAACCTATGCTGTGTCAAATATTTAATCACAATCCAAATTCAGAGCTGTATCAAGCTTGAATGTTGTGTCCATACTTGCCCCAACTGTTCAGGGTTCGTATCAAGCTGCGCCAATGGATCATTTTATTTGTACATAGTTTATGCACATATAAGTATACCAGTGATTTGAATGAAAATAAAGATGATCTAGTACTGAAATTGTTTTTAACCTGAAACATGTTAATGTACCTATTCCAAATCTTAAACTTCTTCAGTGGCTGTGTTGAAAGCAAATCTTTGGTGGTTTCTGTTTATTTTATTTACAATTAGTCCTAGATTTTGAATTGATTTATGGTATAGAGACTTACTTATTGTTTTGGGCATTGTTGACCTCTTGATTAATGTTGATACTATTATTATGTTGGGGTTGATTTGTCAATGACTAATAAATGCACTCCATATATCATTTACCTCATATTTATACATACATTTGAATGCACCCTAATAATACAGGTTCACCAAGCACAAATATAGATTGTAAATTGGAAGACACTATACAACATTCTTGCTAAAAGTTTACACTTAGCCCTTTCCTTTAAGACATTTTAAATACAGTCTAACAGTGTTGTACAAATTCAGAAACAAGTGTTCTCTGAAAACAATTCATGATATAATGATATTTTTTAGGTATAGATGCCCTAGATATTGACTGGGCAAGCTTACAACAAGATGTGAGACCTAAACCTCCAGTCACAGGTTCCGCTCTGAACAGATTCAAAGCTAGTAATGTTTTTGCCCAGATAGGTGTGTCCAAAGAGTATGCAGGAGAAGAACTCTTCAATAAAATACAAAATGAGTGCATAAAGCAGGAAGATAGCACAGGTAAGCAAATCAAGTTATATTTTAAAATTTCAAATACATTTATTGGATTTAGAAACAGAAACTTGATGATCTTGCTGTTTAACATGTGTTCACTTTGTACTAGGGCAGTCATAGGCAGACAAAGATTCAGGAAGAAACATTTAGGTCAACTTTTTATTAGGGCAGTAGTAGGCAGACAAAGATTCAGGAAGATACATTTAGGTCAACTTTGTACTAGGGCAGTCATAGGCAGACACAAAGATTCAGCAAGAAACGTTTATGTCAACTTTGTACTAGGGCAGTCATAGGCAGACAAAGATTCAGCAAGAAACATTTAGGTCAACTTTGTACTAGGGCAGTCGTAGGCAGACACAAAGATTTAGGAAGAAACATTTAGGTCAATTTTGTACTAGGTTCTTCAACATTTTTTTGGCCAAGTGAGCTTTTCTCATCACTTGGGGTCTTTCGTCATAAACTTTTAACCAAACTTGACCACAATCATCATTAGGGTATCTAGTTTAAAAAATGTGTCCGATAATCCCCACCTGCCAATCAAGATGGTGACATGGCTAAAAATAGAACATAGGGGTAAAATGCAAGTTTTGTCTATTATTTTGAAAACCGTTATAAATAGAGAAAATCTGACATGAGCAAAAATGTTCTCAATGTTGAGCTCTACCAATTGTTCATATACGTCAAAACTGTCAGACGACTTCTTTTAGGCATTTTTGCCCTTAAATGACAAATTTTACCATTTTTTATTTCATTTTTTTTACCAATTTTATGCGTTTTTGCCTTATATCTTAAAAATTGTAATAGACAGATAGAAACTTAAATTGACAAAAATGATCAGCAAGACAAGATCATTAATAAGGCAATATGGAGGAAATAGTCCGACATCTCCTTATTGGAGTTATTGCCCTTTAATGACAATTTTACCATTTTTTTGCGTTTTGGCTTAAATGATAAAAATTAAAATTTGATAAATAGACGTTTTAAATCACAAAAATTATCTGCAAGTCAAGATCTACTTACAAGTAAAATTTTGCCAATATAGTAAGTAGACTGTCGCTCTTTATAGGAGTGATTTTACCCTCTTTTGTGTTTTGAGCAAAAAACTAAAGAAGATAGAGAGAAACTAAACAGACTAAATGATTAGCAATACAAGATCAATAAAACAGAGAAATTCTATTCTCGTCTTCAATTTTGGAGAGTGTCCTTTGTTGAATATGCACATAGACCAAGGTGAGTGACACAGGCTCTTTAGTGCCTCTAGTTCAATATTTTACTGAAAGATGGACTTAGTTTTTTGCAGTTAACATTTACAGACAGTCTGGGAATATATTTGTTTTTACATGATAAATTTGTGAACTGTCATGGATTTTTTTGAAACTTGGACAGACGCTTATCTTCAAAATCAAGTAATAGCTTCTAAAGAAAAAGTTGAGTTTTTTTTGTATTTTAATTATTTTTCTGATAAATGGACTCACTTTTACAGTCAACATAACACTTTTACACTGACAGCTGCAATCATAGGCGCAAGACACAGGGTTCCATGGAACTCTTTACAAATTCTTATTATACCAACTGAGGACGGAACTTTTTCAACTGTATCTGATAATGAGAGGGGGTTTACTTATTTGCACAACATTGCATTCACTTAATGTTAAACTTCATCTGAAGATATATAGAAGTCATCTTTACTGGTACCATAAAATTATTAACTAGATATGAAATACTACAATCATGGACATGAATTGGTTTCTTTCAGATGTTGCTACAACTGAAGAAAAGACAGAAGATGTGAAACCAGACAATAAATTTAGATTTAAAAGTGACATTGCTGTATTCCATTCCTCAATAACAAGTAAAAACCTACAAAGGAAGAACTTACTACGCAATATAGGGCCATTTAGACGAGCTTTATGTGCAAGACGAGACCTTGAAATTAGACGTCAGCTGTGTAAAGTTGACAAGGTAACTTGTTTAGATTTGTATTATATGTTTGTAATCAATTAAAAAATATTATTTTACATGCTCTCCTTTTCTTCATAAGAATAGAAAAAAATCCAAGTTATAAAGCATAAATAAAGTCTGGTAGTAAAGTTCTTTTACACAAATGAAGCCAAAGAAATACTAATACTGATACACTTTGACTACTGAAGGTTCATTCTAATTAATATTTTTTTTTCAAAAACAATTGATATCCTTTATTTCTTTTAAAATAATAAAGTTATATTTTTTAGACTTTTGATAATTTTCATTTGTTCAATAATTGAGTTTTCTTTTCAGACTATGGACCATATTCATTCCTATCCAGCACAGCCAATTGACCAAGAATTATACAAACTTAGTGTTCAATTATTTAGACAATCTTGTCCTGAAAAACCAGTACAAATCAAACAGGAAGTGACTAGTTCATAAAAGATGACCAAATTATTATATATTCATTAACAGTCATGGGAAAACATAATTAAATCATTTGTTCATCAGTAATCAGTGTGAATGTGATGTGACGTCATTAAATATTTTATGGTATACTTCTTTTTATACGACCGCAAAAATTAAAAATTTTTTGGTCGTATATTGGTATGACGTTGGCGTCGTCGTCGTCGTCCGGCGTCGTCCGGCGTCGTCCGAAGACACATTGGTTTTCGCACTCTAACTTTAGTTTAAGTGAATGGATCTCCATGAAATTTCACCATAAGGTTCAATACCACAAAAGGAAGGTTGGGATTGATTTTGGGGGTTATGGTACCAACAGTTAAGGAATTAGGGGCCAAAAAGGGGCCAAAAATAAGCATTTTTGTAACTTTCAGACAATAACTTGTGTGTAAGTGTATGGATCTCTCTGACATTGTACCACAAGGTTCCATATCACAAAGGGAAGGCTGTAATTGATTTTGGGGGTAATTGCCTCAAAATTTTAGGAATTAGGGGCAAAAAAAGGGGCAAAAAACAAGCATTTTTATAGTTTCATGACAATAACTTGTGTGTAAGTGTTTGGATATTTCTGAAATTGTACTACAAGGTTCCATATCACAAAGGGAAAGCTGGAATTGAATTTGGGGGTAATTGCCTGAAACGTTTAGGAATTGGGGGCCAAAAAGGGGCCAAAAATAAGCATTTTTCTAGTTTCCAGACAATAACTTGTGTTCAAGTGTATGGATCTCTCTGAAATTGTACTGCAAGGTACCATACCACAAAGGGAAGGCTGGGATTGAGTTTGGGGGTGATGAATCATAAGGGGGTTCAAAAAATTTGGGGGGGGGATTTTTTTTTTTTCTTTTTTTCCTTTTTTTTTTCCTTTAAAATTTTCCATTTTAAGTTGGTTATTTCTGATTTATATTTAAAAGCAAATAATAATGATATGGTAGGAGATACACACCAAACAGGATGTGTAAATTATTATATAATAAGTATTGTGCAATAGCAAGAAATTTTCAATTGCACAGTATTGCACAATAGCAAGAAATCTTCAATTGCACAGTATTGCGCAATAGCAAGAAATCTTCAATTGCACAGTATTGCGCAATAGCAAGAAATATCCAATAGCACAATATTGCGCAATAGCAAGAAATTGTCAATTGTACAGTATTGCGCAATAGCAAGAAATATTCTATTGCACAGTATTGTGCAAAAGAAGATACTTCGTATAAATTGCTTATTTCTTGATCAATTTCAATGGGGTTTTATTCTTGAATTCTTGGGGTTCTTTAATATGCTGAATCTAACCGTGTATTAAGTTTTTGGATTTTGGGCCCCGTTTTTAAATTGGTCCACATTGAGGTCCAAAGGGTCCAAAATTTAACTTTGTTTGATTTCATCAAAAATTGAATTATTGGGGTTCTTTGATATGCCGAATCTAACAGTGTATTTAGATTTTTAATTTTGGGTCCCGTTTTTTAAATTGGTCTACATTAAGGTCCAAAGGGTCCAAAATTAAACTTAGTTTGATTTTAACAAAAATTGAATTCTTGGGGTTCTTTGATATGCTGAATCTAAACATATGTTTAGATTTTTGATTATGGGACCAGTTTTCAAGTTGGGGTCCAAAATTAAACTTTGTTTGATTTTAACAAAAATTGAATTCTTGGGGTTCTTTGATATGCTGAATCTAAACATGTATTTAGATTTTAGATTTTTGGCCCAGTTTTCAAGTTGGTCCAAATTGGGGTCCAAAATTAAACTTTGTTTGATTTCAACAAAAATTGAATATATGGGGTTCTTTGATATGCTGAATCTTACCATGTATTTAGATTTTTTATTTGTGGGCCCGCTATCAAATTGGTTCATATTGAGGTCAAAAGGGTCCAAATTTAAACTTTGTTTGATTTCATCAAAAATTTAATTATTGGGGTTCTTTGATATGCCAAATCTAACCGTGTTTTTAGATTTTTAATTTTGGGTCCCGTTTTTTAAATTTGTCTACATTAAGGTCCAAAGGGTCCAAAATTAAACTTAGTTTGATTTTAACAAAAATTGAATTCTTGGGGTTCTTTGATATGCTGAATCTAAACATGTGTTTAGATTTTTGATTATGGGACCAGTTTTCAAGTTGGGGTCCAAAATTAAACTTTGTTTGATTTTAACAAAAATTGAATTCTTGGGGTTCTTTGATATGCTGAATCTAAACATGTATTTAGATTTTAGATTTTTGGCCCAGTTTTCAAGTTGGTCCAAATTGGGGTCCAAAATTAAACTTTGTTTGATTTCAACAAAAATTGAATATATGGGGTTCTTTGATATGCTGAATCTTACCATGTATTTAGATTTTTTATTTGTGGGCCCGCTATCAAATTGGTTCATATTGAGGTCAAAAGGGTCCAAATTTAAACTTTGTTTGATTTCATCAAAAATTTAATTATTGGGGTTCTTTGATATGCCAAATCTAAACATGTGTTTAGATTTTTGATTATGGGACCAGTTTTCAAGTTGGGGTCCAAAATTAAACTTTGTTTGATTTTAACAAAAATTGAATTCTTCGGGTACTTTGATATGCTGAATCTAAACATGTGTTTAGATTTTTGATTATGGGACCAGTTTTCAAGTTTGTCCAAGTTGGGGTCCAAAATTAAACTTTGTTTGATTTCAACAAAAATTGAATATATGGGGTTCTTTGATATGCTGAATCTAACCATGTATTTTGATTTTGGACATTGGACCATAATAGGTAAATTAAAAAAATTGAAGTTCTTAGACCACATTCTTTCTGTGTCAGAAACCTATGCTGTGTCAAATATTTAATCACAATCCAAATTCAGAGCTGTATCAAGCTTGAATGTTGTGTCCATACTTGCCCCAACTGTTCAGGGTTCGACCTCTGCGGTCGTATCAAGCTGCGCCCAGCGAAGCATTTTATTTTCTATTGTATAGAAAATAGTATATGCCATATGGCATTTCATTGTTCATGTCAGTCTTTATATATTGTAAGTATCTATCAAATAGCAATAGTCAATATATACTGTATAACTGGACATTTTTGTGGTAATCTACATTTCATGATATCATTGTAAACAGCAGGTTGCAAAAATTAAAATCTGCAATTATTATGTCCAGAACAGCAGACCTTACTTTGAATTTCTCATTATATAGATCCAGTGATTTTCTGAACATTGATTGAATTAATCACATAGACTTTTCACTATATTGAAATTTTCTTGCTTTGTTAAACTGTTTTGACATTTTATGTATTAAAATAAAGTCAGTCTTTTATTATCTTATCTTATATAGATCTATGTGCGTCATTATTTTCGATTTCTGGTTGATAGATTGTACTATCTTTATTCTTTGTCATTCGTCGTTGTGGCATATGAATAAAAGCCTGTACAGGGAATACATCAAAGGGATATATATAGCTGTCCAGATTCCTTCTTTTATTTTTGTAATGTTTCTTACAAATTGTAAAAATTAGAATCCACAGCAAAAAATGCACACATTTAGCTTCCAAATCACAAAAACTGTTCCGCAAAAATTTTCAGTTATACAGTATTGAGATCATATGCTATATTGGTGATTTGTATCAACAGTTGGTGTCAATTTTTTTTCCCTCTGCATCACAGTCTTTACACACTTAAAGGAACAAAAGACTTTGCACCTTACATCAAATTGCCAAATAAGATACAGTTATCTGATAAGTTATAACATCAAATGGAATTTTAGTGTCAGTTTTAGATGTCTAGGTCACAAAATATCACTTAAAAAAAAGCCATTGGTGTATTCATAAACTTATATACTAAACTATACTGACAGTTTATGTGTTAAAAGTTAGAGGAACAAAGTACAGTGGATTCAGTTATCATTCACCCTGCTTATACCCCCAGCAAACAAAGTGTCAGGGGGTATTTAGTTAACACACTGTCTCTCTGTCTGAATGGATTGACAGGTATTGTTGTAAAGTTACACAATTGTGGAATACTACCTGAGGATATGCTTAAGGAATGTGATCCTGGTCCTGCATGTTAAACGTTACACAGTTGTAAAATACTGAATGAGGATGTGCCTAAAGGAATATAATCCTGGTTCTTCATGTTAAACTTTACACTGTTGTAAAATACTGAATGAGGATGTGCCTAAAGGAATATAATCCTGGTTCTTCATGTTAAACTTTACACTGTTGTAAAATACTTAATGAGGATGTACCTAAAGGAATATAATCCTGGTCCTTCATGTTAAACTTTACACAGTTGTAAAATACTTAATGAGGATGTGCCTAAAGGAATATAATTCTGGTCCTTCATGTTAAACGTTACTCAGTTGAAGAATATAGCAAAGTGCTCTCGACCAATGAAATTGTAGGATTTGATGCCTCTTAATTGTGAAGAATGAATGTAAATCATGTTCTTAGTAAGGGATTATCCTATTATGTGGGTCTATTTATAGTTCAAAACAAAGAGTTTCTATAAATGAGTTACAACTGCCCCGAAGCACATTTATCAGATTGAAAGGATTTATCACACAGTGATTGAAACTGACTAAAAGTTGAATTGTGAAACAAACAAAAAACTCAAAATAAGTTAAAGTTTACTGTGCAGTAAAATTGGTACCGTGAATATTATTATGAAAATATTAATAACTTCAAATTACTAAATAAGTAAACAATACCAAAGCATTTGCAAAAAAAGAAAAAAAAAACAGCTTTAAAATAAAAAAAATACCTTAATCTTTAACTTTCCAAAAACTTTGATCACTGGATCAGTGGTTGGGAAGAATAGTTATTTCCAATATTTCGGTAAAATAAAAAAAAAAAAAAACAGGAATTTGATTTTTTTCTTGAACATATTAAAAACTTTTAAAGGCATTTTATTTGAACATTTCCTTGATATAATGAAATAGTATTTGGTGTAAAAAGCTGGACCAAAATATTGGCTGTTAAATAAAATTTAGTTTAAATGTATCAATTGATTTAAACTGTAAATTAAAAAAAGGGATAATTCCTCACTAAAATATTACATGATTTACTTTCATACTCACAATCAGGAAACATATACAATTCCTACATTTTCTTTGTTCTGTTGTGTTACCTAATATGTATAACG